TTCAGCCCTCGTCGCAACTCTGTTGCCTCCAAACACAAGTCTCAACAGTTTACATCCAACCTGCAGGGTGCTGGGCTCCATCACTGCAACCTGCAGAACTGATGACACCACGCATGACACACTGTGAAAAGATTGCAATTTGGACATCGATCAGCGTATATATAATTATGTATATATATATAGTATATCACACATCATTTCGGGCACACATGGCAGGGCGACTTCAGCAGTTCAGGCTTCGTATGTGTTGCTGCCATATCTTGCTAAGAGCGCGCACATTTCACCTGTTAGAGAACCTTGACAACAACCGTTCTATATAGCAAACAAGGCAACGCTTTTCTGACTGAATGCTGAACTTGACACAAATGATCCTTTCTGAGTTGCAACCCGTGACTTCAGTTTTGGAACAAAATGCACAGCAAAAGTCCAAGAACTGAACTCTTTCCAAATGAGGTGCGACGTCTTCTCCCAGGAGATCCAGAAATTTCGGGACGTGCCTGTGGTACTGAAAGACGTGGGGTTCTGTCCGGCGAGACATTGGCCGGTGCTGAGACAATGCGCCTAGGGAGCTGCTGAAATCGAGAAAGTCGTGGAGGTACTGAAAATCACGCTGAAATCCCTCTTATAACCATTGAAAATCATTGAAATACAATTTTACAACCAACAGATACCAACAGGATCACCGTGATCACCTGATTCGTGAAGCGTGTCTGGGGTCACCAACACAGGCTGTGGAGGTGTGGGCGGAGGTGTCAGCATCGCTGTACTGGGGAGCGCAGCAAGGAGAGGTCACTTGCACTGGAACGATATGGAACACACTAGGAAGATTATGGAAGACTATGGAAAATTATGGAAGATTCAAGGCTTATTCTATGTTTTCTTTTCTGGATCTCAAGTGACATAGTGCCCAATGTATCCCAATGTGCAATTTAGCTGGCACACTATGGGAAGCTCCCATTACCTCTCTGCACACCAAAATGTCAGTGGCCCTTGGGCAAGCAAGTTACACAGTAAATGCTTCTCCACACTGTAAATAACATGTTCGCATCGTGTCACAAACATTAAGATACATTAAGTGTAAATAACTGTAGTACCATTGGAAGGACGAAACAAGCTCAGACCTCAACAAACCATGCCAGCACGACATTGGATTCACAAACGGCATCGCATCAGCTTGGGCCATCTGGAGCAAGAGTCACACAGCTGAAAGCGATTTTACACTTAAGTAGCACTGCGCCAAATCAACACGAGCCAGTGTTGACTGCCGACATCATGGATGTGATGGGTCCAAAGACCCAATCTGGGTCTTGGGACCTACAATTGCAACAAACCCTTGCTGCTCAAGGTATCTCTTTCTGAATGAATATCCAGATCCTGGAATCACCACCTCATCACCAGTTTTCCCACCTATGCTGCCCAGGCAGCACTCATGTTGGAACAAGGAACTGCCGCAACCTTTGTCGATGGATTTCAATGGATTTGAATATGATTTGAATGGATTTGAATGGATTCGATAGATGAAAGATACGCAGAGATACGCTTGCAGGTCCTACATTGTAGGTGATCTTGAGGCCCACCCTGGTACTGAGGATCCTGATGCTCAAGCTTCGCAGTCTTAGCTGGAGGTACTGTGGAGGTATAGATCCTTTCACTTCATCTCGGATCCCGTATGACTAGTGAGTCACCCTGCTGCACATTGAGCAAAAAAGGTCAAGCGGAGCGATTCAATGGCAGCGCAAAGCACTTGCTGACAAGGGATCACCACCAGACAAAACCGTGATAGAAAAACATGTCAAAGACTTTTAGAAGCAACTTCTTTGGCTGCCCATGCCAGGAACAAAACATAACAAAACAATGCAAGCAAGAACTGGAAAATTAAGATGTGCAAATGTTTGCCCCCGGAGAAAAGGCAAGGACCTCTGCACATCCAACACCTCCAGACTTTTTCCCACAAAGTCTGTACCAATGAACGAATTTGTTTGCACACTCTCATTGTGTACCGCTATTCAACCCATCCAACCTCCTACGGAAAAGATATCAACCTGGGACTTGCTACTCTACCGCCAAGCAAGCAATTTTGGAACGCAAAGACCACGACCAAGCAGCTTGTTGCACTGAATCGCAAGACAGCATTGTTTTCAGTCTCACATCATATCATCTCCATGACTCAAGGCACCCAAGAGTGCGAGTGCCAAGGAGCATGCGGCAGCTTCTACTATCCACCACTTTGATTAGCAGCGGATATTCTTAGGTGTGGAATGGTGTGGACCACCATGTTTATGAATCTTTCTCAAAATCATAGTACAAAATTGCAAGCTTGAGCATGGAGAAAGATTCTATGCCAAATTGCCAGCTAATTCGCCAGCTTTGGCTCGAGCATCCACAGATTTCATCACATGTTGGATGCTGCGAAGATTGTGTAAAACTGTCTAATCCGCAACTTGATTCAGGTCGAACCAAAAAAAGAAAGTCCAAATCCAAATTTAAATACATTCTATAATATAATGCATTAATCATGCTGCAAATTGCTGCAAGAATCAGGTGAGTTGTGGAAAAACTGAAGGCGCACCTTCAGGTCATAAACATCAGCAAAAGATACAAATAGAAGCGTCTGATGGGTCTGCCGAGCAGAAAAGCATCCAGAACAAGATACAAATGATACAAATCATATACAAATCATTTAGCAGCAATTTGTAGAACATATAGGGCCATGCCAGATTCTGTATTGATCCAAACACTAAAAGGCGGATAAACATGGATAAACAGTTTGACATGTTTGATATACCGTATACCGTACTTTAGACACCGTTTCTAAGTTGAACTGGATCTGGATCCCTTTTCTGCATGCCTTGATTACCTGGAACCACCTCCACAGTAGGGCCAGGTCAACCGGAGCTTGTTGGAACGAGACCCTCCTTCGCTCCGCTGCTTCAACTGTGGCTTGAAGGTCAGCTCCGCTGACTGCTCGGTTTGAATCAAAGAGAAACCGTTTCAGTCCCTGGAAAAAATCATCATCCACAGTGGTGATACAAGATGATAATAAGATGATACAAGTAGAAACCGTACAACCATTGTTTTTAGTGGCGATCATTGTCAAAAGGAACCAGAAGTTCACATAACTTAGCATCAGCTGGCAGTGGAGGGCAGCGGTGCAATTGGGTGCAAGGAGGGGACAAGGCTAAGGCTTGGGTCAATAGGTTCTAGTCGCATCATTGATGTGCAAATGAGAAGAGAACCACTCCCCTTCCATTTCTGTGATGCCCCAGAGTGCAAGCATTTCACTAAAACAGCAAACTTCGTAAACCTCTGGAGTGTAAACTATAGCATAGTGTGTGTTTGCTTCTGATATACATTAAATATATAGTGATATACATGTATCATCATGTATCAGTAGAAATCTAACATTACCTGATCCAAAAACAATGGCCTGCTCTCTGTCCAAGAAAACCTTTGCTTTCAAGAAAACACGTTGAGCAATATGCTCGCATGAAATCACCCTAAAAATGCCGTTGAAAGAACTTTATATTCTATCTCCTTGACCATCCCAATCTACAGAGTGAAGTGCCTTGCATGTGTTGCCCACCCTTGCTTCTCGGGCCTGATAGGGCATATCAGAGACACCCCTACCAAGATCCAAGTCAGCACGCCTGCAGCACAAAGGTGCTGTTGGCAGCCTCAAAATTATACCATTCTGACCATTCTAGCCTAGCATAGCCTAGCATCTTTTGTCATCTTTTGTCTACTTCACCAAGGGAAACAGATCTTCTAATTGATATTTTGGCCTGCAAAACAAGGCACACACACACAAATACATCTCAATTCATCTTCATGTAAAGGCTTTCATTGTGAACTTGGCAATTTGTTTGAACGAGCTCAGGAAACGTCAGTTGCGAACCTCAGACCCTCTAGAGCCAATTGCCCTTAGAGGTGTCTGAAGGCCACGAAACTGAGATCGGCCGAGCTGCTGAATTCGCGGTGCGACGGGACCCACTCTCCCGTGCAATGAATTATGGAAAATATCGAAGCTTGTTTGATCTTCCATGGAAAAACAACAATCCAGTTGCTCTCTTCGAACACTAGCTGAAAGATGCTGAAAGTCCTTCGAAAACCTTCGAAAGATCAAGGTCTTCCGAGGCTGAAACGATGAGCGGTGTCAGGGTTGGAGTGCAGGGATTCGCAGGACACTTCCAGGAAATGGTGAGGCAGCTGTGCAAATGGACACAAGGTTTGCAACATGGACAACAGGTTTTCTGAACACACCAGAGAAAATATATCCCAGAGATTTTCCGAGATTGAAAACAATCATGAGAACCATTGTTTACCATCTCATATTTACGAGTTTCAGCTGCAAGAGGTCTGTGAATTTTGCAGTGGTGTCCGCCCAGACGACAACCTGACTGCAAGCCTGGCAGCCGCACGTCTCAGTGGGGAGTGATGTACATATGTCGACAATGGGAGAGATTCGCGGCCAGTGAAAATGTGAAATCCATCCGCAGCACCGAAGTCGCGGTTTGATCAGCGCTCCCTCCAGGGGCGCTGGGCTTTCTTATCGGCTCAGAGCTAATCTCTGAGACCCTATGCGAATAGTAGCAACTTGTCAAAAACATGGATACGATATGATAGCATATCTTGAGGACAGGTTTCGAATCTTTTGATTTTGCAGCTTTTGCATGCTTTTGCCGGATTTGTCTAGAGCAAGTTGCAACCGCTGTGTCCCTACCTCTCATACCGATCTCTTGTCATCAAGGGTCAGCCATCGTATAGCGCCATCAGAAATCCGGGTAGCCTTTCAAACTGATTTTCAAAAGACTCGCAGTTCCTTGCAACTCGGACTGCCCCATAGGTGATCGACATGTTCACTCCTGACATGTTGGAATCCTGAATCTTTGGAGATAGTGCAAGAACTGCATTATTTTGCACTCAGGATATTGCTAATACTATCAGCAGGAGTCTGAGATAGTCTGAGTATCAATTTTCAAGCTCTTGGTCTGGACAATTTGAATATATACCCGACGAGATCGACACAAAGAGTCCCAAAGTGCAACTTGGACAACTCCCTCAGCGTCATCGTTGCCCATCAACGAGACCTCCAGAAGAGCCCAGCTATTTTCCCAGCTATGCATGGCTGATATGGCTGTGCCGCTTGCAGAAATTTGGCAAAGGATGGGAATGGTTTGTTTCATATGTTTCATAGAGTTTTGGACATGCTTCAGAGAATTCTTTTCACATATTTTCACATCCTTTCTGACTATGAAATCTATGAATGAAAGCCACCTGGCAGCACCCCTATTCCGCTGTAATTGTGCCACCTTATCGCAAAAGCCTGTCGTCCAAGTGAATCTTCTCGATTACATCTCGAAGAGAGGCCCTAGCAGAAAGCCTGATGAGAATTTCCACAGCAAACATTTGAGTCATTGGAGAGAGATGCAGCCAAAATATGCCAAAAATGTCGAAATCTCCGCAGCACCCACGCCCTTTAACAATTTGAGGAAGTTGGGCTCATGCCGGCTGTATTTGGGACATGGCCCAACGACCACTTGGCTAATTTTTGGGCGCTCATTGCCTGAAACGTTTGATATAAAAAATACCGAAAACAAAGATAAACAAAGATAAACAAAGATAAACAAAGATAAACAAAGAACCCATTGGATATCATTGGATATCATTGGATCAAATGATGATCAGATTGAACATAATATGTAAACATGCGAAGCGATGCCAAGGCACCCATAGTGTTGAATGGCCAGCTCAGGCGCTGGCATACTTCCTCAGGAAAGAGCGTCTGAGTGCGTCCTAAACAGCTGTAACATGCTGTAACCATCCTGGTTCTTGGATGTTCTTGGCACCTTTCAATTGTCTGGAAGCTCGCTTCAAATCTCATCCCCTCATGTCTTCTACGCGTATGATGTTTTACTTTTTCCGGCTATGGACTTATATCATATCTTTCCGAACTGTGTAAAACACACAGTGCACATATGTGCACATCAATGCTCAAACCCACATATATATCATATAATATATATATATATATATATCATATAATATATATATATATATTAATATATATATATATTTATAATTTATAATATAACAATATATAATGGGCTCTTTATCTTATTCCTGAGAGTCGCGGCAGGCATTACTCAGAGAGAGTTTGCTTGCCCGTGATCCTGGTGGATCCAAGGCTCTGAGCTCTGGCAACTCACCAGCATCCATTTCTTCCAGCAGCTCGGCATAAACCCGGATCAATGCTTCCTGTCGTGTCGTGGCTCAATGTGATGCATATCTGATCATATTTTCGTGTCCTGGATCTTGAAGCAAAGGTGTCAGTTACCAGCCAAGAACTTTCGATTGGACAATGTGTTTTTTTTTTGCCGTGTACCATGAGGCCTGTGAATGATCCACACACCATTTGCCAAAGCGAGGCCAAAGAAGATAGCCCATACCGAAGGCATAGGCCATGCCATTCCACCTTGAGTTGTTGGTTCAATTGGCAGAAACCGCACCGCTAGCAAATGTATTATTAAAACCAAGCCAAACAGCTGCTAGCCCTTCAAAGCAGCATCCAGCACAAGCAACCACAAAAGTCAAATCGACCGCCGTCTGGGTTCCCCAGCTTTGATGGTGTGGTTAAAACAGTACCCCGTGCTGCGGCAACCATGGACAGATGTGTGACTGCCTGCTTCGACTGCTGTGACCTTGGTGATGAGAAGATCGTGAAGTTTGCAATGCATGTTTGATGCATTTTCGTGCAGTCTCTGTGCTAGTAAAACAAAAAACAAAATTGGATGGTGTTCTCTGGAAAATGATGAACATAGAACATTTGGGGGAAGATCCTGCAAAGGAGATCCCAGGTTTGCTGACATATCTGTCTTGAAATGATGGCATCTTGTACTGTTTGCATAGATTAAGCACAACATAGCACAACATAGCACAACATAGCACAACTAAATACGACTAAATACGACTGTGAAAAAATCCTGTGATTTGAAAATCCTTTCAGTTCCCTCATCCACCTCACCGATGTGGCACGGGCTTCTGCCAAGCAACAGGGCTTGAAGCCAACTACGATCCAAATGCGTTTGGGACGCCATGGGGCGCTCCAATGCCATGCGGCTGAAGGTAAAAGGCCTCAACTCTGATTTTCAATGGCGGCAGATGGCGGCAGAACCTGCAAAAAATGCTGAGACTTAGGACCATGGGACCACAACCAGAATTTCTGCCGTGTCACGCTGTTGCTGCCATCTCCAGCAGCTGCAAACGTTTCAACCATGCGCGCTCTCGATGGAACCTGGGGAGGTATCAGCAGAATGCAAAACATTCTTGTTGTATCTTCTTGCAGGATGAAATCACACGCATATTTGGAATTGTAAGACACCTTTTGAAACCAATCGTTGACATCTTTGACGTGCTTTTGGTGCAGTTATGGATTTGCAAGGTTCGAATGGACTGCCCAACGGGGCTGAGCAGGGCACAAATTTCCTCCTTTCTCAAAACTATCAGGCTGCATATTACCAATATATTTTGGACTCAGACTTCCTGCATTCGCTGAGGAACTTGAAGCCCGAAGCCAGGTCCAGGACTTCTTGAATGGCCTGATGGTGGTTCTCTCACGCGCCCGATGGACGAACTGTAAGCAACAATCGAAATATAAAATATAGACGTATATCAACATATATATCAACATATATATCAACATATATATCAACATATATCAACATACAGTATATAGACGTATATAGACGTATATAGACGTATATAGACGTATATAGACGTATATATATATATATATATCTATATATCTATATATCTGGACATGTCTTGTGCAAATGATTCTGGTGACTCCGAGGAGTCTGCTAGGCGATGGTTTGCAATGAGTTCGAAACAAAAAAAATGACTTTGTTGGAATATGTTGAATATGCTTTCCAGCGTGCTTTCCACTTTTTCTTCCAGTTCGCTGCAAGAAACCCTTGTAGCGACGTAGGCCATGCGGTCTGCCAGGGTATGTGGCTGCATCGCGGTGACCCGAACACCGTTGAGGCTGTCCTCAGCCCCAGATTCATCTTGAAGCAGTCCAGCCCCGTTTGTGACCAGTGACTTCTCATTCATTTATCTGAACATTCCATACGAACAACCTTTCATTACTTGACATGCTGTTGACATGTCTTGATATAATAAATGATCAAGGGCAAAATATAGTGTTGCTCATAGGCTGCAATTATCTAGCTCTGTGCAAAGAAACAAAAAACAGTCGAAAACTCAAACGCAGGTCACATCAGGTCAACAAACATGCTTTTTCCGGTGAGCACTTTTGTAACTCACAGAATCGCACAGAGCCTTAAGATTTCACAAGCAGAACGCCGCGTGCTGCGAAAGGAAGTCCAGATTCCACCGCCCATCCCATTGCCCGTTCCGTCCAGGATTCAGGCGCCCAAACCTCCGTGGCCGCGACATGCTGCGACTCGAGGTGTTCTGTTAACATCTGTCAAGTCTGTCAACTGTATTCATCTGCTGGGTAGCCCACAGTCGCACTCAGGAAATGTGCTGTGAATATGTTGTACTCTAGTTAAACATAGTGTATCACAGTCGTATTTGAGGTTTCTTTGTATGAAACATGTCTACTATTATATAATGTGTCTCAAACTCTCAAATCCTTCAAAAATATCCGTTGCAAAGATTTGAGGCCCAGAACCCCAGTTTTCGCATGAAACCTATATCGAAACTATTACCGACTTGCTGTTGCGTGGGAAGCATGTTACCAGCCCAGACTTCATTCTTCAACTAGGCTGTCAAGTTAAGTTGGTTCCGACACATTCCATCCTTACTCTCAACTCGTTGGCATTGACTTTTTCACAAAAAGATCAAAAAAGCATCAAAAGGCTACTTTCTCCTTTCGAGGAGAATATTGCTAATATTGCTATAATATTGCTTGGATTGGACAAGTAGTGGTCCCAAGCACTAGACCCAAGCCACGACCCACTGGCTGCTGTTCTCAGTTCCAAAGTTGGTCAAGCCACGTTGTGTGGCATCTCCCACTGAGGAGCATCTCTTGACAAGGTCAGCTGTGGCGCCTGACCATGTCAGAGCTTCAGCGGTGTGATATATCGGAATGTCAAATCAACGTCAAATGAAGTTTATTGAAGTTTTGCATAATGTCAAAGCAGCTTACCATGTTGATCCATGTTGTATGATACTGTGAATCCATGTGAATCCTGAACACACCAGCCTTTTCTGCTGTTTAAAATTAGTTGTGTCACGGCAAATTTCATTTCAGCCCTCCAAATCTGTCAGACCTGGCTTCCTCGCCTCGACCAAGCACGGCACGAAGCCGCGTCGGCGGTGGAAAACGGCGGCCGGCCTGGCCTGCACCATCGAATATTGAAGCATAATGAAGCCAAGAAGCCAACATGATGACCCAACATGACCCAACATGACCCAACATTCGAATCCACAAAGGAATCCACAACGGAAGTTGAAAGTGGTAACTGATGATGTCGATGATGAAACATGACCCAGCGAGAAAATCCAAACACCCAATCAATGACATCCATACATTCATCATGTTTCTGTTTTGGGCTGGGTAGCTGCAAGCACTTGCTTTTGAGACCTCTTGACTTGACAATCAAGCCTGCCTGGATCATGCGGGATGTAGCGCGCGCTGCCATGCTCAGTAAAAGATTTATGTTTTGCAAAAGTACAGGGAAGAAGGAAGGAAAATACTTTTCAAAAGGGAAGATGTTGATTATGTATGTCTTTTCCAAAGGAATTGTACTTGTTGAATGGCCGAGTCTCAAAGGTTCAAAAGAATCAAGAGGGTCTATTAATGTCTATTACATTCTATTGCGGTGTCTTAATTCATTGCCCATTTCTGATGATTGTTTTGTGGAAAAGGACCATGCCTGGCTACCAGAGCCCCTCAGCCAAGCAGTTCACACAGAAAATAGCAATCTCAAAATTGAACTCCTTGCAACACTATCTGTCACTGTCTACTGGCTACACGATTGCCGCCTCTTCGAAATGACAGCTGGAAGAAAACCAGAACTCTCCACAAAACTACTGGGTAGATGCTCCCTGCACCAAAAAGCACTCTTGTGGTCGGGGCGCCTTTGGAAATGTCTCTTAATGTGAGCTTGGCCCTAGATGGCCCTAGCGTTCTCACCCTTCACATTCGGTCACTCCTTTTGAAACCAAGAGGTGACATTCGACTGCCGACGTTTGGAACGGCGAACTCCAAAGTTGAAACCTTCGCCCTGGTCGCCAGTCGCTCAAGAGAGTATCAGCGAGTCATAGAGATCAGCCAACCTGGCCCCATCCCAACGACATTCCGTAGGACGAAAGGGAAAAAAGACAAGCCCATCAGTCCATGAGTCCATCACAGTCCAAACAAAATCAAACAAATTACAGCTGAATTTATATAGCTGACGTCGGTTTCGTGAGGCGCGGTGAGATCATGTGAGATCGACTGGATGGAAAGTGAGAGAGATGTGAGATGACGTGAGTCAACTGAGTTGCATACGTAATGCTCGTAATGTATCGTAATGTAAAGATGACATGAATTTAAATGAGAAATGAAATGAGGGACGGGCAATGACGGGCAATGACGGGCAAGTGCTAGACTAATGCAAGTGACCTGATGGCATTTCTCTGCATCTCCCGATTTGCCTCGGGGCTTCGGGGCTTGGCCCAGCGCCCAGGACATACTTGGAACATCGACTCACGGAGAAAAACTTTCCGGTCCCATCACTGCCTCCAAAGCTGAGATATATACAGAATTATACTTAAATATATATATATATAATATTTATATTGTTTTTTTATACTTTCAATTATTTTCAAGACATTCAAAGAATCGCGGCAGGACAATGTTGTTTGATGTTGTTTGAATTCGTCAGTGACATCTGCTTTGTGCCTTTGCCCATCCAAAACATCCAACACTGCTACCACTAGGAGTGGCACTGATATGCCTTCCACTTGACGAGGTCAGGCCTCGTGTCGCAAGAGTCCATGATGAGCAAGGAATTGAACTGCTCACCAAGTCTCCCCTGAATTTCCTTTCTTCATCTTTCTTCATCGTCCAAATTCAAACAACAGCGAGTCTTTTGGACTTGCGCGGGCGGAACCTTTGAAACTGAAGAAACCCTGGCCACTCCAACTATCACAACCCAGCCTGTGGCTTCGGGTAAAGCACTGCAACCTAGTGAGGCCATGAGGCTAAATGAGGTTAATCAAGTGTAGGTCAGCTTTGGATCTTGTGCACTGGCTGGGAAGTGTTTGGGAATATGAACTCCATGTACTATATGTGTGTATATATATATTAGAGAATGCATAGTGCAGATGCATAATTTGTTACGCTTACATACACACACAATACACATAGATTCATAGATATATCATGATGGATCCATATTTAGATTTATTTGATCTGCTGCAAAGAAACTTTCCACCCTCCACCAGCAAATGTGACTCTTTGTTCCTGCTTCATAAGCTGTCAGTATTCTCACTGCAATAGTAAACCTTCGCCCATGTCAATACTGGGAAATGGATGGAAATGGTGGAATAGGGGCAAAGACATACACACTTGATACCCCTTGTAAAGTTGCGGAGATACTTTCCACGGCAAGGGTTCATCTTTAAACGGTGGTTATTTAGGTTAGAGTTGTTTCACGGAGCAACAGCCTCGCATCCTGAGCAACCAAACTCCTCCAAAGTTGGCCACACTGACTGAATCCTCGCAGCATCTCGCAGCATTTTAGACGTCTTAAAAGTTAGCACAAAAAACCTAAGGCCCTCAGGAGAGACTCCCGCAAGCCTCAATCTTTCCAAGAGTTGGCTATCAATCTTGCAGGATTCAAAACAATTGAACATCATTTCAATTCCAAAGACTTGCATACGCAGGTCCAAAATCATTTTCCCCCTCGTTTGTCCGATCCAGTTCCACCCTTGTGATCCCTTGTGCCTCGTTCTGAAAGTGCTTGAGGGCATCTTCAATCGCATCCTACCAGTAGCAAGGCGTGATAGTCGAACTAGTCGAACTAGTCGAACTAGTCGAACTATTCGAACTACTCGAAATACCATGACCGCAGACTGCACTAAAAATGTCTTGTCTAGAGTCCAGCCCTCCTCCACGCATCAAAGGCCAAGGTATGATATGGTATGATGCACCCGTTTGTGTTTCTTTGTGCTTCAAGCAGCGTCTTTCTACATCTCTTGAATCACTTTCCCCAACATCTGCATGTGTCCCAACCCCACCTTCGGTCAGCATCAAATGAAGAACCCACAGAGTGACAAATCATATGAAAAATCAGTGGCAAACGACTTGCTTGCTCACGACTTTCTCACGACTTGCTCTACCATTTTGTCACCCATGCCCATCAACAAGTCTCCCTTGTTGGTGCCTGTCCCGAGTTGGACTGCCACTTGTGCTCTGCTCCAAATCGCACGTAGCGATCTGGAGGCTGGCCCTGCAGGTTCCCGTGCGCTCAAAGGCTCAAATGGTAGCGCCATGTAGCGCCATTTCTTTGTTGCGTCTTCTACGATTGCACAAGACAACTCCAATCCCCCACAAGTCACAGCCTTGTGTGGAGTAGTGTCCACAACTACCACCGCCTTGGGAGTTAGTAGACCCTGGCGACGTGCGCCAAAGTCGGGCGTTGGAAATTGTTGCACCATCTCTACGCCGCGTTTGAGATGTTTTCTTGTGGGGCAAATAAGACAAAGAGCCAGAGGATATCTGAGGTACCCTGAGGTATTCCTGAGGTATGTGATAGAAGTCAGCTGGGGTTCCATTCTTTCACATTGCTTTTCATTGCACCTACATCATTGCAATGGTCACTTCCAAAGCAGCAATCTTCTCCGGAAGCTTCCAAAGAAATTGGTGCCACCCCGACTCCCGACCTGATTTCTACTGCCTCTAAATGTCCTCTTGGAAAGCAACGTTTTGATTGAATTTCCAGCCTGCTTCAACTTGCAGTAGTACTCCCAAATACCGTCCTTCGAACAGAGTGCTCTGAGTCTCGTTGGCTGTAGCCACTCAAAGCGGTGCTTGGCATACAACCCCTTCAAAATATGAGAGCTTGGCAGCACGATATAGCCAGGTGTACCGAATAAACCAATGAACTTAAATCAAACTAGCTTTGTTAGCTATGTCAGTTGGGGCATCGGGGCATCGGCATCAGGACTCCTTGTCAGCATCAATGACGACCAAGTCAAAAGGGCCATCCTGGCCATCAAAAATATCAAAAGGATTCTGTGGGAGTTGCAACCAATTGCCGAATCCCGATGGTATCCGTGCCATGTGTGAGACGTTGTGAGACATGGACTTTACCGAGACGAAAGCTGACAAGGCCAGTGCGAAAAACTGAGGAAAATTCAACAGGCCTTCCGTACTTAGTGTCGAGTTTGATCTCAGACTTGCAAATCAACTTCCAATGGATTTCAGGTCCAAGGCTCGTGTGGTGCTTGCCCTTTCAAGTATTCCATGCCCTTGGGTGGCTTTCGCTTTGATTTGCAGATTGACCTACAACGACATCTCCATGTTTTCACAGAGCTGATGTGACTTAAATATCTTAAATTGGGCTGAGGTCTGCTGAAGTATTCAATACCTTCAGACTCAGAGGAGACTTGACACTATGCAAAATCTCTCTCCATGGAATGTAAACATGGGGCTTTATTTTAACTTCGCGTTTGAACTCTTTGGTTTTGCTTCATGTTATTCAGGGCAGAGAATATCAACGTTGAACCAACTATCTCTTGAACTTTTGTCCTCAGGCATCCACAGTCCCAATGAAGGAGTGAATCTTTGTCCTTGGTCTGGCATCGGTTGCCATGAAAACAGTCAATTGATATAACAAGAGGCCCTTGAAAATCTTGAATGTTGCTGCAAACGTCATACACTGCACTTTTTGACATGGTCTTCAAGGAGCTGGTTTTGTGCATGCACAGTCTCCAGTGTGTGATCCCATCAACAGCCCTCTGGGAACACGGCCCGTGAACACTTCGCGCCCAAAACCTGAGACAAGCGGAACAGTGTTCAGCCGCGAATCCCTTGCACTTGATCTGTGAATGTCTCCTCAACAGCGTCCTAACAAGATGCCTATGGCCAAATGCCATGATTTTGCAACAGTCAAGACCCATAACATCCTGCGCCAGATGGTGAATATCATCTGCAGGTGATCACCTATCCAGCGCATAATCTTAAGGGGCACGCCGGGCTCCTGTGCTAAGCGCAGTGCTGCTTAACAAAGTCTGCCAGGAAAGGGTCAATCTCCACGGTAGCAAGCATGCCATCAGATGGCAACACCTGTCAAGCAGGAACATGGCTGGGGACTTAGTCTCTTCATCGGTGCATGGATTTTCTCTGTGGAATCTGCCGAGTTCATCCGATATCTGGAATCGTGGCTTTGCCTCTGCCATTGCCAAGGTTGCAACCCCGCCTGCGGAGAGCTCCCAACATGTCCCAACAGTGTCAAGCAGTTGTGAAACAAAAGTGTCACGACAACTCGGAATTGCGAAACCACAACACTCTTTTTTCAGTACTACAACCATGAATTTGCTGGAACTCCTAGATACACTGACTCGTACGACCCGTCACCACTTTTCAATCCAATTCAAGGAAATGTATGGAAATGTATGGAACTGCTGTGTGCACATCCCAGAAAAACATCTGCCGGCACCAGACAAAATCTGCAGATGTCATCCGCCAGAAGTTTACATTGAGCTCCGGGCAACATTGTCCAATCTCTAGCACCCGCCTAAAAAAAGGGGCACGACAAATGAAGCTTTTCATATCTTTTCATGATCAACTTCGGACAGCCACTCTTGACACAAAGCTCGAGGCAACATGAGGCAACATGAGGCAACTGTGGGAAAGCATAGCAAATTGTTTCGGTTTGTTCATCAAAAACAGTTTGGCAGTAAACCTGGTAAAATCATGTAAAATCACCATGGTCAGCCATTTTTCTGTGTTTTGTCTGTGGTGATTGAAGACCTGTCAGACTCTTCTCTCTGACGAGGCACTTGGCTCCAGAGACTGCACAAAGTGTCTGCAGCAAGCCTCTCTGAAACTTGGGCCATGGAGTGGCTCTGCGGTTGCTGTGACATGTCCATCATCCCCATGCAAACTTGGGAACAAGGGAAAGGATGTCAATTTTCTTAAGCAACTTTTAAACACACTTGGCATATATAGGTTTTGACTAACCACGTTCATGTATAGCCTGGTCTTGTAAAAGGTATAGCCCAACACCATCCAACACTTAAGTCTGACTTTGGAGCAATCCTTGGAGCCGGTTCCGCATTTTGTTGGAAGCCATACAGTCCATACAGTTCCTGGAACTGGTATACTTTGGTCGTCTTTGGTCCAACTCTCCGTATCCTTAAGGAATGAGCTCCCCCACCGCATCTGGCTGCATCGGCAGACCATTCTTTGGCAACACGAAACCTGTCAAGCTACACACTCTGCTAAATCAGCACGCTGAGCACACTGGAGCTCACCCTTCCCACAGTTTCCTCTCAGGACCAAACTTTGTCTTCTTGTCTAGGTACAGCTGCCACCTGAGTGGCAGTGGCGGAGAGCCACTAGCTTCACAGTGTTTTCATGTGTTTTCCAAATCATCGTAATTTTGCAAAGGCGGCCAAACTTGCACATCAGAGTCACATCAGCTGATCCAACAGTGGCTTGGCCACGGACCAGTCGGTAGCTTTCACTGCCTCGGCAGCAGTGAAGAAAGAGAAACTTGCTCCCATCATGTCTTGAATTGGGGATCAAATTTCAACACCCTGGAATTCTCACCATTTAAATCTAATTAATACATATTAATACCATTTCTCCATTTTCTATCAAGATTCATCACGGCTGCAACTCACATCATTTTTTCCCAGCCATACCGTGCTCCGAAGCGTGTGCGCACTATTTAAAGCAACAAAATGAACATAAATGAACATAAATGAACATAAATGAACATAAATGAACATAAATGAACATAAATGAACATAAATGAACATAAATGAACATAAATGAACATGACAATACATAATAAAATTGGAAATGAATTTAATACACTATTGGTTCCCTATGGTTCCCTTGAGGACCTCAGGAAAGCATTGTCTTTTTATCAAAGCTGTGCCGTCCAGGCCTCCCTCATCTCGCCGATGATGTCAGATGGGGGAGCTTGTGGTGGCGACCTCATCTGCTGCAGTTACACATCAAACATAACAAACCAACAGTTACAGTCATTTATCGTAGCATGTTGTAGCTGTGGATAGCTGTGGAAAACTATAGAAACATATTCTCAACAATCCCTCTGTTTGTCCAAAACCTGCAATCTAAGACTTGAACCATGAAACAGGCCGTGGAGAGCCTGGAATCTACGACCAAGAAAAACGTTGCACAAGGAATGGTTTGTGCATTCTCGTTCCTTCACGAGATAAGATTGCTGATTTATGATATGATGAATATGATATTTATATACAATATATTCTCTTAGGTTGCAATGACTAATCCCTGTCCATGGCTTCGCCCTCGCGGCGAAACCCAGTCCTGGTTTCTGAGGCACTGCTAGGAAGTTCTGCGCAAAAGTGGCAGTAGGAAAAGCCTCAAAACATCTGGACACTGCAACCACTTCTGCGATATCATGATGTCGCGTGATGCTGTGCATGCCATACCACAAAACATCACAAAACCAATCATAACTAGTCAACTAGTCGGAAATCCCCAATGTCAGTTACAGTTAGTTCATGGCAGAGTCATACCACTGCGCGGTTTATTGGAAGTTCAGCATTGGGGCTGCTGCCCCAGCGGAAAGGTTTTGCGTGTGTGCCTTAGCTCTGCCAGAGGGTCTGGTGGGAGCATGACCAAACAAAATGATGGGCAAATGATGGCCAAATAATGAGCAGAGCAGTAACATGAAGATACAACCAGCAATGATTGCCACCTGTGGCGAGGCTTTTGAAACTCCTTGAGACCCTGAGTGCGCTGCTGCCTGGTGAGGGTAGCCCTATGTGCAACAGTCATGGTTCCAACATCGCGAGACAAACTGTGGCATGTGCTGCTGGCAAACATGCGACGAGCTTCCAACCTTTGACTTAACATTTGATGTTAATCAGATCCTTCCAACCTCAATCCCAAGAACTTGAACCCCTCAATTTGTGAATTTATGCTGACTTTGTCTGGAAATTCAAAAAATGCATTCCCTTCTGTGGCCAGATTAACGAATGTCATTTGATGCTAGTTAATGTTAACTACGTATGATATACGGATAATGGATGAGTACCCGTCTATACCTTGTCGGTCTCAGTTTCTGTGGCCATCTTACCCCACTTCCCGTGGGCTGAGACCATACTGCTTTGGTTTTGGCGGCCAGTGATGGCCAGTGACTAGAGTGACTTGCCATAAAAGTCATCGATTCAGAATGATTCGGCCGATTCAGCGGCCTGCGGTAGAGCTATGTGACTCACCTGACTGCAACATCAACAACTGCCATCATCCCACATCCACACAGCGCTCACAGCGCTCACAGCGCTTTCGTGATTTTCGTTTCTGCGGAATGAAGCAAAGCAATGCTAAAAGCAATGCAAAGCAATGCAAAGCAATGCAATTTTTGTTAATCTCTGGACCGAGGGCTGAGAGTGGATCCACCGTGATCTGAGTGATCATGAGTGATCTGAGCACCTCACGCCAGGAATGGACCTCGGCAAAAGGTCAATCGGCTTCGCTGACAAATCCGTCAGCAACAGATCCAGAAATGTCTCAGAATTTGGACAACACAAAATACAGTGAAAATACAGTGAACATAGTCTAACATAGCCTAACATAGTGAACAAAAATGAACAAAACCACCCATCTCCTATCTGATCCTATCTTTCAAACATGCCCATACAGCCCAATTGGTCAGTATGATTTCGCATTGATTCCATGCCCTGAGCTGGGCTGGGCTCTGGGCCCATTTTGCGATGCCATACTTGGAACGGTGCGGCAAAACTGCAGTGATGTAACTAGTCGTAATTAGTCGCATGAAGCTGGCATGATTTGACATGTCTTCGGGCTTGTCCTTACTTGCTGATAGAACTCCCCGAAGTTAGGGTTTGCTTTGACGTGGTAGAAATGGGTTAGAAGATGTAGCGTGCGTACTGGCCTTGAGCTCTTTGCCTCAGGATTTCAATGTGGAGATGTCATAGATGATGTCATTCTATGAGCCACGCTGATCGCAGATTTTGAGCAACTGAAATCCGGTGCGCAGGAAATCGACCCAGCGTGGAGGCAATCAATTCTCCGGAAAAGATACAGTATACACTCGCAACAAGGTGGTGTGTGAATCCACATGCGAGATTATCATACATCGATATGCACATACCTACAAAATCCTACAACTATACACAACACATAAATTTGTCCTATATTAATCTAATATATATATATATATATATCTATACATACATATATTATACATATATGACACGTCGTATGTGTTGATATGCACAGCTGCAGCACACTTTGTCCGAAGTCTATAGCTCAGAACGCTCAGAGCTGTCCAGAAGGAGGTCCTGTGGCAAGAGCCCAGGGGTTGAATGACAGGGTGGTCCTCAGATGTCCTAAGGTGGACCCCAACATCCAAAACTCGTTATTTGTTGTAGGCAAAACATAGTATTCTGCTTATAAGTTATAATCATATTATATACATATATCATATTGTTATATTATATATATATATTATACATATTGTAACTGTAACAGTAATGTTTAAACATTTTTACAATAGGGACACCAATGATTCACCAATGGTGAAATAGTGGTGCCTGAGAAACATCCAAATGCGAATCCCATTGACGAGTTCATGATGCATCATGATTCAATGATGCCCTGCATGGAGATTCTTGCAGAATGGTGTCATGTCTCACCAAGGCTGGAACCACCGCCACCAGCGCATGGTCAGAGGGGAACTGAAGCCTGCTGCTTCTGACAGAGGAACATCGCACATCCAGAAGTGGCAGGATTTGCGACGAGTTCCGGCGTTTCCGAGAAATAATCACATCGCTGTTTTCAAGCCGCTATGAGTCCAATTCAAACAGCAGATCAATGGTTGGTGCCAGACACAATGTTGATCATGGTGTGTAGGGGGATGACATGTGGGGATTTCAACGAACTCTGGTTATCTCTGGTTGCCATGTTAGCATCAGCCCTGTTTCAAATTGGTACCGTTTGCAACAGCGGAATCCGGGATGCATACGTGGGGAAGACCATGTCTTCCACGTATCTTCCTTCGCCTTGGCCATGCTCTACAAGAGCAAGATCCCGGACTACATGCATTGGAAAAAAAACCGTGTTCTTCGCATTCTTCCAATTTGACAAGCAATTTTGGCAAGCAAACACCTTATGACCTTATACTTGGCGTTGTTCCTCCAGTGGCGGTCGCTGAGCATATCACCGGTGTTGTCTCGGATCACATCACCCACCTGCAGCACTGGGCCCTTTGCAGACTTTGACCGTGTACAGCCACGGAGCATCACGGAGCCACAAAGTGTCTGATTTCTGATTTGTTCACTCGCAACTGGAGCGCCTTGAAGTGCTTTGTGAAGAGCACAAAGTCCTCCAGTGCTTCTGCTGTACTGATGCTTTTGGTGTCCAAAAGCGAAAACAATACGTCTGCAAGGATGGAACGATACGACTGACGCGTCAAACCAGAAGTACTCAAATTCATTACTCAAATGCATTCTACAAAGCTCTTTTTTTGCTAGAGACCAACCAGCATTGAGGCACCATTTACATTTTCTCAGGTCTTGCTATCTCAACAACTGAAGATGGCAAAGGCTCCTTGGGATTGCGATCACCCTTCTCCTCCAACTCATTGCTCTTGGCCGCCTTGTTCAATTGCGGCTGCCTCAGCTTGTCCACCACAACTGGCAACTGCCATCTGACTCACATCGTCATAGATGTCATGACTGTCATAGTTCATCTGGGATTCTTACAGGTACGTCCTGGCATTGAAGGTGGTGTACAACTTTGGCTTCACATCACCCCAGCAGGCCTCAGCGTGCCCCCAGACCCATGTCTAATTTGAGCTTCACGACAGGCTTCTGTAAACATACATGTTACATACATACGGGATGTCCTGAGATAAAAAGGCACTATACTGTCCCTTCGTTCAAGTAGAACTGGCATCGCGCCACCGCAATTACAGCTCAAAGCGATGGGGCATTCGGAAAGTTATCCATGCCAGCCTGAAAATTTTCCACGGACATCTGTGAACTTAAGCATTATTCCATGATATGATTCTATATGATTCTTATACTTTGGCCCTTGGAGCGCAGTGATTTTTTGAAGGAACTCTTGATGATTGTCAACACCTCCATGAACAAAAATAGAAGTGATACACAGTGATATGATGTTCGTGTGAAATGGTTTGCTCATGTTATATCAGGCATGATCTGCACCCAGTTGGACCCTGCCTGCAAACCCAGTCCTCGGTAGGTCTCTTCAAAATCCAAGACATGTGCCTGTCGCAAAGATTCGCAAAGGTGGCACCCGGCTGGCCAAGTCGATTCACCAAGATTTTTCTCAGCCCTGCCCTAGGAACGCAAAGATGGCCTTAATCCAGCCATGTCAGGCCATGTGGGCCATGTGCCTTGCCATCAACCTTTTTCTCGTGCGTGTTGGCATCAAGGCCGAAAACCAGCCGTGACACTGGAACATGCCGCCATACCTGAACAGAATCTGGTGAACTTTGCAAATGCGCCAAGGGTGAGCCAAGGTGTGTCAATGATTGTCAATGTTTGTTTGCAAAAAAACACTCAGATTACACAACTTTGACAACATGACCCCATTGGATTCCCCTGGTACCAAAGGATACCAAAGGCACCTTGGACAGCATGGGAACGGTTAGAAGGCCATTGGTATCACCATGAAAGGACGCCAAGGCAATCTCCGGCCCTTGGTGCACCTGTTGCAACAGAGGTTTGGCGCTTCATCCACTACCATGCTATGTACCACTGCATAGTTTACCAATGTTTACCACACGGGAAAGTTCGTAGGTCTTGAACTTATACAGTGGACTTGTCCAGCAACAATTCATCAGACTCGTGCGGAAATGGTTCAGACTGCTTTATATTTGCTGCCCGAACCTGAAATTTGAAATCTTTCCACACCAATCGGGGCTGGAACTACTCAGCGCCATCACAACCGAATCATAATCATCGTGAACCAACCATCGTCCAAGGTTGACACACGCTCTGCTGGCACTTTTCTGACTACTCCCGCAGCGGAGATTGAAACTTTCGCACAGTCGGCTTGTTGTCTCTCCATTGGAGAAGGGTGGAACGACGACTTCTGGTATCCAGAAACGAAGTTCCTCTCGACATCCGCGACATCTGCTGGGATGGGAGTTGTTCTACTCCAAAATCTGGACGGTCATCATTTCAGAATGCATCTGAGCTATTATTTGAGCTGATTTGGACGAATAAGGTGCTGTAGCAAGGCACCCTAAAGAATGCTTCTGATCTATAGCATCAAGTGATTGGCAAAAAATCCAATGAAGCCAATGCCAATGCATTTTGAGATGACTCTGAGACTATGCCCATGCCCATTCAAAACATGTTAAAAATTGTTAAAATATATTAAAACAAATCTTGAACATTGCATATATGCATATTGTCACACCATGCAATTCCAATACTTGCTGTTTACCTCTTGATTCAAGGCAGGACAACCCCACATCAATGGCACGCAGGGCCTGGAAAAAGAGACACTGGGCCTACGCCTTTGCTCACAGCTTTTTGATGCTGACAGCATGGTTTCCTCCGATGTCCATGAATGAGGTCTGCTTTTGTGAAGCCCTTTCGGGACCAAAGAATTGGTCCTTTCAGATGTTCAGTTATTTTCCCTTTTTGTAGACCTCGCGTCATGATCTGGGGACCCTGAAGCATCTTTACAATCATTTCTGTCGTGATTCGAAACTTGTCAAGCCCTTCTTTTTTTTAGAGATCATTTGTAACAGTAGTTTTTTTGTTCAAGTATGGAATGAATTGACCAGAAGGCCTCTTGAAGACCTCTTGAATATCCCTGTATTGTCCCTACAATTGGTCCCTACAATGTCCATGTAGCCGTGCAGTTCCAAAATTCTGCCAAGCATTGCAGCTTGCGAGCTGAGATGGCTGGCTGGACTAACCCAGCTGGATAAAGGGCTCGAATTCGTTCAAGATGTGCCGCGGTTAGAGAGGGCAATGGCATGCTATGGCATGCTATGGCTATGTCAGTGCTCTTATTTTACGGATTCAAAGGACATAACAGGACATTATATGAAGCAAACGGACACAGTATTGCACAAAATGGCTAAAGAAACCTCTTTTAAGGTGAAGGATTGAGGTGCTTTTTGTAACACCACAGTGGGGCATCAAACACATCAAACATCTAAACGCACGTGCAGGAAACATGCCCAACACGAGCATTGCTTCACTAGGTGATGCAGTGAAGCATACAAATAAAGGTATTTATTATATATATATATATTTTCAAAAGAATTCAAGAACTCAGTGAAAGAGCCTTATACGTGGCCGAACGGCACTTGGTTCAAAGCCCTCCAAAGACCAATATGTGTGCCACAGCCGCACAAAGATGCTGAAGGGATGAGGTTTTGCATCGAGTCCAAATAATGTCCAAATGAGTCCATTCCAAGTGCATGAATCCATTCTTTTTATTGCATATTGAATTTCATATCATTTCTTGATTTCATGTTAGGGCCTCTGTCTTTCCTTTCACATCCCTCCAATTATGTCGCTTGTGAAGCTTTCAGTGGCTGAAAGAAGATTCTCTGGCGCAGTGATCACGTGTGCATTGGTGGTTCTCATGGTTTGCCAATTCGTACCAACGTACAGGTTACCCAGAACCTGAGATGAACCAATACTATAATTATACACATTGTCTAAACCTAATTCCAGGGAGTCGTGTTTCAACTCTCACACATCCATTGAAATAATGCAGTTACGACAGTGAATGACATTTATCAGCCATGATCAGCCTGTTCTTGTCTACTTTTGAAACTCATGTTGTCTGCCTTGGAAGGCGTCCCAAAGTCGGATGGGCGAACAGACATATTTTGGGACCCCACATCTTGGCCCGGTGACAATCGAGATCCAACGTGGATGTCAAATGATGTCAGAGAATCCTCCACCAATGCATGGCGCACTAGTCCAAAGCAGAAGTTCTAAGGATGGAAGCAGATGGAAGCAGATGGAGGCAATGGGTGGGAGGCCCTTTGAGATCCTTTGAGTCTGATCGAGATGGATGGAACTTTCTTTCTCACCTGCACTGCTGACTCAGTGCGGCACCGTGCGGCACCGTGTGGCATGCTGCACCCGTCACCCATTTGATCCAAAGCGATCCAAAGCGATGAGGCGCCAAGGCTACTGGCATGGAGTTCACAATCCAAGACTCCACAGCTGGAACCTCCAACATGATCAATCTGTCAATCTGATCAGTTGCGACACGGTGCGACACCACCAACGAGCTAAAACTTCTTATGAAGCGTCTCGCAACAGTCAGTCTTTGGTTTCCCAGTTGCATCACTTAAACGGCTCAGGACACATCACTTGGATTTTCTATCTGTCCTCACATGTGCATGTACGTAGACAGGATATGTCATGAAGATACTTAAATATAATTATATACTGAAACTATATCTTCTCTCTCTATTATATATATATATATCTATCAAGATATAGTTCCTATAGTTTAAGTATGTTTAAGTATCTTCATGACATATCCTGTCTACGTACATGCACATGTACGTAATATATATATATATTAAAAAATATATAGACCATCATAGACCAATACATATTACACACACACACACGTGGATGATCGTGGATGTAACATGGCGTCACTTCTGATGGATGTGGAAATGCTCAGAGGCTCCCTCCAAGCCCAGCTCAGCGCACCTATCGGGGCTATCTTCGCCGAACTTCTTCACTGCTGCTGCGCAGATTCGGCGAGGCGTTGCGACTAGGTCGAGCGTTTTGCATCTGCACAGCGGTAATAGGGGGAAGCACCGAAGACACAGCAGGGAAGTGAGCTCTATATCAGTACCAAATCTATTAACTGAATTGGCTCTGAGTTCGATTGTGAGCAACAAGGAGACACGAAAAGAATGGGCACCCGGCACCCAGCAAAAAAAATGCTCCGGTGAAGACTTTGATTTGTGATAAATCTGATTTGCAGAACTTGTTCAAGGTGGATGAATAAGATTCTTTGGTTTCTGAGTTTGAACGAGCATGCGTTCTCCATTCGGCAGTTGAAATTGTGGCTGACTGCAAAAATCATTCTGCCTTGTCATTGATCATCTGCAAGACTTTGTTGATGTCTTGTCGCACTTCGCCTAAATCGCTTTCCATCCTGTTGACTTTGCCTTAGGTGTCATGTCTGGCTAAAACTAGGTAAGTCAGCTTGGCCAGGTTCCATGCTCGACCAAAATCTCTCTGGTCCAAACAACCTGCTTTCAATTGTGAGGCTCCTCTCCTCTGTCAAGCTTTGTGTCAACATGTCGAAAAATGTCGAAAAGGGTCTCCCAGCGTCTTTCTGCAACTTTCACAGGATGCTTTTCAGTACTTTTCAGTATATACAGAAAGATATTCACGCTTTGTAAAGATATGTAATGATCATGAGAAGTGCAACAATGGTTATTCACAATTCTTGCAACAACCGCAACAAAAACGACGAGGATGAGGAGGGTGATGATAGTGGTGGTGGTGATGTACGAATGAAGTGATTCTGTATGATTCTGTCTTCCGCGTAATTCTTCCCCGTGAAGCCAGGCCACTATCTAACCGATTGATGTCACCTTCCTGCGTCAAGAGATCAGAGAAAGTTGGACACTTTTGCAGGTGTGGCTGGACGTGTGCAATGATCAAACTCAAGGGGGGGAGAAACCCGTACGACATCGTACGACAATATCACACAATCTTTTATATACATTTATAATACATTTATATAGACGTTCTGCGTAAAGTGCCTGGATCCGGTGCGTGCAAAAGCCCTATTCAGATCTATTCAGTCAAATACCTTGTGCTGGACATGTACAATCCGACAAAAAGCAAGTGCTGTCTTGAAACCAATCATGGGAGTCACAAGTCGACAACCTTGGCAGAGGATCCCTCAAATTTCCTGAAGTCAATTGTTATCCAAGTTTTGCTCAAATGATCAGCAATCATCAGCAATCAGCAGCCATGCCACCGAAAGCCACGGAATCCCATCCCTCACCCGCCTTCACTGACACTGCGTCTTCGCTGCCGCCCAGATCACCCAGACCGCCGAGACTTCCCCTCCGATCCTGAGGGCTCGAGTTCACCCACAGCCCATAACAGTGCAAGCAGCTGTATCGTTGTATCATGTTGTATCGTTGTACCAGTCTACTTTTTTTGAAGCCTGGTATAGCCTGGTGATGCCTGGTCGCACGAATGGACTTCAATCTTCTGGTGCCACTTCTTACAGTAGCATTGACATTTTAGGGAGTCTGCCGCACTGCTGAGCCGATCACACCCCACCTAAGCACCCTCCAGGCTTGGAACTTCCAGCAAAACAAACCAACATGACTGACATGAACGTTTATATACCTTTATCGTAGCAATGGTGTGTATGGTCAAACCTATGAAATTTTCCCCATCACATCCTTGACAAGTGCAAAATCCCCAAGCCCATGGCAAGCCAGGCCTTACTGTTGGATGCTCTTCGCATGGGGTTGGCGCTAGCAGGGCGACTATCGGCCCGGCTGGCGCTTGCACTGTTGATTCGATTGTTGTGGGCATCGAACCTCGAAGCTCAGGAAGCTCAGGAAGCACAGGCACCGTCGTTGCTGGACACAGATCGAAACGTTGTTGAACATGGTCTACTTATGTCTACTAAGTATACTGTTCAATATATTTGTTTTACATGTTTTTACTACATTTACATTTTACTACATACCTTTGACATCGAGCTGGCATTCATGTACGCCCATGATGATCATGATGTTTGCAACTACATCGAAGAGGCTTTTGTTGCAGAACAAGAAACTGTGGAATTTGCCCTTTGCGGTTCTCGCAAAATTCCTCGCACGTCAGAAATTTGGATGAATAAGATATGCAAAATGCACAGTACATCACAGTACTACGTATCATCTTTGCAGAGCAGAAACCAACTACCAAGATCTACCAAGTACTCAAACCTCCAATTGCCACCCAGATCATCTCTGCTTCTGTACATGGCATTGCATGGCAACATATTTGGATTGTCATGCATGAATGTGCATGCATATGCATGACATGAATAGGCTCTGAATAGGACCAAAAGGATCCAAACGGTGTGTGTGTGTGTTGTCCCCCTTTGGTTTTGAACACTTAGAGGATGCCCACGGTGTCTTGCAGAGGAGTCTGCGCTGGGTCATCCTCTATTGGCTAGGGAGGCTTGGCCCCAGTTCGTAAAGTGCGCCATCTGCAATTTCCATGCGTAAAGTGCGAGTCCTCCCTCTAGTTGCTATCCATGCATCAGACTTCGAAAAACATGTCGGATATTTACATTGACACTGTATCTTTCGCATGTCTGTGTAGAACCATTCATACTGTCAAACTGTAGCATAAACAGTTTCAATTTGCGTCTTTGATGAGGCGCTTGCAGCAACACAAGTGAACAATTTCGGTTGTACAATCTGCAGAAACCAAAAACAACTCCACGTCCTTCACTTCTTCTAGCTGCAGGATCGCCTCAGGCGTGAAAGAGCTGAAAAAACGTGTGCAAGCCATGTATCCTATCTTGTCGTCAATGCCGTCACAAACATTATACGCATTGAACATCCTAAAACAAGACCTGGCGCCGTTTGTTGGCCTGCGTGTCAACATTGTCAACACTGTTTTTTTCAAGATTGTATAGACAAGTAATGAGAGGTGTATGACTGCAAAAGCCAACCTACACTTTGTATTGACTCTGTATGGACTGGAATTAAGCACTTGAAAACATACCAAAACCTTTCCGGCCCGGCTCATGATCTTCACTCTGTCAAATGAATGTCTGAAGTTCCCTCAAGCTCAGATGTGGCACCTGAAAACTTCCTGGTACTGAGGTCACAGCAATAGCCTCTCGGGTGTTCTGGAGCGTGTCAGAGCATTGCTTGACTAAACCTGAGAAGTTCAACGAGCACAAGGTCTACAGTGGGCCCGCATCAATTGGTGAGTCCATTCCGTAGCTGTGACAGGCTGGAAGCTGAGCCAAGGAACGTCCCAGTTCCAAGATTCCAGTGCTGCGAGTCGTTGCTTTCAATATGCCATCGCAAAACTCTTCAACACCTGGGCAGACAAAGAGACATACCACATATCCATGTCGTGATTAGCTGAGATACATACCTAGAACATTACCTACAACATACCTACAGCATCTTGCAAATAGAAAGTACAGGAATCTATGTGCCTGTAATGATTTGTAATGGAAACAAATTACCATATGACCAGAATTGATGATCATTCATGATGATCAACAATCAGGAAATCGACCATATGAATTCGGGAAATCACGAGTAACAAAGAAGAAGGAACAAAACACCTGTATAATTACTTGAAAAAACACGATTTCATGGGTGTCAGAGATGGAGATAGATGGAGATTACTTTGATAATCTGAGCATGGATTTTCCATTTTTTTTTCTGTGGATTATCAGCACCTGCTCATCCTGCTGAAGTGTTGCTCCCGACCAAATTGGGGAATCTGAAGCCAAAGGTGCCGATGGTTCCACTTCCATCGTAGTCCAACATGTCAAAGAGTTCCCTAGGCAGGACGTTTGACCACGGCACCAGATTTAAGCACAGGGAAAACATGGAAAACCATGGAAAGGAAAGCACACCTAAACAACACGTCTTTGATTGCTGTAAGATGGTTCAAGCTGGTTCAAGCATATTTGAGCAACCTCTTGATATGTCTTGATATCTGTTCAACTCCAAAGCCAAACAGTTAGTCTGGATGGCAGAAGACCAAAACTATCGATCGACTCCCTGATACATCGAAACTTGTCACTAAAAAACAGTTACCATGTCGAAACTTGTCAACATGAATTGATAGCAGTGAAATCATGTTGACTCCTTTGGGCTATTTCAGGCTCTGACTTTGGATGCAGCTGTATACCACATCATAATAGAATATATACGCCTGCAGTATATATGTATATATTTGTATGCACTACATGTTGCAACACTGCCAAGTATTGGAAGATCCTGGTGACGGAAGGCCAGCAAAATACACATCTGTTTGATACCATTTTCAATGACCAGCTAGATCTACCCGCCTCAGGTCGTCAGTAGCTACAATCTCCTGCGCGCGAAACCAATGGGGACACAGGGAGGACACAGAACCATAAAGAAAGTGCAACACAGCAGGCAACCGCAACAATGTCACAATATCTCGCAATGAAGTAAGAAAGCCATGTTGCAAATACAACAGAAAGGACGAAAAGGCTACAGAATGCCTGAATGCAACAGGATACAAGGGAGTCATGGTGGCAGCAAAGGCAGAGGTCTGTTGGACAGCATTGGCTCAGCATTGGCTCAGCGGCTCAGCGGCTCAGCATTGGCTCAGCGGCTCAGCATTGGTCTCCTTGAGCTGCTGTTGGGTCTCTTCTGGCGCTCCATTGATCTCGTCCAGCGTCAACTCCCCAGAGCCATCCTGCGCGCGCTACAATGCGCTACAAACCTCTTTTCTTAAGTGCTGTGTCAGTGCCGCCAGTGAGACATTGTAGATAATTAGATGTTGCAAGAGCCATAGCAACGACACTCTTGTTATAGACTTGGATTGAGTCGTGATTTCAAAACAGACTGGGCAATTAACAAAGCGAGGTCAGGTATTTAGTTCATTTTCTACAATCATCATCTATATTGTATCAGGTTCTTATGCCTGGAGGAAACATGAGGCTTGAACCTGTTGCAACCAGCGATAGAAGGAAAACAGCGGCACTGGACCTCATCGAGCAGCAGGAACATATCCTTCAAGTGATCGATCCTTGTGGCAGGACTGGGCCAAAACACGGCAACAGTCTATTGAACTGTTGCACAACAACTAATTATTCATTATTTCACCAATGATTCACCAATGATTCACTCCAGAACCACTTGACAAGACCGCTTCGCATCAGGTGTCGAGGACAAGGAGGGTGCCTGGGTCAAGTTCAGCACCAAAACATCCATCAGATTCATCAGATGGTCTAAGCTGTGTATCGACTCAGTTTCCCCCATTTTTCTCCATTTTTCTCTAAGCTTCTGCTTGGCTCTGCGTGCCGATTCCCAGGCTTTTAACGCCTCTTTGTCTTGAGTTGCTTGATCCAGGGAGGAGTTCACCATGACAGCCGTGACCTCGACTCTGCCCGCATTCCACGTCAGAAGCCAGCCATCGCTTATCAAGTACAGATCATAAATATGTATAACTAACACACACACATGTATACATAATATAATATGTATTATAGTATAATATAATATAATACAATATAATATAATATAATATAATATAATACAATATAATATAATATAATATGATATAATATGATATGATATGATATAATATAATATAATATAATATATATATAATTAATAATAATAATAGTAATAATAAATAATAATAAGTATAAAATATAGTATACAACAGGTATAATATATATATAATACAATATGTATATAATGTATATATATAATATAATATAATATAATATAATATAGTATAATATAATATAATATGATATGATATGATATGATATAATATGATATGATATATATAATATGTACATACATATATATATATATATACTAAATATGTTTATGTACATATTATATATTATATAATTATATATATGTATATTATAAGTGTGTATCATGTGCATAACTTAATCATATCAACATCCATCTAATCATGGCATGGATGTTGTGAAATCCTGGCAACCTCAGAGACATCCTCAACTTTGACAGTGGCTGGTAGGAAACCGACAGAAGATCCTGGCGCCCTTTGTGGGCTGAGGATTGGTGGGACTTCGATACATGAGTGAACCAAATGCATCATGTCATGGTGAACATCTGGAAATAAAATGATGACAATAGTTCAATAGTTGGGGTATGTTGGGGTGTTCCCTCATCCTTGATCCATTTCAGTTTGCCAGTATTCAGATGTATTCAGTGCCGCGAACATGGACCATCTTTTCCAAACAGTTCCAGATGTGCCAGGACACCAAATTCATCAAGGCAATGGAGAGCAGGAGCAACACAGACATGAAGTACACAAGCCTTGGAACAAATCATCGCACGCATGTGCACGCCATGCCACAATCTCGGGATTCATGTGCGTTCCATTGGACCACCTTAAACAGAAAAAATCAGAAATCAGAAAGGATAGGATTCGGTACTTACTTACAGTAGGTATCGGTCGCAAATTTATCTCTGCGTCGTGCCAGGTTCGGCTTGACTGCATACGCCTATACCGTTGAAAACTGTCAAACTGATAAACCTGTCAGATCAAGAGAGTTTGGATGGAGTCAGTGAACATGGTGGCATATGAATCCATACAGTCCCGTTGACCCTGGTCTGCATCAGAACTGTCAGATCTGTCTGACAATTACAGTACTAAATAGTACAAAGATGTACAAAACCAAGTTTCAGGAAGAATCTGTGCTTGATGATGGGCTTATAGATGGCACCGATGCTGTCCAAACCTTGGTCGTGGTTTCATGTGAGTTACGAGTACTCATGTGCTAAAGTTTTAAAGGATCCAGATGGATCCAGATGGATCCAGATGGATCCAGATGGATCCAGATCTGAACTGAATGGACAAACATGGACAAACTATTTCAAATGGAAGAGTAAGAAGTAAGAAGCAAAGATAAATAAAGATAAGCAAAGCCTGGAGAGGATTGGATTCAACATCTTCAACATATTCAACATATTTAACATATTCAAAAGAAGAAGTGAAGAACAAGTGAAACTCTGGGCCTTGACGTGTCGCACATCGCCTCCCCAAGACTAGCCATCGCTCTCTCGGCAGCAAACTTTAAGCCACGTCAGCCTCCCCAAGACCTTGCGCTTCCTGGGATTCTTTTGGGCACAAGGATATCATATCCCAATATATCCCAGGTGTCTTTACTTGGACCAACCCAATGCCAACGTTTTCATGACGAGGAAACTGAATATCTGCAGCAGCGTCATGAGCGCATCAATGAAATCTGAGAAATTGTTGCCTTGAAGCTGCTAGGACCCGGGCTAAGGCGCACAGAAGTGTCTGAAAAGTCCACTTGAACATAGACAACGTTTGTGTATTCTCTATCTACAAACCATTACAAACCCATACAACTCCAAACGCACTTCGACCTCACGAAAGCTTCACAATGTGGAATTCAACGTCAATCTGGATCTTTCCGCAAAATAAACGCAATCAGCAAGGCAGTACGACTCCAGGGCACTTGAAGCTTTGTTGTAAGGATGATCCAGTGGCAAGTCTTCATCCAGCCGAATCAGCTCCTAAGGCGGCTAGGGCACACACTAATACTTCTATCATGTGATGTACACAATATGACATACATGTATTATGTATTTTAATGGGTATAATATATTATATATTATGTGATATATGAATATATGTATAACATTGTATAACATTGTATAACATTGTATAACATTGTATAACTGTATAGCAGTAGAACATAAATATGATTATGTAATCTAGTTATATATATATATGTATATACAGTGGTTTGGCAAGGTCAGAAAATCAGGTCACGGGCTGTTTTAGCTGGGGACCCTGGAGAATCCGGTCACGGGGTCACTGCTGTTTTGGCCAAGCATCCATGCCAACGATGGCACCAACATACATCAAGATGCTAATCAACAAAAACGTCCACAACAGTGTGCCCAAACCTCAGAAAGCAGAGATGGAGCTGAAACTTCTAGCAGCTAGCCATCAAGTGAAAGTTGTCCAAACGAATGTTCGGAGTTATTGTTGTGACATGTTCATCTACCATGAAGTTGAACCAGACTTCAGAAACTACATCCAAATTTCCACGACCTCGGCAATGTTTTACTGCTGGGAAGAATTTATGAAAATTCAGGAGCAGTAGTTGTGGCATCTGTTTGACTTAAAGTGGCATCGCTCAAGAGAAGGAGGAAGAACCATGAAAAGGACAGATTCTGAGGAGTTCAACGACATAACCTGTGACCAGCCTCCCACAAAATATGGCCAAACACTGCCATTTTTTTTGCCAAAAAGCTGTGAAAAAGTCCTTGGACCAGCTGCCACAAGGTCTTGAACTGCACCTTAGGAGGGTACGACTCCGGTATGACTCTGCGAACAACATGGCTTTCGGCTCGGACAGGCCCAGAAAATCTCGGAACTGCATTTCATTGGGCTCTAGAATCTAGAATCCCTGCATTGCAAGGTCGCACTTCTTTATAAGACAACTCAGCATTACCAGTACTGTCTGGCTGATGCTGGTTGGACAATCAGCGTACCCAACGAACAAGAATATGAAACGTAATTTAATATGGATGGACTTGAAAGCATCAACCATGAGTTGTATTCAATATGCTTCTTTGGCATCAACAGAACTCAGATCAAAGAACTACGTTGGCTCGAATAAAACCCAAGTTCATTCGCTTTAGATCCGTTTCTGCCCTGGCAAGACCAATAAGACCAAGGAGCCATGAGACGAACTGCTCTCGCTAAGCGAGCCAAACGCAACATGCGCACTAACATCAGGATCTTGACCTGCTGTGGCATAGTGAGTGATAATTCTGAAGCCTTCTATGATGAATTGATTGCATGTCGCATATGAAGAATAGCGGAGTTTGAGATGATTGAAGTAGCTTTGCACTTTGCGCTTTGTCAAATTTGGGAGTTGCAACCACTTGAAGGGAGCAAGTCAAGCTCCTCTGTGAACGTGCGTACAACTCAAACAACCGATAGTCACATGGAGCAATAACACTTCTGCAATCCATTTATTTCAATCCGTTTTGTTGTTGCAGACAGCTATGCAATGTGTTTCTCTATCAAAACTGGGTGATGCAAAGGCCCGCAGTGGCAGGAATTTTCAAAGGGTTTAGTAAGATGGTGTGAACGCTCTGAAAGCTGGAAGATCCAACTGCAGTGCAAATGAGTAGCACTCTCTTGTGAGACGGCTTTCACAAAGAGGTCCTTGGATGGAACTGCGAGCCACGCTCATGGCTTTGCTGGGGTCTTTGACCATCTTTGATCCTTGATCCCTAACACACAACAGAAATTCAATTCTCAAGTTGGTTGAGACTGGACCCCCTCATATGCAGTGTGCCATGTCACGGATCATCATGGTGGAGGAATCTCATGATGACAGACAGAAAATGAAATGTGAGAAATTGTGAGAACATCCGTCCCTTGGGTTGAGATAGGTTGAGGGTTGGATCATGGCAAGTACCGTGTTACTCCAACGTGAGAGGCTAGCTGACAAGGCAATGCGAACTAGTTTCCGCTGTCGCAGTGAGCACCAGGAAGAAGTCGAACTTGACCTGAGATACACAAGCTTATCTGTAATTGCTGTCCAACGTGAGCCGTATCCAAACAGCGAACCTGTGTTGGCTGTTTCGGCTTGCATTGTCCCTATTTTTCAGTACAAGGCCTTAACAAGCCTCAACCAACTCATTCTGACTGTTGCATCATTGCATTATCATCCGCTACATTCGGACAAGAACATCTGGCATAAGAGCAGCTGTAGAATGTTTTTCTGCTTGGAGGATTTTCCTTCAGATTCCTTCAGCCTCGAACAGCGCAACAGAACCCTTCACCCAGTCCTTCCGAGAAAGGCTCTAAATGTCTATCAACTGTCTATCAACTGTCTATCAACTTCAAGATCTTGCGGTGGATAGAGTGATTTCGTGTGAGATAGCGGGTTCAGCAATCAGCAGCCTGACGGTAGCTGAGGCGCCCAATGGCTCTTGAAAACCCAAATTCCATAGACACCAACACGTGCCACCAGTTCAACGACCTTGGGGCGAGTGTGGGAAGTGACTGATTTGGGATAGGCTGATAGACTTCGTTAGACACGAGATGTTGAATCTTCATGAATCTTCCACAGTCATCGCATGGTTTCGAACGTGATCCTTTGTTCCTTCGTTCTCTGTCTGTGGTTGCAATGTTTTGCAATGTGTATATATATATATACATATATTGTAATATTATACATACATGAATATAACGTTCTTGCAAGAGAAAGCTACGAGCACATCAGATGTTAGATGCGTTTGCAAGAGAACAATCACATGGAGATCAGAACAAATGTATTGATTGTAATGCGTACATTCAGCGATAGATTGAAACATCACAGCTCAGGGAGGTTCGCAGCTCCTGTCATTTTGATACGTTGCCGTTGCCAGGCTGCATAGACTCCATAGAAGCAGTAGTCCAATGCTGCAATCCACTCAGGAGGTGTCTGGCCTACATGGCATTCACGCATTCACATGCATTCACTTCACCAAGGTATGGCTTTTCGTATGTTTTTTGCCAGAACAACTTTAGATCGTCTTCCTTGAAAGGGCCTGTCAATCAGCTGTGATGCATTGAAAGATGTCCACTAGTGAATCTCGATGAATCTCGCAGCGAGTCTTGGTGCCAAGTTGCATGACATCGACATGTCTAGCTGGTTTGCCTGGGAGCATTACGTACTCATACCTATGAGTACAGTTTACCAGGGAGTTGGCAAAGGTTGGCAGAATCATCAAGGAATATCAAGGATGCTTAATTGACATGTGAAGCTAAGGGGAAGTGTTGTGAAAAATGCCTCGAAAATGACCCATACTAGGCAGCCTACGTGTTCAACATCTCACTTGCAAAATCCCTTGCGTAACGGTCACAACAATTCAATACACATCAGGTATGCTTCCTGATCATTTGCCTTGAGATGCCTTGCGACACACCGTCATGATCAGAGTGACTACAATTGATTTCACCAACTTTCACCAAAGATCCCGTGGTCAGTGCCGTCTTTGAGGTGGGATTTTTCGCGTTTCTTGAACATCATACAAACATCATACGAGCATCATCATGCATCCCAGTTGCACAGTCACACTGTTCGGTGCAGCCCAAAGGCACCGAGGATTTCACTTGTGTCTCCCAACCTTGGGGCTGTTGGATGTTTGATCCAAGTTGGAGAATCTGATACACTCTGTACACGTTTCAACTCATTGCTATAGTAGCATATGTACATGTTTATACCTCAACTATCCTCAACTACCTTGACTTATACCATCTTAATCCATCTTATACCTGCCAAGTCATGACTCAAGTGGCTCAAACAGTGACATACCACAGCCAACTCTTGGAGACCGCACCGATGGTGATGGCATTGCTGATAATGATCAGGCCTATGCCCGTGTCAAATCCCCACCTGAAGTCGACGATGCAACCAGCACGTCTCACAGAATGTTCAACATGTTGCGCTGCCAATTCCAACTCTAGCTGATATTCAAGAAACAACGCCCGTGGAGTTCAAAAAATGGCTTTGTCTTAGCTTCATGTCGCAACTACGGCAAAGTTTCACGAAGCGTATCTGGAAACAGGTTAGAGATTAAAACCCAAGCTCTTTAAGTCCTTCAGAGATCATCCTTTGCCCTTTCTACAGAATCACCCTTCTGACCCTGTGAGCCAAAAGATCCGGCTCACATCTTTGATGCTTTTGCCAAAGCAAGTCGGTTTTGCTTCGGGTTCCAAAAAGACGAGAGGCCAGGAGATAAAGTGATGCAACTTCAGACGCGTCCCGCTGAATTGGGAAGGGTCCTTGGCCGATGACATGAATCGATATGAATGACAGGTATTTGCAGGTAGGGGCCCTGATAACCTCTTCACAAACTGTAGTTTAGCCTCTTCGACGGTTGAAGCATACATGGCCTTTGACCAGCTGCATGATCTATGTTCATGTCACGGGGTTCGCTTTACCTAGCCCATTAGCATTAGATCTCCATGCTACATGCCGGTCATTCCAGGTTGGAGCCACAGCATCCTGAGATACCCTGAGATACCCTTCGCAAAGATTCCCAAAGCACCGCAACATTTGCGACCTGACATTGTTACAACATGTTACAACTCTCAGCTCTTGCCTGTTCCACACCCGGCACGCTTTGGGATTGCCAAGTCTCTGTCCTCAAGGCCTTGTAGATTTCTGTCGCCTTGCCACCCTTGTCATGCCTGCACAGCTTCACCATGCTTGCCAGTGTTCTGCGTTTATTGACCCTGCTAAATTCACGCCGTAACTTGATGTAATTAGGCTGGGTTCTTCCATTCAAGGTTTCAGTTGACCTAGTCATAGTCACTATAGTCACTGACCTGGTCTCTCTTGTGATGAAATAGAGTATGAGAGACAGCTGTCACATGGTCTCAAGAGGTCTCAAGTCTAAGTTGTTTGGTCGAATGTTGTGTCAAAGGCGTCGACACCGATGCATGATCTCGAGTATGCGTAAGCGAATAGCTGCAAAACAGTGTCAACCGCTTCTGCTTGTGATGTTCAAACCTCATAATTAGGCACTAAAATCACTAAAAGAACATTCAAGGGGAGAAATCTAAGACTGAGCATCAAGCAGCACAGTCAGTCGCACTTGTGACGAACATCCGGAATTGAGTTCATCCCCCAATCCACAGTACAGATTTGCCAACCAATGTAACACAGTCGTTGCTGGGACTCTCCACAGTTCCTGTCATGGGGTGGGATCTTGATGTTGTAGATTGTAGTCCCTCGACATGACTGTGCTTTTGTATGCTTTTGTAGCCAAAGTCTTGCATTACGAAGCCAATCGACGAACAGGATTACTCAGGTGATAACTCACACACATATAATTTGCGCGACCAACTCTCTCTCTCTCTCTCTATACGCTTCACGTGGTGTCTTTAGTAAAGTAACGGAATGCTCCAAGCATCTCCAAGCTGTGAACGAACGTTGGCACCCTGCGTTGGTCAGCTATCCCATTGTCTAAACATTCTAAACATTGCGTCCATGGAGGCGTCCAGATATCTCAAACTTGCAGTTCAGCTGCATCTTCACTTTGATATCATACCTCGAAAGGCAAATCTCAAATCTACGAGATTCTACGAGAAAGTCGGCAACCTTTTGGAAGTTCGTTCCAAACAGCGTCGGGTGTGTCAAGCACGTCATCATATCAACGTGACAACTTTACAAGAACACCGATTGCAAGGTCTTGATGCATCTGTACGAAATACAAATCAAGGTGCACTCAAAGACGCCACTTTAATCCATGTTAGTTTGTGTTGCCTTGCCTTTCTAGCAAATCCCCAAATTGTAAGTAACCATAATACAAAAATCAACGTATCCAAGCCAAAATAACAACCTGTAAACACCCTCTTCAACCGACTGCCAGTCTAATCCAACACATCCAACACCTGTGCAGCCAAGAAACTCTTCGATCTTCTTTCGCTCTTGCTCATCGCGCTTTTGCTTTTCTTTCCTTTGCAAATCTCTCCGGGCAAAACAAGGCACCTACATTTCAGCAACATGCGTCAAGCTACTCAAGCTACATGGGTGCGTCTCCAGTCCTGAAAAGAAATCCGGCAAACTGCAAGAATCATGAGCCAATTGATTTTTGCTTGGTGACGGCTACATATTGAAATGTCAACATCATTTGTACATGGCCGTTCCTGTTTTCCCTCAATTCTTAGGACACATTGCCTTCCCTGAGTCCCTGTGAGCAATCAATGCATGCCCAGCTGCAGAATCTCATCCGTAACTGAGATGACAAAATGTTGGAAGCAAATGGGAACACCAGGAACTGTCAGATTGCCATGAACCAACACCATTTTTGAAGAACTCTTCTCAACAATTTGCGCTTGAAGAGCAGAGCATCGATTTTGTATGCTTTTTCTAGAGAAAGAGAGAGAGAGAGGGACGAAGCAACAACATCATCAATATCATTGGATAATCTTGGATATATTATGACATCAGTGGGGTTCTGTGGTATTCTGTCGCAGAGTCGCGAACGCAAAGAATCGCCAAGGCACCGTCAGGTACCGAGCCGGGCAAACTGGCATCAGACGCGCGACGACCTCCTGGGCTACTTGGTCGACTACTGGGCTTGATACCCAGCTGGGCACCGATGGCGGCTCCAATCTCACCGATGTTGGCACTCAGGCGACGCCCGGTACTCATGCGACGCCCATCGCCTCAGAGAAGGACTACCGTAGCGTGTTGAGAATTGAAAATTCTATGAGAATTCTATGATCTTGTAGGATATGTAGGATTTGGATGTGACCTTCACCACTGTTTGTGCGTTTTGTGCCCCAATCTGACATTTGCCTCAACAAGCACTCTGTAAGTGATTCGGATCATTTTCAGAAGTTGCTGTTGCATGCTGTTGCCTAGTCTTGCCGCATTGCCACCAATCCGTGAAGTCTCTTTCCCATTTTATGCTCCAGATTCAAAGAGTAACAGGACTCATCCGCTGGATGCTGTCCAAAACTTCTACACAGTGCATACAGGTCGACTTCCAGTTGCACGGGTGTGCCAAGAATTCGTAGTAGTTGGATGTAGTTGGGATAATTCCAAATCATCGTTATTGGATTTCTTCTGAATCATCATTTGTCCACCATCCATTTCTGGAACATCTCACTTGGACCACCCTGATGAGTCAAGATACTGGCCATGGCTTTGATCGCCGGTGTGAGCAAGGCACAAAAATGCTACACTTGACTACACTTGCATAACTTGTACAACTTGTATAGCACCTTTGGAGTGGGGGTAAGTGCTGAAAACATCTGAAGACCATGTTGTTGCAGTGTGTGATAGCGATTTCGAGCTGCTGCGACTGTTCAGTCTGGGTTTTCTGGGGCCTTTCTCAGCGACGTGGAGGTCCCCTGCTGACAACTCGTCAGCCAGGGACCCCTTTGAGCACTGCAGCGGCAAGCGGTCAAAGCTTTCACTACTTTCACTCGCATCCTTCAGTACCTTTTGAAATTTGTTGGATCATGAGCTCTCAAGTCTCTCACATGGAACCCAACGTGTGACCATACATGACTAGCACCTATTATCATCTCTCCCCAAAGTGGGTTTCCAAACCAAGATGAAGACATTATAATATAGTATAATCTTGGTTTCTAATCACTATAAGACATGGCGGAACAAAACATTGGAAGTTTTGATATGGTTATTGATGCCTTTTTTTAGCAACTGCACCTTTGGGACCATCCAGCCAATCCTATCATCCCTCGATCCTTACAGGGCTTTGGCCTGGCAACGCAGCAACAGTAGATCTCCAGGGTCCCATCCATCTGCAGGAACCTCCACCTGTCGTTTGGGAAGTTTACAGCCAGTTTCTGTTATATCTGTTATGACACAGGTGTTGGCAAGAGTTCTAGAATTCGTGCTGGTAAGTCTCATTGACTCCTTCTGAAGCAATGTGAAGTGCAGGTTGGTGTTACTATTCCAATCTATATACAGAGATCTGGAAATAGGAGGGAACGTGTCAGAGTCGCTTCGCAATTCCCAGCGCTACTTTGTGTCACTCCACAAAACACGATGCTTGTTAAATTAGTTCATGATAGACAGTACACGTACCATATATATATATAATACATAAATTAAATGTATGTTATATATTATATCAATTTATATTAAATGATATACCTGTTACAAGTATGCATACCATGGCCCCTCGTATTTTCCACAAACCTGAGTTATCCTGAGTTGCAACCAACCCACACCCCTGATGTTTTTGAGCGCGGGTAGTGTTTCGAGTGAGACTAGGTGGAGGCCAAACGAGCTGTGTGCAAGACTAGGCAAGTAGCAAAAAGTTGCCCAGGAAAATCCAAAAACATCGTACTGTACAGATCTCCAATCTCACGCTTGGTCACCAAGCTACACTCATCGGACCATGGCCATGTTCCATGTTGCCATCTGACTAGCTTTTTGAGAAGTGTCAATTAACATCAATTAACTATCATTTAATATCATATCAATCTTTTTAAGTCTTAGTCTTTGCACTATTTTGCACTGGTCTGGCTTCTAGCCGTTCTGTCTTGCAAACAGCGTTGTGCGTGTCGCCGATTAGCGAAGCAAAAGACCCCAAAGACTCGGCTGCACCAGAAGTGTCCAAGAGGATGTCAGTATCAAATAAATTAGAGCCGTAAGTGGAGTTAATTGACGATATAAATCAGAGCCGCTGACTGAGATTATGCACACGACAATCCCAGACTCAATATTGCTCTGAAGAATCATTTAAGATCATTTAAGTTTAGACCAATTTAGACCACATGTGTTGAACACTTCGGAAGAGAGCTGCGAATTTGCTCGCATTGTACGAAGCAGGTTTGGGAGCCTGGTACCCCCAGTGACAGTGCGCCACGTGCCACAGCTTCGATGAGTATCTTGGTTCGCATTCACTGATCATGAATTCAACATTGAACGGATGGAGGTGCAAGTCTTCTTCGACTCATTTTGGTCACAAAGCCTGCAAATGAATGTATCATTGATTTTGAGCAAGTTTCTGTTGTTTACTGAAGGTGACAAACCAAACACTATTCAAGCGTATGATACTATAGCTGTGTTGAATGTGCTTCTGTGAAAGTGTCAGCCTCCTGAGGCTTTCTTGCACAATCAGGTTATTTCAAGTCAAGCCTGGTGAAACAAATTGAAGGGCTCCATTATTTGAACATGTTGAAGCAATATCTTGCCAAATGATCAATAGCCGAACGTAGCCGTCGTAGCCGATACCAAGTCTGGGCTGGGAACTATCGATTCCACATGATTCCACATCCATCGAAGCGGGTCAACTGCCAGTGCACTGGTGATGCCACTGCCGATGCCTTTTTTCCTCAGACTGTGGCAGCACTTCGTAATTGCTCTGAGTAAATTTAAAAAAAATAGTGCAATACTCCATGATCCTTTATCCAATATAAAGTAATTATACATAATATATCATAATATGTACAGTATATGTATGAACGTTTTGTGCGTTCCTTGCAAGCCTTCCTCCTGTGAATGGCGTTGGAGTCTAACACAAAAGCGTACCATACAATCTTACCGTACAAAACACCAATGATGCACAATTGTCCTTCGGTAGTATGGCACTAGAGTCTGGGTCATTTTTTTTTGGGTTTTTCAAGGTGGATTATGCTGATTCTTCGCCGTTGCATTATGACATTTCTCCACCCCGTATGAAGTCTTCTGAAATCGTCTCTGAGTGGCAAAGCGCCATCCGCTTGGGAAATGGGTGCTTTATCCAACTGAATCGAGTCAAAACAATCCAATCCACTGTAAACTTATAAAAGTTATAAGTTATAAAACTTATGTTTAGACTTCGTTGGACCACAAGAATGACACGCGCCGTAGCCACGATTTGGACCGCTCACGAAGCGCTGAAACGTGGTTGATCGTCCAATCTTTGCTCTCCATGAGCACCCCTTCTGGAGGTCCTTCGAGTGTCAAGTGAGTCGCAAGGTGCTCCAGTCCACAAGACACAAATGTTGGAATCAGGACCGTATTTACATTATTTTACATTCAGGTTACATTCAGCTTTGATAGTCACATGATGTCACATGCATTCAGCCAACGGGAGGGGCTATACATGCTATACTTCCCCAAGGCAATCTGCATTTCGCTGAACTTATAGGCTTCAATATGCTTCAATCCTGCACTCAAGAAACCTCCCAGTGGTGTCAAACTTCTACAAGAGTGGTCAAATCCCAACGCTGGGACCTTGAAAAGCCCTCCGCTTGAACCGGGCACTATCTCCTGGGACAAGGCAAAGCATGAGCGGTTTGTTGGAGAAAGGAATATTCCATGTCTACGGGGAAATACACCCACTTGGAATGCTGGCTTTGAGAATCAAGAAGGAAATCAGATTGAAACTCTGTGGCAATCTTCATGTTTTGGGAAGATATAGGTACCTCCTCAATCCCCACATTCTGCTCGCCATATCTCGCCATGAAAAAGGCCTAAAGTGGAATGTTGTCAAAAAGCCGGTGAAGCTTTCCCACACAAAGCCCAACTAACTTGGAAGTCCATTGTTGTGTGAGCCACTTATCATGACAGAGCAAAGCAAGCAGCATTGTGGTGATCAATTAACAGTAATCTTTCTCGAAAAAAGCGAGTCGGTAAAATGCCAGATTTAAAGACTTACCACTCCTTCCTTTCATGACTCCACTCCACCCTGTAAACTGAAAGTTAAAGATGGCCGACTGCTCTTAACTCGCAACAAAGTCTCAGGCGAAAAAAGAGTTTGCCACATGGCAGTTCAAATGATAGTAAAATCAGAAAATGCTGCTCAATACCTTGGCACGGTTGCCTAGTTTCAATCATGCAGAAACAAGGTCTCCTCACTTCTCACCAACAGCCAGGGAATCGCTTCCCGAAAGACTGCCCTGCAAACGTTGCTGTCATGGAATGCCCACTCTTATTCCCGGCAGATCTTTCAGCTTGCACCACTCCAGCCCTAACTTCCTTGAACAATCCCTACGTGTGTCTGTGTGCATAGTCACATGTTCCATGGTCAAACACCTAGGTGGCAAGGTCATCCAGCCACTAGTTCCTTATCTTTTATCTATCCACCCCTGAGATGGCCCTGACCGTTCCCTTAATATTGTTTTAATCATTTGTAAACTTGATGTATAATCATGTATAATTAATATCTATTCCCTAATATTATTGGTGCAGAATATTGCTATGTCACGGTACATCCATTCCCTGTTTTCACCATGACACCAACGTTTTCATCACCCAACCTGCGCCAACTGTTTGATCTCTCTCGCCGTGGAAACATCCAGGCTGGAGGTGCCTGCACCACATGGAGATGGTGGGTAAATCTTAGCAGAAGTAGGATCCTCACATGCTACCGCAGGTACTACCTGCTACCTCTCAATAAGTTGAAATCCACAGAAACAGGGATGGTCCATGGTCCTAGGATTCAGATTGAGTCCAGTGCAAGAATGGATGTGGCGTCTGAGCTGGACCCACATTTTGCTAAGACCTTTGCTTATGCACTGCATGACCTGTATCACTCTGTATCACTGTATCATGTGTCCCATTTTGTTGGCCTCCACAACTCAAATCTTTGCCTGCTATGGTACTGTATGTGCACTGAGGATACTGAAGTCCATAAGATCAAACAAGACTTTCCAGGGAGGAGTCAGGAAGTCCAAAATGATTCCCTCTGCTTCCAACAGGAATCTGGCCTTTCACAATGAAGTTGGTGTCACTCCTGCAGCAAGGTCCGAACGGTCGGACGTGTACTGTGATTCCACGTGTAGGTGCAGTTGCATGTTTCATCATAGAAAGCAGGGAGGTCAAACGACATCTATTTCTGCCATCTGTTGTGCAGCTTTGTTGTTGAATATCTCTCTTGCTGCTGAATGCCCCCCTGCAGCTGTAAGCTTTCGCCGTCTTTTCAATGCGTTTTTCCTTTCATGTCTTTTCATGTCTTTGTATGGCCATACAATGCCAAACAAATGTACTGTAAGCAATCCCAAGAATTTCATACAAATTCTGACATAAACCTGCCGAATTGCAAAGCTGTTGAGGCCGTGGTCAAACTTACATGATTCATCATGATTCCATTATACCCAAGCTGCAACTATCACCAATCACATGTAATCACCAATCAACATGTGTGACTATGAGAGCTGAGCTGCTTGTTGCTCAGCATCACAAGCTTCTGATATTTGATGAGCCTCAAATCACACACTGATCACACTGCAATGGGATCAGCTCAACCCATCGGGCCGGTGAAGCATTCACAGCAAATGTGGAGAAACAAGTGGGACCCTGGGACCAACATGGATCATTCGTGGACCAACATTTGCCAACAGAATTTCTCAAACCTCCATGTTTACACTACAAATAATATGTCTATAAATTGTCTATAATATGCCTGACGCATTCTGACACCTTGCATGGATTTCGGGCAAGCATTTCCAAGGGCACTACTGTTCGGCAGTCATCTCAGTCTCGTTCTTGATCCTTGCATGGCTGAAACATGCTGAAACACTGACAAATAGTGCTTTTGGCAGGGGACTTAAGCCTTAGACCTTGAAAGATCTTTGAAACAGTGATTGGCAAGACTACACTGGTGCATGAATCGAATAGACAAACATACGAAGCCGGCCCAGATCAGAGAGGTATTATACTTTGCAAGATGAATTGGTGGAAAAGATGGAAAAGGCCAACCTGCCAACATCTATCTCCAAAGAATTCTGTATGAAGATGAAGTTGCTTGAAGTTAAGTTGTTTGACATTTTACATCATTTTACAGTGATACAAAGTGGCCCACTATATAGTACATCTTTTCTCTTGGTTTCGTACTTGACCGCGTTCTTCACGATCTCAATGGCTTGCGCTTGCCTTGGACAAACCACTGCAAGAGGAGAGTGAGGCAAGATCTCTCCACTCCAGGGGGTACACAATACCTACATGTACCCTGAGCATGCTCAGAATTCATAAGAATTCATGATTTGGATCCAGTCTCAACGGTAGCAAAAGTAGCCAGCTACTTGATCAGACTCTCAGTCTTACATAGTCTTACAGTCTCACCATTGAACGCAAGTGATTCAAGATGATTCAAGGGGCCAGCAAGAGAAAGAAAAATCAAGAAAACAAAGTGAAAAAAATCCAGGTTGAGAACGCATCCATCCACTTCTTCTCCGCTTTTGCTTTGGCGTCCTTCCGGATGAAAGCTTTCAGTGGGGGGTTCATCACGGTGTGGTGACGGCCTCACATGAATACAATACTTTGACTTATGCGTCATAACACAATTTCACGTATCACATCGTATCAACAAATCTACAAGCTGTAATTCAAGACATACAAACTAGTACAAACCGTGTGAAATGAAACGCGTGCACAGCCAGCAACTGGTCTACAGTGTCTAGGAGGTGGTTGAGCTTGGGTCACAATCCTTCTTTCATTCCAACCATGACGGAAATGTTTTTGTACTGACCCGGGACATAGAAGTGGGTCGAAAAATGAATTTGCAAACTCTATCATTCTCGCAACCCCTACACTAGGAAATAACATGAAATTACAACATTATGCTTGATTTTGATACGGTTCACTGCGGTCATGGTGAGTCCTCATCGATCAAATATCTGTCTGCTTCACCCTGAGCTTCCTCAGTGTCAGTTTGAAGCAAATCCGCAGGAAGAAATGCTGCATTGGTCCATCACTGTGATATTAGAAGTGTTACATAAGTTGGTTTAGGGGAGCCAACTCTGTAAAAACTGCCAAATTAATCCAAATTAAGTATTAAGTTCACCCTCCCAAGTCAAACCTGTATGGAAAGGCTGAATCAGCGGTGAAGTAAGACAACCATGCAACCACCCGCTAATGCCTGCTGTGCAAGGAAGGGAGCACATTGGTCTTCGAAAGGATTCTTCTTTCTTAACAAAGTGAATGAAGTGAAATGGCAGAAAAGCAGTCTTTCACTGTACGTGTCAGCATTCTACCAGCAGATTAAAGGCTTTCCCTCTTTCTTCGCTTGGAGACCAGTCCAGGAAGGGCGATTCAAAATTTCTATCACCATTTACCGATAATTTACCAATAAGTTTCCTTTGAAAAAGGGAGACCCCCAGGAATCATGTGCAGCTCCGCTTTTCTGCAAGTCTCAATGACCGTCTTGTTCCTTCGGTAGGAGGCTAGCAGGACCTCTGTCTGCGCCCGCACAACGGTGTGGAGCTTGCGATTCTGCTCCGTTCGCCTTGGCAAATCGCAGACGCCTCGAGAATCATGGCACGAACATGGGAAACATGGAAAACATGGAAAACATGGGAAATGGGGCCGTTCGGATGTAACTTGTGCCACACAATATGTTCTGAGCTGATAAGGACTCGGACTCTGGACCCCAGCATTTTGCTTCCACACACACAAACACCATCAAACACCTCTGCTTTTGTTGAAAACCGAAACGGAATGAAACAGAAATGGAGGATTTGGAGCTCACTTCAAATCGGAGTCCAAGATGCTGGGCTTGTTTCCTCACCTGCGTCCTGATCAATGCTGACTCGTACTTCGACTCCAGGCGGATACCCCACAACCTTGAAAAACCGCAATCACAACACAAAATTCAGAAATCAACAGAAACATGCAGAAATGCGGAAGAAACATACAGTTCAAGTCGTTCAAGTGCAGGAAATCTGCACTGTTCAGCATCCCGGTCTTTGATTTCACCAAGGTCTTCGCAACCGCTGTTGGCTTCTGGCCGAGAGGCTGAAGACCCCAACACGTGGCATGGTATCTGGTCAGAGCTGTTTCACCTCAGCTCGAATGGATCAAAAGATGCGCCTGACTACCAGTACAAGATAGTACAAGTCCTCGTGGCAGGTTCCCAACTCAAGGAGTGCAAGGAGGAACTGTTGCAACATCCCAATAGAACAAATAGAACATAATAGAATATAATAGGACCAGTAGAACTGTCGCTCTGAGACAGGCGACCTTGACAAGCTTGCTTCTCAAACAACTACTGCCGAAATCTATTTGCACACAGGGATTCTTTTGCGATTCCAGTCTCCATAGTATTGGAATTGCTGATGTTGACGAGTCACATGCGCTTTGCATGATGGACACCACATTGGTGTAGTTCTCCCAAGCATCAGCAATCGCGAAGTAGTTGCAAGCCTTGAGTATGAGTGTCTTAGCTTCGCGATAAACGAGATCATTCATAATTCTTCTTTCACAATTCACAGCCTCCACATAGCCAAGTAAAAGCTTTTAGTTCACTTCACTCCAAAGATCATTCTATTTCGACCTACCAACAGCGACAGTCATTGGTTGTCCATGTTTGCTCCCTAAGATGAGGATCAACACCCCATGGCCCCTTAGCCCACAACCGACGCACCTTGGAGAGCTCATCCCGCAGCTCGGAGATGTAGATGTCTTCGTAGAAGGTGAGCATACTTGGACAGCGGACATGTCGGACATGCATCACTTGAAAATGTCAAGTTGAACACTGGGAAACAACCGAGTTTGGAGACACAGACGTGAAATAACCATAAATAACCCATCATAAATATTCATAAATCATAAAACAAGAATCAACAAAATAACATAAAATAACAACGTGCAACAGGACGTCGTGGGTATCAACCGAAAAAACTTGTAGCAAATTCACACAAGCACTACACCTATGCTCATCCAAGGCTCTCTTGGTAGATCGCACCCACCTGGAATGCAAGGCATCTCATGCTGAGTCTGCTGAGACTTTTCCCAAGAGCTTCAGAGTGCTTTCTATTCACAAATTTCACAAAGCGAGAATCTCCCTGGAACATCCGAAACAACATTCTGGACATTTCCGGACCAGCCTGTCTCTATTTTTGAATCCACTTGGGTGACAACAACTTGTCGATGTCAATAAAAACTTTCAAATACTTTTCATTTTGGCATTTTGGAAGCTCTGCTTTCCCTAGAGTCTTGACCCGCCTTATTCTTTGATAGCAAATATTGGACCTGAGTCAAGAGTGAGTGAGCTAGAACGAGTCGTAATGGTAAGCTACTTTGGAACAGGCAACAATTTCTGCAATGCAACAATTCTTTGCTCTGTTGAACAGTTAAACCACATTGGCTCCTTCACAAGTTTTGAGGGCCTTAGCACATATCTGTTATTGTCAGCAAGCCAAACTTTTATCACATGTTGACACACGTTTGACGACCAGCATGACCAGCTCCATCTTCTGGCGCCATGTGGCACTTCTAAATCTTCCAAATGCTTCAAGGAACGGACACATCCAAATAGATGCGTTTGCCATCCCTGTCTCGACCACGCAGCACCGACAAATGCTGCACACCCTCCTCGGGTTTTTCCTCTGAAAATTCAATCCTTGGGAGAGCAGAAATGAAACGTCTAAAGAAGACCGGAGACCTTGCACCCAAGGCATCTCGATATATCTCGATTGTCCAAACAGTGACAGTGATGTGTATGATCCCAGGCGTTTCCAGTCTTTGCAAAGACCCTACATCTTACAATCATCGTGGAATCTCGAAGTGGAATCCGTCAGACAACCCCACGTCAAACAAACATAGCGCGGATAAAAAAGGGAAGGCCATGTTGTGGTTTGTGTCATGACGATCATGACGATTGCAAAATATGCTGCAGCCTATCGAAGCGATACTGCAACTTCCACACCCTCTTGCAATTACAGTAACATCTTTTGACCTGCCAGAGGGTTATCAGGATTCAAATGGAGGGGTCAATTGAAGTGATGACAATTGAATCGAACCATTTTCTCTAGGCGCAAGGTAGAACCTACTTCAGGTATAGCTGTCCATGTACCATTGCAGCGGCAGCAAAGGATGGCAGCGAAGGGTTACTAATGGGGGAAAGGCATGAGCCAACACTAGGCACATGTTGGATGGGATCATAAAAGAATCTACTTTTACCGTTCATCGGTTATCAATGGATACCAGTGGATACCAATTGATGCCAATGGATGCCAATGGGTACCAAAGGATCCTACTAATCCTACTATGTCTTAGTCCGAATCAGTGGGACAATATTTTTGCAGCTGCCAACTTAGCCAACACTTTCCTAGGTCAAATGCTGCCAAGAGAACGTCTGCCTCAGCTTGACAGGGAGAAAGACAGTCACCGGTGCAGTGTCGTGTGTGAGCTGTGCATGGAGGTCTGGTGAAAAATTGAAGTGAGCAGGAAAGTTGTAGAACTTCACGGCAAGTGTTCTGTTTGCCAAGTTGCAAGGTGTTCGGAAAGAGGATCGCTGCAGACCAAAAGCCTCATGACGGCTTGTTGTTGTGCCCTCTCTGCTGAACTTTGGTGACTCTGTGAAATAAGAATGTCCTGCACCACTGAAATTTGAAAGCACCGAGTGACCGAGGTAGTATCGCCCTTCCGACATGGGGCTTTCCAAGTCCACCACACCAGAGACCTCGAGTTGCTCATGATGTCACCGAAGACTGTTGAGGCATGGCAGCTAAAACTTCTATCAGGAGCTAGAGCAGCTAGGGCAATGTAGGGCAGGTCAAAGTCTGTGTGCATCGATGGTCAATAGCATGAGGATGTCTTTGTATGTCTTTGTGAGATGGTCGGAAGAGTCGGAAGAGTTCTGACCGTCGAAAATTCAGGCAAGGTATGGCAAGGTGCTCCATTCTTGGCCAAGCCGAAGTTCAATCTTGTCACTTCGATGAAGCCTGCTGGAATCATCCTCGGGAAAGATGAAGTTCACAAGACTTGCTGCTACTTGCTGTCAGGCCGTCGCTGGCAAAACATGGCAAAACAAATGCCCCCAAATCGCAACTCCCCTGTGAACCAATCCTTCCTGATGACTCTGAAGTCTGAATTCGCGTGTGTTCAACATTTCACACAGAGAGCACGACAAAAGCAACAAAGCGAATTTTGCTAAGCCACAAAATGATCAGCATGAACCAGCAAATTGAGCAGCAACAACAGCAACATGCTTGACCTGGTGTCCTTGGAAAGCAAGGCTGTTGAAAAAGGATGCATTGAACAGACTGGATCACCTCGCACCAAATTTACAAAATCTTACAAACTACACATTATTCATCATTATTCATCATTATTCATCATTATTCATCATTATTCATCATTATTCATCATTTTTCATCATTATTCATCATTATTCATCATTATCCTGGGATTTCCCATGAGCATCTGCAGAATCTTTGGCGAAGACTGCAAAGAAACGTCTCAGAAGGAGAGCACGGCGTGACTTGAGAGGCATCGCCAAACAAACCCACTTGACCAAAGGATGAGAAGGAGTGGCGACAAGCTAATATAGCTCAGGGCTCAGGGCATAATTACCACAGTTTTCATGACCCCCACAGCTGAGAAACAGCCAAAACGAGAACTGACAATGAAGTTTCTACCCACATCAACTCTTGCGTCAATGCGTTTCAGTATGTTTCAGTGACCGGGACATATATTATAATTATTATAGATGCAAGTAGGGGAGCCGGATCTCCAAGAATCCCCACTGTTCTGTCTGTTCTCTTTTTTTGTGCTGGCTAAAGGGCTCGGGCGCAATATCTTCCACCGTAGTACTCCAGCTTATCTTCTCGCAAAGCCCCATGGCTGTGCCTCACCTTGGGCTGTGAGTGGCGGTAACCACTGCTTTCGAGCTGGACATGCTCTGCAGAAACCCAGCGACATCCAAGAACGCTATGATCTGATGCCAACTGGCCACCTGAGTCTTGGAGAAATATTGAAAATTCCAACAATTAGACTCAGCTCTTGGCTTGCAGCATCTTGCAGCCGAGTGACCGACCCACAAGGTTCTAAAGTCAGAGCTATTTGAGCATGGTAGCTATAGGAAGGTGATCCAAGAAAGAAGGACTTGTTCAAACTTCAAATCTCTGGCACTTTAGTGACTTCGGGGGTGCGTCTTTCTTTGCCAAAAATCCGCGTTCAGGGCAATGCCTGTGGTGCACATTTCACGAACCAAAGAACACCCAAGATGTTGCGTAAGGTGACTTTGCAAAAATCACAAGAGAGTTTCGTGTCTGATGTGTTTGTAGATTTTGCAGTCCCTTTTCCGAAGACAAAGACAAGCCCCGTGGACAGAGTTTGTGAGCGGTTCAGGCCTCCGTTGGCTCTGCGAAAATACTCCGTCTCAACCTAGCAACCACAAAACCAGCAAGTACGTCCTCTAGCACAAAGAGCTTGCATATGTGCCATCATCTGCCATCATCAGAGAGTTTTTGATGAAACGGGATGCATGTTTCATGAATGCGTTGAAAAGAAGCATTTGCGTCCGTGGTTCGTATGCAGTTCTGAACTAACCACCAAGGACCAAGGGGACTAACATCGACTTGTACGGGAGTAAAATGAAGGTTGGGCAGCTATGCCAGGGTGATGTTGGATATTTAAGGCAGGTGGCTGTGGCTGATACATTTGGAATTTGCTGCTTCAATTCAAGGTGAGAACCTGCATGTCTGGGGCAATAGCAGGATGATCGAGTTCTGCGCTCGTTCATTGCTGAAGCTCCTACACCAGTGTCTACTCGGGCAAAGGCCATGGCTGTTTGAGGTTTCTCTTCAGTTTCCCCGGCCCAGAAAGTAATGACATGTTATATGCAAGACCCCTTTAAAACGGAAAGACTCATCTCAAATTGATAACGTGCTCTGGTTGTTCCTTGGCCACCCTTGGTCTGACAACCTGATGCTACCCCGTCCGACCGTCCTGGGGACTGCTATGTGGAAAGCATCTGTATACTTCTCCCGTCTGAGTTGTGGCCGGGCAAACTAAAAGCATGTCATGTGGGGTAGCGTAAAACGCGTAAAGTTAATAATGTTAATAATTCAATATAATTCAATCATGAAGCAAATGACCCTCCGCCAGTCACGAGAGAAGAGCCGCTTTTTCGATGTTCATTTTAGGTCAAAATGCCAACTTATATAGCAAATTATTTAGATCAGAATAGCGGGGCCCGATCGCCACGAAAGCTAACGATGTCAGCCACTGGGCGCCACGACAGCAATGTCAGGAGCTCATTGCCTGCCTCGCACGCGATACAGAATGCTCATCCGTATACAAGGTCATCACAGGAATCTACTGGTAGATTTTTTTTTAGAGTGATGACAGTGATGAATAGTGAAAGAACATAGCACACCTGCTGATTTCTCTCTTGGGTTTTGACATGTTTTGCCAATGGACACATTCCTGCGATCGATGCTGCAGCCTCCTGGAGAAAAAGCACGTCAGCATCCTGTCAGCGGTTGGCCGATCACCGGAAGTGATAAACTGTCAATGGCCATTTCAGGTGCCTAAACTGGAGGTACTGTACCAATCTGTACCACATAATGCTTTTTTTGTCCGGATATTTCCTTGCATAGCCCTGACACTGGCCTTGAAATGGCCATTGACAGTGTGCAGTGCCCAACCAGTGGACTATATCACTACATTACTATATAAGATTGAGTCTAATTGTGTATGTACATGTATGATCATGTATGTACATATCATATATGTGTGACTGTGTGACATCTTGTGACATTGTGTGACTATATTCAGACACATTATATAATTATCATGCAATACAGTGAAGTTAAATTCAGCTTTTGTTGCTCCACTCCTTGTAGGTCTCTTGCAGAATGCCCTTGATCAACTCATTCTTTTTGCCTGGGTATTGCAGACTCTGGAACCAATCCTTTGTACAAAACGATGCAAAATAGTATATACATGTATATACTGTACCAGAAAGAAAAGCAAGTTGGGGCTGCCAGCTTTAGAAAACCTGTCAACAACAAGATGCATCAACATCCATCAAAATCCAGTACGGATCAGTACGGTACGTATGTTCCAATGGTTTCAGATGGTTTCCACCTGCAAAAGGAGCTTTTCTGTCGCTGCTGTGACTGTGGATAGGTGAGAAGCTGCATTACCAGCTGAGACTCCAAGACTGCACAGAGTCGCTGCAGATCATCCTAGATCTGTGTAGCTTGTCGCGCTGTGACTAGTGACTAGCGCGATATTTGAGACCTGAAGACCACCAGAATTGATAGCCGCACCTACATGACATATGATCACATCCGCCATTCTTTTCAATGAGTACCTGGCACGATGGGCACCTTTTGCATCCTGGCGGCAATTCACTCTGTGAACGGCTGCGAGAGAGGCTACTAAGCGCTGGTTTCAGTTTCCACTGGTGCTCACACAGGAAGCACATGGCAACGCCAGTCTCGCCATAGCCGCAACCAACGCAATTTGCTTGAGGACACTCAACGATATCACCTAACAGGTACCGTTTCCAGCCGGCATTTTGAACAAAGAAGCGTCTCCGCTTGAAATCTCGTCCCAGTTTAACAATGCTGGAACAAGCGCATTGGATGCGACCAATGTGCGCACATGTTCCAAGCTTCAACAAGGACTCTTCCGAGAACTTCCCAGAGCACCTTACATTTCCCTCAACAAAAAAGCAAGGTACCACCAAGGAGAGGTTCTGAATTATTTGTTGGATCTGCCCTGGTTCCGACGCCCAAGTCCGCAAACAGTCCCTGCAGCATCCGTGCTGATGCTTCCAAGGGCTCCAATGGGTGCATTGGACGCGTTCGCTCTTGGCTTTCCAGCATCCACAAATCATGCATTCAAAGCACTTGTTGGCACGCAGTGAGCGGAGGAGAGTGATAAGTCTGGTGAGTCTGCCTCTGTGTGTCTTTTCCAACATCTCCACGCACAAAGGCAGGCATTGAGCCGATATTTGATCTGCTTTGTTCTCAAGCGCATTGGTCACATCTGTTGCCAAGCCTTGATATTCCTGCCAGAACATATCTTGCTCTGACTCAATGCTTGCATCCACCAGCTCCGATAGAGTCAGAGAAATCAAAAGTGGCAGCTTCATGCCAAACAGCTGTGCAGCTACTTTGATCAAGTCTAGGATCAAGTAGAGACAGCAAATGTTCCCAAAACTAAAGATTGTGGAGTCGCAAACCATGGAAAACAAGCAAACAAGCGGAACTAGGGCCTTGATCTGTAAGAACATTCGTCTTGTCATTCTCTCCTCTTGCAAGAGCGCATCAAAGAGTCGTTGGAAGCTTCTAGGCACAGTGTTGCAAGTGCGAGGTGCTTTCTCAACCTCTTTTTATGCAGTTTCGCCTACCTTGCAAACCACAACGCAGTCCATTTGCTGTAGGGCTGTTGCTGTTGGTGTGTGGCTTCTTTTTATTAGGATTCGAGCCGAATATGCTACTCACATGGAGGATCATCATCATGGATCATCATGGTAGTTTCCCGCATGAAGTTGAAGCTAAACAACAGGGAAGTTGCGGACTATAAGTCAAAATGAGTCAAAATGAGTCAAAATGAGTCAAAATGAGTCAAAATGAGTCAAGAAACTGTTCAGAGAATCGCAGATCTCTCTGCGCAAATCCTCCCAGCTGGTGGAGACATCGGTCCTCAGCATCAAACCTTAGCAGCATGCCACGGTGTCTCTGTCTAACTTTCATCTTGAAGGCCAACCTCCACGGGAACAACCTCCGCACAAGGTCAGCAGTGCACAAGGTCAGCAGTATGAAGTGTCAGTAGTACGTGATCCAGAGCACACGGCTCAACTGCCGGGTCCCCTGCGCATCAAAATTGCATCAAAAATGCCTTGCATCATTAGCTGAAGTGGGATGCTGGCAGCCTCTTCCTCTTCGCCTCACATCCAAATATGGTGCTAAAATCCATGGTAAAAACAAACCGTGCAAAGTGGTTCAAGCATTGGAATCATACAAAATACAAAGTCCGAATTTCCACAAGGTGCAGCGAACATTCTGTTCACATCTCTTCACCATGACATTAAGATAAGCAGTTAAAATGTGGAAGCCCGCAGCGTGAAAAAGGAGCCAGCTCTACACTGAGTTGCTGATCGCGGGATACTTTTTCTTTCGGATCTTTTGCAGCAGAGTATACACTTTCCTGGCTGCAGGGACCCGCCAGGGCCATTAAATTCAGGCATGAGGTTTATAACCCAGCAATGAACTGTGGAACTGTGGTTGCAGCATGTCATGTCTTTTAGAACCCGCCAACAAAACCATAATGCGAAACAATTATGTATGTCTCAGGTCCAACTAGACTTGAATGACTAGTTCAGTTCTGTCCCCCACCGTCACGAAGAGAATTTTCCGAAGTAAGATGAGATTCATTCTCACCAAACTGGGCATCTAATGATTCTAAATGATTCTAATGGCTTTTGTCTACAGCACAACCTTGCAAAGAATGAATTCAATTGTGTAAAATGCAATGTGACATCAGTCCAACTGACAAGGCTCTTAGAGCCAGAATGATCCAGGTCCACATTTTCCTCGAAGAAGAAACTCAGCCATTTGCTGAACCAAACCTCGAGGGAGCCAAGCTCACCAACATAGCAGTTCACCACCGACGGCCTTCACAGGGACTGTGGGAGCCAAGTGGAAATGTTCCACTGGCGAAGAAGCCTAAACGAATACAGAATCGCATGGGTTGCTCATCACACAACGTAGTCAAAGAAGGGCCAGGCTGAACAGGCTGAAATCAGTTTGTTCAGCCTAAAAAGTTTGGTTTCTATCTTACGAATTCTTATGATTCAATTCATATCACAAACAACGTTGGCACTCTCACAATCCAGCCACCCACAGACCTGTAGGTGCGCCCCTGCATAAGTTGGATAGTGTTGGTCACACGGTCCGGCATACTGGCCAAGCCTTATCCACCGAATCTGAAGGCATTTCTCAGACTCTAGAGGTTGGATGAAGCCGTTTGAACTCTCTCCGCTCAGGCCTGGACCCCAAGTGAAGAGCTTCTGTTTTGGAGGTACAGTATCTACTAAATTGAACGCTGTTAGAAAGCAATTCGGGAAGAATTTCAAAAGAGGTCCAAACGTCAGGTTTGCAGGTGCCGACTCAAAGCTCAGATTACAAGTCAATTGTCTGTTTTTCTGTGCAAGCCATAGGACGTTTCTTGCCAATCACCGGATCTCGCAGGAATTCTGTGACAATGCGCCGGGTGCCTCAGCATTGTTACTTTGGAGCCCCGCCCACATTCTGTGAATATCAGGCACTTCATGGCACTTCAGAAGATTGGGTCATGCAAGAGCAGCGTGCTCGCCTTACCTGTAGATCTTACAATATCTTACATACTTACTTAGACGGTATTTCAACAGAAATGCTGTGCACTTTGAGAAACTTTCAAGAAAATCTGCTCTCCACCCCTTTTTGCACCGGTGTCTCAGAAATATGGATCAGGGCTGGCACTGCTTTGGCTTTGCCAATTGGAACTCCTGTCCCACCACCGCGACCAATCTGAATACCAGCCATCTTTGGGGCTGGAGCTTTGGCAGGACTCACACCAACGGATCCAGCAGATCCAACAGTTGCAGTGGGTAGAGTCGGAGCGGCAGATGCAGATGCAGCTGATGCTGCTGGGGTTGCAAATGCAGATGAAGCTGGAGTTACTGGAGTTGCAAATGATGCCGAAGCGGATGCTGCAACTGGAGAGGTTTCAGCTTTGGACTGAGCTCTGGGCTGTGCCTGCATAGGCCTAGGTATTTCAGGTGCTGAAGGGAACGCAGCTTTTTGCTTCGGGTATCCAAGGGTGGAAGACCTCGGGGACAACGTCGTCACTGGGGTCGTTTTGGCCACAGGGGACACAGGGGACACAGGGGACGCTGGCGAAGCCTTGGATCTGGGTGTGGGAGTGGAAGGTCTGCTGAGCGACGCCAAAGGACCCGAATTTGCAGCCAAAGCTTTCAAGTCCTCGTTGCTCAAATGAAAGCAATGGGTGAAACAATTTTGAGTGTAAGGAACGTTTTTGCACATGAAATCTTTAGAGAAACTTAGAGAAACTTCAACATGTTCCTCTTCTGCGCTGTGTCACAAGTGCCACAGCCTTGTGCGAGGCTGTGAGGCCTAGGAAAAAAACAGGACTGGAAAGAGATGAACGAAGTATCAAATGAACATCTTTATACTTCGTGTAGATATACAATGATATACATCATAGATCATCATAGATTATACGTTGGGCCTCAAAACTATCTTGCCTCCAAACATCTCTGGACTACAAGCATGGCCAAGAATCAGGCCTCAAATCCGCAATTTCCACACCCGCACCGGGAAGTGCCGGAGCCTCATCTGCCACAGTTCTCTCCGTTTTGGTTCTTCGACTCCCTCGTCTCAGGAAGCTCTGTCGTTGCCACTGAGGAGTTCCTTCCTTTGACTCCAACACTTCTTCCAGCTTCGCGGTCGCCCGTTGGCTTGGAGCATTAAGACCAAGACTGCTAACCCCCAAAGCGCCTTGGAAGTCATCCACGATCTTCTCCATATCCCGCGCATGCTGTCGCAATCGCACGTTGAGCGTCCTCACTGCTTCAGAACGTTTCAACTCAAACTCCAACAAACGCGTCGCAGCATTCAGCAACTCTTCCTCACCTGGAATGGCCACAATCCGTGCTTCCACCAAGATATCTGCTAAAGCTTCTAACTGTTCAGGAGCACAACAACCAGGTCCATTCACTCCATCCTGTTCTGCACTGATCACCACGACCTCCATGGCTGCCACCAGGGAATCCATCAAGTCGTGGCGCTCAGAACGGCGCTTGGCCAAGGCAGCCTCTGCCACGGCGAAACCATCTTCCAGGCCTACGTCGATGGCTTCCAAGATTGCATCCTGGTGAGGTGAGATGTCCTAGATGAATCATGCTAAATGAAATGCTAAATGAATCTAAATGATGCTAACTGTACTATGTACAGAGTCTGATCGATATCGATACTCTTTTTTTAAAGGATATTTCAGGGTTCATGGTATTGCTCACATTGCTCAACTACCAAACTGATCTAAAATCTCCCAGAGCACATCAAAGCACCAGCATTGGCACTCTTTGTGGAAGCTACCGTACTGAGTGCGCACAGCATCACAGCACAAATCAGCACAACATAAGAAAAAAAACTGGGAATAAATTAATGTCCTTAATAAACCATAATTATAAACCTATTATGTATCCGACGTAAACCTGAAAGCTGAGGCACTTGGATCTCTGCCTCAGTACCATCCTGTGCCAGGACTTCCAACTTTGCCGCTGCTCGTTGGCGCTCAGCCAATGTCCCAATCGACCCAGGTGCCTCGAGTTCCTGCAGAGCAGTTTGCACCGCAGCTAGACCTTCCTCATCGATGCCCACCATGGCTGCTTCGTGGATGGCTTTCCGCAAGGCATCTGCATCCAAGTTGGACAATGCCGCCAGGACTTTCCCATGTGCTACGCTTCGTGGGGATTCTGAAGTGCCCTTGGGACTCGCCTTTGGCTGTGCTGGTTTCACCCGGGAGCTCGACGCGCTCGAGCTGCCCACTTTGGCTTGAAACAATTCGTCTGCCATGACATCGCGGTCAGTTCAAAACTCAGATTTGTACCGAGGTTCAAGAGTGACAAACATGGAAACACATGGAAACACTATGAAGCAATGGAAGTCTGGGATTGGTGTGGCCTTCCACATCTTTGAGTGCTGTGTGGGGACTGGAACTTGTTGAAGGCGTGCTGTCTTTGATCATCTTTGATACTCATGAAGCTTGCTTAATCATTGGCTTAATCAACCCCAAGAGGCCACTTACTGATGGCTTGAGCTTGGAAAGCTTCTGCATTCCATCGCATTCCGCATGACTCTATGACGTGACGTCAGCACATCGTTCTATTTGATCGTCCATTGTCCAAGTGGCCGCTCCTAGCACTGATAGACTCTTGAAATTTAGTTGAATTTCGATGTATTTCTCACAGTGCTTCGAAGAAATTCACCTTTCTGATTTAAAAATATTTAAAACTTAAATAAGAACTGGTCCGAGCTACGATATGTGGAGCTCCAAAGCTTCTCCACTACATCGATCCCTTCCAGTTCTGCGGATCGCATCCGCTCCATGAGGCGTTGGAACATCTCATCCTCCGAAGCACATCCAACGAAAGTTCTGTCGCAGATTGTGGGGTGGAAGGAAACTCGATTCCGGGCCAAACATGTCAACCCCGAAGAATAGTTGAAGCACTCCTCTTTCGAAAAGACTGGAACCCTGCAATCAAACAGTACACAATCAGTGAGCAACAAAAATTCAACAACACTGGCCTGTGACTCTCTCAGTTCCATTTCATGACTTGGCAGACTTTGTCAGACTGTTGCCAAGTTTCAGTAAAAACTTCGTGCACCATGACATCCTCCTGAAACGATAAGCAACAAGCAGGAATCGGCAAAGCATCAATGGACTTTATCTTTGCAGATCTTTGCACCACACAGGTTGCGCCCACTCCTCACCAGGTTGGGAGATGAAGCGTTCAACAGATTCCATGAGCTGCTTGTATTCACCTCACCACAACACGCGGTTTTCTTTTTTTGTTGGGGAAAAGGTCAGAAATGAAATAGCTCTAGTGGGCAACAACTGAGCCATTTGATCCTTACACAATGTGCCATTTTGCAAAAGTATTTTGGTGAGCTTGATGTCTTGAGTTGGGAGTACAAGCAAAAGGAAGAGAGCTTGCAATTTCAATGACAAGTCGCTTTTTGGATGTGTGATCCAGTACCTTACTGCGGGAAGGGCCACATCATAGAAACAAGGCACTAAGAATGCAAAGACGAGTGGATGAATTCATGACTAAAACATGATAGAAACTTGACATGCTCTCGCTATTTTGGCCGAGTACTCAAAGGGATTGTTGTTCACTGCCGCAACGTTCCAACTTAGAACTCTGAGTCGCAGCCCATCCTCAGCTGTTGAGCCAGCACCCCTTTGCATGTTTCTGGTCACGTCGAGATGAATCATCAAGGCAAGTCAAAGCCTTCACATCGGTAAACAATTCGTTCGCACAATTTCCGCTTCCTGAGGAATTCAACATACAAAGATATACAAAGTAATTCCTTCGAGAACCCTTCGCCGTGTCTGCAAAGTCAGAGATGGGGCCTTCATTGACCTTGTTTGATTTCTTCCAAGCAGCAGCGGCTGCACCAGAGAAGCTCTCCTTGGAGAAAAAAAAAGTGGCGTGGTTTCATTTGTTCCAACTGATGTTAAATGATATTAAATGTTACAAAACGATGCGTTGGGTAGGCAAGCAAAACTGCGAACAATTATATAAAGTCCATGTCCAAGCATTGACTTTTGACAAGACCAAAGACAGGAGCAAAATGGAGCAAAGATGGTATGAAAGTGGCAACAGCATCAATCCATCTTCAAACATACTCTAAGGATCGAAATCAGCCTCTGTAAATCAAGTTCTTGCCATCTTGCTTTTATTGTGTCCAATCTATGCAACTGTAAAGTTCCTTCAAATTGTTCCAATATCATTGGACTTGATGCAAGTACCCTTCTGGCGTACACTCATATAGACTCATATAGGTTACATATTGGTTCAATAATAAAGGTTCAATATGGACTCATAATATAGATTATGAAATAAATATACGTATTATCATATATATATATAATTTATATATATCATTGTATCATCATAACAATTTGCTGTAATATAATATAGTCATATATAGTCAATCATTGTCAATAATTTGAGGAACGTATGTGTGATGACCTCTTAATCTCTGGCCATGTCCAATGAGGATCCCATTGCTCGACCCAAGGGGCACTGAATGTGGTTGTGGCCAGGCCCTGCGTCCTGGATCAGCGCTGAAACCCACAATCGATATTTCTACCATTTTCCACCACAACAATTACATAAAATTACTGTACCATAGCAATCCATAGCATACCATAGCCATGGCATGATGGATTGCAAAGTCTGACCGACGCAGTCGCTTTCACTCTTTGGACAGCTGCCACGATGATCTTCTCAGCTCCTGTGCACAGCCACGAGCAGCGCCATGCATCTCGAGGCCAGCCGAAGTCGCCCCATGCCACCTCTGCAGAACTGGGAATCCAAAAACCATCCCGTTCTGAAAATGAATATGCAGTGAATCGTGGTGAATCGTGGCCGTGGCCTGAAAACATGTGAAAACCATGAGCTCAAAAGATCACACTTTGTAAAGCACAACATGCCAGCGGAATGTTGGCAAAGGAGCTGCAGTTGAGGCTAGGGCGAGTGGGCTTGGAGTAGCCGAACCGCTGAAGCATACACACGCGGATTCTTGTTTCTTTTGTTGATATTTGTTGATTTCTCGTGGCAAAATATGGGAAAATGTATTGCATCGCGACCCACACGGTGTCTACCAATCCTCCATGGGGTAAGATATGGTAAGATGCACTTGTCTGCGTCTGGGCCCTAAAGGCGCATCATGCGTACCCCTCCTGCGCCATTACCAGGGTGGAAAAAACCACCAATTCCTCAATATCTTACAGATTCTTACGGTATTTCCCTTGCAACCACGCCATCTATTTCAAAGACTGATGCTGCAATTCTCACTTCCAAGCTGTCCTGGCGTAAAAGTGTGATCCTCCAATCAAGCCACCATTCTACATCATTCCACCTGATCTGTGTCCTTAGAATTCTGCTTGAGCCAAAGGCTGGCGCGTTGTGCACAAGACAAGATAAGACCAGTAGGCAAAATAGATCAAAATAGTAACAAATAAGTAGCAGAAGCCACCAGAACATGGCTCGACAACAGCCAGAAACATCACTGTGACCTCAGACCACTGGATGAATGTTCTGTGATGCTGAAGGCAACCCTACAGGTAGCAACAAAGGCATGGAAACAATATGGACACATTCAGTCATGAGCTTTGAATCAACTCAGCGATTCAAGCAGCATGAAATCAGGCTCAAACCCAATGTACCCGACATGAACGATATGGATCGTTGTGATGTAATCAGCAACGTGAAAATCAGCAATACAAAGCCGGAGTTTTTCTACGTGGACCACCCTCCGCTACGACGAGATCTGGTCGACGTGTCTCAGACAAGTCTCCAGTGCAGGGAAGTGGGCAAGTTGAGATATCAGATACCAGAAATCAGGACGCATCGGCAATCTGATGGCAGTGTTCACTGTCGGCAAGGGAAGAAATTTGGGCCTGGGGATCACCCGAAAGAAACATAGTCTCCAGTGTCACTTGTATGCCAGGGCAGTTTTTGCCTCTTGTTTTAGTGTCTGTTGACCTGTATGGTTCACATGCATTGTTTTCATGTTTTTTTGTTCCATGTAATCTATGTATGTTCTTGATCTCAGACATCCAGACAGATTTCCGAAATCCCAAGATCTCAGGAAAACATTGCATCCATCTTCTCCAGCAGGGCTCGAGCCTCGGAGTCCGAGATCTGGGTATTGTCCATGGAAAGTTGGGGGAAGACATTTGAAGACTGCGTACTTCTGGAATATTCTGGAATCTTCCAGACGTCATAACATGTCATAACATGTCATACAGTAACAATGTTATGACCACAAACATATCAAACGTACAGAAAGCATCCAAAAATATTCAAAATGTCCCAAAGGTTCACAAAGCCCTGACTGTGGGCTCGACCCTTGGCTTTGGAATGTCAAAGGAGAGATCCCCACCCACCTCAGCAAGGGTTAACCATCCCTGGAGCTCGGAATAGCTCGGATATGATACAGTTGATGGATAGCCAATGATAGCCACGTGGTTTTGTCCCAAAGAGGTATATGTAATTTCGAAAAAAACATGTAATACACATTGCCGCTTTGGGGCTCTGGCCCGAGGATTCACTTCAAAGATACACATGCTGCCGTCCTCTCGCAGTTTGAAGTTGAAGTTGCAGATGCCGCCTCACAAGTCAAAAATGCATTTACAAGTCCACATCGAGTTGGCCCACACATGACTCTCAGAGTGGAATAAACTATCTGCTTGTGTGGAAAAACTTTCAACAACATAGCAACATGAGCCAAAGCCAGTGGCTGAGCCCTCCTATGCACCCGTAATTATGTGTCTCTGACTCAGCCAAGCACTGAAGCCGACCAGAAACTCTTCCATAATCTCTCGGTGCTCTTCCTGACAAAGCTATTGCCGGTGGATTGAAATGGATTGAATCAAACAATGCCCGTCCAGTATGAAGTCTTCAATAATAAAGAACAACGAAACATACTGTAACATACTGTAACATTGTAACGAACCAATAAAGATCACTGGAGGAGAATACATAGTAAAACCATAGTAAAACCTCAGAGACCACCAGAAATCAAAGCCATGGAAGGCAAACACCGTTCACCCAAATGCCACGCCATCCCCACGATTTTTACATGTAAAAAACATTGAGCATCGGCCCAGGTTGACCCAGGTTGGCCCAGGTTGACTGGGCTCCCAACGGGCACGCTACAAAGCTCCTGGTCGATCAGGCGAACATGAGGCCAAACCTCACCATGGATGACCGCTCAGCAATTGAAGGAGACATGGACCAAAGGAACTCATTAGGAATTCATTTGGAATTCATAGGATTTCATGAACCGTTGGAAGCACCACAAGGCCGCCAGGCTGAGCTTCTGACGTAGGCCTCCATGCTGTACTGATACTTCATGCCGGCCCAGTCCTTTCATGCTAGTGAAACGTTTGGACCGTAATTACATCTAGAAATTGTCGCCGAAGATGCCTGTGCAGCTGTCGTTCCTTTCAATCTGTGGCACTCCAGCTCTCCAGATTTTCCAGTCACAGTGCTTGTTCCAAGCTGCCAAATGCTCCCAGCTATAGCGCCTTGATCTTCCCATCCATCACCAGCAGCGTGGTGGAAAATTCGTTCTCCCCGCGAATCAGCTCTTGCCTAGGCCGAAACACCCTCTCGATATCTGGTGGCAAACATTAGGAAAAGGGTTGAATGAAGGATAATGAAGGTTGTGATGGCAAGGAGATGTGTGGTGCAACGACGTCATGCAGATATTATATATATTATCTACGTATGAATATGATTGAATCTGTACGTATAATATCGTATAATATATGGGGGTGTCTGGCATGTGAATGTGGAAAGTTATGATCAACATTGATCAACCATCAATTTCTTGGGGTACTCTATTTTCAGACAAACCCATACCAGTAATACTGTACAAGTGCCATATAAAGTCGCATACGGAACTAAAGTAAAAGCACCAGAAGATGCTGATACTATGATACTATTGCGCTGGGATCCCCCTGCAGAATCCAATGCTCTTCCAAGCCATCAGGAGCCAGTCGCATCGCCTGCTCCTTGCTCTCAACCTGAGAGACAGAGTATTCTGGTCCCCATCGGCCGATTTTAACTTAAAGCCCACCCGAACCTTCACTCGAAATTATGTGCAAAGCAGAACATTATCCGCCGACCCCTGCCGACAGCAGGGGGAGCGCGTCAGAGAAGAGATTACAAGCAACAAGTGTTGTGCAGTGCAAGTGAGGGGCAAGTCAGGGGGAGGACAGAAAGGGAAGCAAGGTGCAGTGCAAGAAGCACGAAAAAGGAAGCGAGAAAGGAGGGGCGGTCCCAGCGACAGAAGCAAGCGAAAGAAGCACGAAACAAGAAGTTAGAAGCAAGAGTTTAGGAGCGATAAGCACGAAAAAGGAAGCGAGAAAGGAGGGGCAGTCCCAGCGAAAGAAGCAAGCGAAAGAAGCACGAAACAAGAAGTTAGAAGCAAGAATTAAGAAGCAAGAGAGAACGAGCGATAAGCACGAAAAAGGAAGCGAGAAAGGAGGGGCAGTCTCAGCGAAAGAAGCAAGCGACAGAAGCACGAAACAAGAAGTTAGAAGCAAGAATTAAGAAGCAAGAGAGAACGAGCGACAAGCCCGAAAAAGGAAGCGAGAAAGGAGGGGCAGTCCCAGCGAAAGAAGCAAGCGAAAGAAGCACGAAACAAGCAGCTGTCAGCTGCAGGCTTCAAGGGCTACTCTTCTAGCGGGCTCAGAAAGCGACGTTAGGCAGGGGCTTCGGAAGCGCCGTTGGGACCGGCATGCCATGGTGCTTTCCCGTTTCGGAAGCGGCCGCCAAAGCCGGCAGCTGCAGGCTTGAAAGGCTACTTTTCTAGCGGGCTCAGAAAGCGACGTTAGGCACTGGCACCGGGGCTTCGGAAGCGCCGTTGGGACCGGCATGCCATGGTGTTTTCCCGTGGGTCAACATGGGCCAACATAGGCCTCAAGATGGGCCAATATAGGCCTCAAGATGGGCCAACATAGCCCCAAGATGGGCCAACATAGCCCCAAGATGGGCCAACATAGCTCTAAGATGGGCCAACATAGGCCCAAGATGGGCCAACATCGCCCCAAGATGGGCCAACATAGCTCTAAGATGGGCCAACATAGGCCCAAGATGGGCCAACATCGCCCCAAGATCGGCCGCCGACCATCAAAATATCATGCGTTTTACAGTGTTTTTTTGCTGTTCCCATTTTTCGGATCTTTTGGCTCAACATGGGTCAACATGAGGCCAACATAGGCCAACATAGCCACAAGATGGGCCCCACATTGCCCGCACGATAGGCCAACATACGCCAACATAGGCCAACGTAGCCACAAGATGGGCCAACATAGTTGGGCCCCTGGCCGGCTGTCGCGCGTAAGCGCTTAAATAAAAACATATGAAACCAATTAAAACCAAGTGTCCTGCACTTTGCATGCCCCTTCCCACAGCATTCACCAGACGCTGGGAGCAAAGCTATGTAGGTATTTTTGCCAAAGGTGCCAATCGCTGGCCTAGCAGCTACACGGACTCTGAAAGATCTGAAAGCACTTGCGAGTCCCAAGTTCACGCACAATCACGCACATAGAATGCACATAGTACGTTGAGGATTGTTGAGGTAGTTTGTGTTACACTCTCACATTGTTCCAAAATCACAATGTCCCGTTGCAGAATCTAAAGAGATCTAAAGAGATCTAAAGAGATCCAAAGTCTCGGTGCACTTTGTCACCAGTGTCGTGGAGACAAAGTGCCGACTGTGTTTCACAGTGTTTCACGCCCGACAGCTGAGCAAAATGCTTTAAGATACAAGGGTATTTCCTGAGTGCACCAGATCAGCACAGCTTGGAGATGTCTCAAGAACCTCTCCTAAGGCTTTTTATTTATGGATGCTTGTGATTGTTACCTCTTGTTGCATCTGATTACATATTGTTGCACATTGCTACACATTGTTACGGATTTGATACAACTTGCAGGTCAGAACTGTTCAGAACTCTGCACAAACAAACATTGCATCATCTCTGACCGTGCTGAGTTCCCTGCGCGTCGCTAAAAAACTCAAAGTGCTGCGGTAGAAGGTGCAGCAGGCCTGTCATGCTCTCGCAGAAGTCAGTTGTAGTTGTAATTCACTTCATTTCACTTCCACCCTTTTCGACTCTTTAGACTGCACCGAATTCGGGTTGGCTGACCACGGAATGTTTTTCAAATGGATGAGAACAACTGAATCAAAGAAAAGACTCCGGAAGACGTGGATGTGACCCTGGCACCAGAATTTGGCACTCAGGATACTCGGGTCCAGCAAAAGAAACATATAGCGAGTTTTATTGAGTACTTGAAACAAACAGTTTTGCGACATGGTCACCCTTCAAGGTATGGATGGGTTGCATATCTTCAGATCTGCTTGTCAACCATCCTGACGAGTGGGACCAAATTATGGTGAATTCATCTATATACAATCCCTTCCACTCGGGCCTAGGTCTGAAGCAAGACCTCGTAGCTTCCCCTGTCGCTGCCGATCAGAAGTGTGGAACAATGCTGAGCACGATGTATGTGAAATTTGGGTTGCGCGAAAAGTTCGGAGTGACGTGTAGCCTGATCTCCAACTCAAACATTGCCTCTAGGATCTCAAACATCCTCAAACCATCTCTGACATGATATTCGCAACTTTGGGACCGCGTGGCATGCTACTCATGTTGCAAATCAATGTTCCAAGAGCGCGGATTGCCCGGGAGAACCTTGTTCCGCAACACATCCTTAGCAAGATTGGCCACTCACAAATCGAGGCAGCGTGGCTTCAGTTCTTTTCTTGATTTGATATGAATTCCTTCTCCCCACCGGTTGGATTTGTCCCATCGACCTGAGGCATAAAACGGCATCAACGAAATTTCACAACTTGGGTGATAACAGTCCTATACCTTTCCAGGGCAAACATGAACAGTCCCAAAGGCCCGAATGTTTTTGCGCCACGGAAGCCACGCAGTGATTGTGATTTCCCTGAAGGTTCAACCTTTACGAGTTCCCTCAACCTAAAGATTATTGATGCTTATCGTTCAGCTTCCAGAATCTTCCAATTTCTGGAGAACCCACTAGACTTACAGCAAATGGCGATGAATCAGTTTCAGGCCGGGGAATGCGTAAGAGTGAGCCAAGTCTGAGCCAAGGCTCAACAATCTTTGGATCGCAAGTCAGAAGCTTCCAACCTGCTCCGGCTCCAACACTGGCATTGAACTTGAAAGCACTGGTGTTTCTGGAGCTGCATCAGGCTGCATCCACTTGAAATTGCGAGCATCTAACCAACTATAACAAACTTGTACCATGATGGCCTTTTCCAGTATTGTACGGCTCAAGTAGTCTTATGTCAAATTGATTGCAAATGTTTGAAGCAAGATCTCAAAATATCTTGAAATCCTCGTCACTCCCTGAACACAGCTCTGCTACAAAGCACAGCTCTCCTACAAAGCACCTCTCTCGCGGAGAGCAGCAGCATTTTCAGCCTCAAATCGGCTCGGAATTTGCAATGGATGTTGGGGCCAGAGTCACCATGCCTTTGTACTTGTTTACACATTGATGGGCTGCCATTGTAGGGAACACGTGCAGACTGTACGGGTAGATCTTGCTTGGTTTCAGGATAGTCTTAGTTTGTTTCAGCACATCCAAATTACGTTCAGCCTTTCAGTTGTAAGAGCCATGGCATTTCGTGCAACATCGATATTGGGTGGAGTCGAAGTAATCGTCCACAGCAACCGCTCACTCTTATCCTAAATTAAGGAAAAGAGCAACAGGATTCTCATCTTTCAAGAATCAGTTTGGTCTTCATGACACTTCCAAGTAGCTGGTCAGGTTGCAGGCTTCTTTCAAAAGGATATTGGCTTTGCTCAAAGGGATACAGGTTCTCAATGAGGTGCCACAACCGGAATGGCATATGCGCTAAGCCTTCCACTTTCTGACAATGATATGGTCTGGTAAAATGATGCATCACGGTAGGAAATGCATAATCATATATATATAGACACATACATATAAATAAATACATTAGATACATATGTAATGATTCATAATCTGACACAATCTGCATATAACATATTGTATTATATATATATAATTATATCAAATTATTTCATGGAACATCGCATGATTGAGCTGTTTCGCCCTGAATCTTCCGCCCGGTAGTCGCCCTTTTCCCCCATACTGCTGCGATGGAAGTCTGTGCCACACTGCACCTCGGCTGACGACAAAGGTTGCAATGGCTGAAGAAAACAATTGGATTAAAAAAACACCTCAGTCTCACGCGATAATCACAGAAATACAAATGACACATGACAATGCCAGATGGCATAAGGCTGAAAACTGGATCGTTGCTCGAGGCCGAGCTGCTCCGTTGAAGCAGTCCGTTCCGTAAAATTATGACCGTTGAGATCCGTTGAGCAGAAAATTGACACAAGTGATCCCAAGTGATCCCAAATGATCCCAAGTGGCCATTGCTGAAGCTGATCTGCTTCTCCTCCACTTGCCCCCAAACGACTGGAATGTTCAAAATGAACACGAATTCGTCGCCTCAGATCCCAAGGGCAATGTTTTACACATCGCATCTTCGCAGATCAGTTGAGTATGAACTATGTCCGAGACTGCATATCAACTCCATCCAACTCCTATGTTCCGTTCAGCGTACTTATGCGTACTTGATCTGCGATTAAGATCGATTAAGTCTGAAAGATTCTGAACAATTCTGAAAGGTCTCAACAGGGACGGCCATCTCCCAGGGACCATCCAGGCCACGCAGGTGCAACTGTGCTGGTGGCCAGTCGCGGCGCTCGCTGATTGCGACATATCGAGATTGGCAGCCCTCCAGCCGCTTCACCAAGGTCCGTGATGGCCTTTCGCTGGAGATGCATTCTATATCACAGTAATATTATGTAACATATATAGATTTGTAATTGTCATGTAATGTAATATATATATATATAATATATATATATAATGTATAGTGTGTATATATATATAATTATATATATATGTTGATTCGACCACCATAATTGGTTTTGAAAGATTCCGATAACTTTGACACTTTGCTTCTCAGGTATGCTCATGTGATGTTGGGCTGATGATATTGCTGTTGAAGAGCCTGGACCTGCAAACTGTGACCAATATCTGCAACATTCTGCAATATGTTCTGTGATTGGGAAGAGTCCATCAGTCTGTCATTGTCATCAGTCTGTGATTGGGAAGAGTCCATCAGTCTGTCATTGTCATCAGTCTGTGATTGGGAAGAGTCCATCAGTCTGTCATTGTCATCAGTCTGTGATTGGGAAGAGTCCATCAGTCTGTCATTGTCATCAGTCTGTGATTGGGAAGAGTCCATCAGTCTGTGATTGGGAAGAGTCCATCAGTCTGTCATTGTCATCAGTCTGTGATTGGGAAGAGTCCATCAGTCTGTCATTGTCATCAGTCTGTGATTGGGAAGAGTCCATCAGTCTGTCATTGTCATCAGTCTGTGATTGGGAAGAGTCCATCAGTCTGTCATTGTCATCAGTCTGTGATTGGGGAGAGTCCATCAGTCTGTCATTGTCATCCGTCTGTGATTGGGGAGAGTCCATCAGTCTGTCATTGTCATCAGTCTGTGATTGGGAAGAGTCCATCAGTCTGTCATTGTCATCAGTCTGTGATTGGGAAGAGTCCATCAGTCTGTCATTGTCATCAGTCTGTGATTGGGAAGAGTCCATCAGTCTGTCATTGTCATCAGTCTGTGATTGGGAAGAGTCCATCAGTCTGTCATTGTCATCAGTCTGTGATTGGGGAGAGTCCATCAGTCTGTCATTGTCATCAGTCTGTGATTGGGAAGAGTCCATCAGTCTGTCATTGTCATCAGTCTGTGATTGGGAAGAAGTCCACTCATGTCATTGTCTCAGTCTGTGATTGGGACAGTCCATCAGTCTGGTCATTGTCCATCAGTCTGGGGAGTGGAAGAGTCCATCATCTGTCATGTCCATCAGTCTGTGATTGGGAAGAGTCCTCATCTTTCATTGTCTAGTCTGTGGTGGGAAGAGTCCCATCATCCTGTCCATTGTCATCAGATCATGTGATGGAAGATCCATCAAGTCGGGCATTGTCCGCATCTGTGATGGGAAGAGTCCCTCAAGTCTGTCATTTGTCATCATCTGTGATTGGGAGATCCACAGTCTGTGATGGGGAAGATTCCATCAGTCTGTCATTGTCATCAGTCTGTGATTGGGAAGAGTCCATCAGTCTGTCATTGTCATCAGTCTGTGATTGGGAAGAGTCCATCAGTCTGTGATTGGGAAGAGTCCATCAGTCTGTCATTGTCATCAGTCTGTGATTGGGAAGAGTCCATCAGTCTGTCATTGTCATCAGTCTGTGATTGGGAAGAGTCCATCAGTCTGTGATTGGGAAGAGTCCATCAGTCTGTCATTGTCATCAGTCTGTGATTGGGAAATCTAGCTCCAAAAATGAAAAAAGTTAGCCGTTGGACGTTGTCGGTGCTAACAAACGTAGCCGTCGGATTGCAATTTGCTCAAATCGGACTACTACGTTAAATTGTGGTAGAGTAACTCTTGATTCCCACTTAGGCACTATACTGCTGCACAATTCGCAGTTCCCATTGTGAGGCAAACTCCGACTTTCCGCCATGACACACCAACGGTACCCATCCCTGGTGACCACAAACCTGGTCTCTCCCGGCAGGTCTACCATGTAGTCGCCTGTCACGAAACGTTGAACGTTTAGGCAGCACAACTTTTGAAATGCAATGGCGGCGAAATGACCTCCACAACTTGACACCAGGCAAGGCAGCGGGGCTGCAAGTCTTGATGGAAATGTTTCAAACGTGAAGTATTGAAGGATGTCAATAACAGCAACCTTCTACAGTAATCATACAGCAATCTACCACTTTTCAGAAACGCTTTCCGGTCCCAATCCCATCCTAGGCCTAAACCCCTCAGCCGGCCTGTCAAGGCTGCTGCCAGCTCCACCGTTGGCTTCGCTGGCGGCAGCTCCAGCGGTCCATCCCATCCGCATCTTGACCGCAGTTCACTGAGAACTACCTCTGCTATTTGGCGCTGGCCTTGCAGCTGAGGCCTATCTGTCACACCGATATCAGGGGAGCCTCAAGATTTGACTGGATCCATGTTTCACGGGTGACTGTGCAAATTTACCCAGGTGACAAATGCATGATACCCGCAAGCACCTTCAGGCCCTGGATGCAACCTGAGGCCAGTCGTTCAAAAAATGGAAAACTGCACATTGGCAGGTTGAGCCAAAAAGATCAAGTGTTCGCCCCTGGTCTACTGACAAGGAACCCGTCAAAGAGCAGCTCATCTTTAGAAACGAGCTGAAAGCCATCGCAGTAATGTATATTCCTTAGCCAAGGCGGACACTCTCAGCCAGGCCTGTCGAAGCATGACAGCATGCTGCTGTAGTTCTTGCAGAAGTCCGGCGGGTCAAGGATGTCAAGATATGTCAAGATATGTCAAGATATGTCAAGATATGTCAAGATATGTCAAGATATGTCAAGATATGTCAAGATATGTCAAGATATGTCAAGATATGTCAATATGACAGTCAAAGCGATGTACAGATATGTCCGGGAAAGCTGTTTGAAGAGCACATCAGCCATGATGGATAGGATGCAACCACCATCATTTTTGGCCTTTTGACGTTTTCCGTTGAGCAGAACACAGAATTCAAGACGAATCTGCCGCAGCGAGACTCGCATCTCAGTGCAGTTGTGAAAAAAATGTCAAGGGCCAAAGGAAACAGAACTGGTCGAACTGGTCCGGCATGATCCAACTGCCAGATGGTCCAAGGGACTGATCACCCAGTTCTGCAAGTGTCTCCACACAGGAGCGAGTGCAGTGTCGCAGCTCCTCAAGAAACTGCAAGAAAATCACTTCATATTTTGGAGAAACATTGCATCACATCTTCATGGCGTTATCATGCATCGTCTTGGTATGGCCTATGAAAGTCGATACATTTTACATCTTTAAGGGTGGGATTGCTGTGGCGCTTCACAACACGCACCAAGGAATGGAAACACAGTTGCCATACCTATTGCCAAGATGCATGTTTTGTGCAAGTCACGGACTCATTTAGCTTGTTTATCGCCTACGCCGACGCAGCCACTGGCGTTGACACTTTCACTGAAGTTTGGAGCACTTTCAAGGCGTTCCAGGTCCTTCAAGGACATAAATTCAGCTTTGTTCAGAGGAGCTCGGTCTTCAAGTGGGCCATATCGTAGAGGCGATATCACCAGAATCGGCACACCATGAGCTTCTCCTCACCAGCTCCGACAAAATCGGGAAGCACTCCAGGTGAGCTTGGTGAGTTCAACAGAGGGTCGTACAAAGTCAAACTGTACAAACCAAAGCTGCTGATGCTGCACTCATTAAGATCATTTAACACCCAGCGAGCAAATTTACCCGATTTGAAATAGAAACCGTCATTGAGAAGTTCTTGGAAAGGTGACGCGTCATGGTGCCAGGTGACGAATAATTCTTATGAAACCCATCAGAGCCGAAGAGAATGTTCGCACATTCATGGCAGTGGTCGTCTGGATGTTGATCCCAACCTGACAGTTGACTTGAAATCGCTGTGGGCAGGATCTCTGTCTCCCTCTAGAGGAAGGGCTCAAAAGCAGATACAAATTGCACAAATAGACCAGATAGATGCAGTAGTGATTCCATGATTCCATATCCTGCGATGTCTGTTGCTTGGCTTGACTCCTTGCATGACAAGGACTGAAATGAAAAACCACACAGAAATCATGATCGCCTCCAGTGTGATAAAGTCGCAAGGCGTGTCTCGGATCACCATGGCTACTGAGGGATCCAAATAGCATTCCTTGGAACAAAGGCAACCCCAACTTGGAGGCATCAATGCCTCCTCCTGGCCTCCTGGTTTAAGAAAACTAAGAAACATATTAATCCTGTTCATCTTCACTCTTGTTCTACTTGATACACTTGATACAGTAGTTGGTTCGCTATAACCGTTTGAAAATGATCTAGGGAGGCTTGGATGTTTCCTCAGCAGCTCAGTGTTGGAGCTAGTTGGACCATCAACGCAGTTCCAGCTTTCAACCATATAATCCCGCCATATTATATATACAATTATATATATATATATTTAGAGGCATATTTCCGAAACCAAGTTGTTCAAGAATTCTTTGGATTCCGTGAATGACCAAGTTCTTCCTTAAACTCAGTGAAGTCCTTCTGCAATGCCATCGAAACGGCATAATTTTTGCCCTGTCCCATTGATCGCCAAAGGGCTGCGCCAAAGCCCAGGTTGCAGAGCTCCCACTTGGCCCCGCGAGCGCAGAGCGCGGGCCAACTGCAGGGAGGCCAGGCCAAGTCTGAAAACTGAAAAAGAAATCAAAACCAAAATTTGAAACATGTATGAATCTGTATGAATCATGTCTTTAGTATGAATCATGTCTTTAGCTGAGGCTGTGCTGGGAAAGTCGGCTTCGGGCTGTATACCTGTTTTGGAAATCATAGTCCCATGCATGAAGATGCGGTTGTCTTCTATAGAAAGTAGTCAACAGGCTACGCGGCTAGCATCAACCAAAGCAACAGTACCGCTTGAAAGCCCAGTCCAGTGATTCAAAGGCATTAAAACCCATTCGAATACAGTACGCAGCGAATGCACCTCTTGTATCCCTTTGCATCGCTTCGCATCGCTTTGCATTGCTTTGCATCGCTTTGCTATCTTTGTCTGCTGTGCATTCTAGTCATTTCCACACAGCCTCTCCCGCAAGTTGAGGCAATTTGAGGCATTACAGGCAGTGGAGTCCACAGAGTGTCTTGACACAACTTGACACAACGGATATTATCCGATAATTATCCCTTGCCCATGGCACTATGACATACTATGACTATGACAAGTTTGCTCAAATCAGATGGCACATCATGGCATGTCATGGCACGTCATGTTTCACGGATTTTCACGGGCCGTGCTGTCCTGGTACTAGCGCTGGAGCCGCTGGGTCCCCCATGTGTGATGGAGCTGCCATAGCAAATCCAACGGGGGAACTCTGGGAACTCACCTGAAAAACTTCCACACGAGTCAAATTCTGTGTAAATTGCTCCGAGTAAACTTTGATCATAGCCCGCGCCCCGACAGTAATTCAAGACAGTTCAAACATGTGCAGCAATCAAAGTCAAACATGTGCTGAACATGTGACACTCTGAGTTGTATGGTCTTCTCACAGTATCTAAATGATTACTAATGATTGCTAATGTACTTTATCACATTGACAAACAACTTGAAACAACGTGTTCCCTTCAGCACCCTTTCCCCGTGCCCCTCTCCATCATCCAAACTTCAACCGTCATTCAGTCCAAGTCACAGATGTCAACAGCGATTCCATCGGAATCCAAGAAGAAGACGTCTCTTGGTTGAACATGTTTGAACCATGTTTGAACCATGTTTGAACCATGTTGACCCACGTTAACTTACAAAACCTCTGAAATTTGTTCAAACATATTTGGCAAATGTTGCTTGCGGATATTACAATATACAGTAAAAATAGTATGGTAGTTTGCATTTTCACGGCCCTTTATCTATGCACTACTATTTTACGTGCGCCAAAATAAAATATGCAAAAACAATGCATTTAAAAAAATATAGAACGACTGTCTGAATGTGTCTGAACCCTCTGGGGCTCCAAATCGAAACGGCCCGACTGTTCGCCCAAGACTCAAAGCCACAGAAGTGGGCAGCCACAGTTCGAACGTCACTTCAGTTGCCCTCAAAAATTGCAGCTGCCAGTTTTGATGTGAAAATGTTTGGGAAATTGAATTCAACAACTGACCTAACTTGAATTTTAGACCATTTTCGCCAGGAACACAGGCTTCCCATTAGGTGAAGAGACAAGAACTGGTTCAGAGTCAGCACATCTGAAGGTGACTTCCATATACCAGTAGCTCTATATGTGTATATATGTATATATGTATATGTATATATATATAAATATACATATATATATATATTTACATATATACATATATATATATATTATCATAGGAAGTTTAGAAGTCAAACTTCCGACAGTATGGACAGATGAAAAGCAAAGGTGGGAAGAGTCAGAAAAGAGAAGAGAAGAGAAGAAAGAAGAGAAGAAAGAAGAGAAGAAAGAAGAGAAGAAAGAAGAGAAGAAAGAAGAGAAAAAAAAGAAAAGAAATCCGCCGGCCTGCCGGCGTGTCTTGTGGATTTTGTTTTTTTCGTAGTTGTATTGTTTGTTTTGTCTTTGGTCTTTGTCTAGACTTTCCCCTTGGCGCGGATTTTGCCTCGTCTAACTGAACCCCCCTCCTCCCCCCCTTCCCTTTTCATCTTTCGGTTCAGCCTTTGTTTACAGACATGATTCGGTTTCAACTCCAACCCCGCTTTACGCAAAACCCATGTCTTGTGTCTCCTCTTCGTGTTTTTCCTCTGCGTCTTTCGTTGCAATGTGCTGGGTTCGACTCCGCCCACGCCTCGCGCAACATGCGCATGTTCTTTTTTGCTCCCATTTCCATTGTGGTGCTCGCGATCGGTTTGCTCTGTCATTCTTACACTTTCTACGTTCCTATACCTCAAACAGATGGCCTGTCAATCCACTTGCTTTTGTGCAGAACACCATTTACACGGGCAACCTTTCTATGCATGGCCTTTTCCAAAAACCTTGGTTCACACACTGCTTCGGTTTAAATTCAAACCCTGGTTTACGCAAACGCCATGCTTTGTGTAAAAGCGCATCTTCCTACTAAACAAAACGCTGATTCACGGAAAAAGACGTGTTTTAAGTGTTCCACAGAAACAGCATGTTTTACACAAACATCTAGAAAAATCATGTTCTTGCTTCGCCCTTCCCTGCGTCCTCAGCTTCACGCTCTTGGTTGGCTAGCTGGCTTGCTATTGTCTAAGCTTTCTTCTGCCGCCGTTGCTTCGCCATGAATGTGCTACAAGGGCTTTCTAGGGGTGACGCCCTGTCTACACAACAGCCTTGGTTTAGCCAAAAGCTTTGCTGCACTCAAAACCACTCCTTTACAGACCAACCTGTCTTACACAAGTGCCCTGCCCCGCGTCCTCAGCTTCATGCTCTTGCTGGGTCGGCTGCTTTGCTACTCTCTCTTGCCTGCACTGAAGAGCAGGGTTGGTTTACACCCGCGCCCTTCCCTGCGTCCTCAGCTTTATGCTCTTGCTTGGCTCACTGGTTAAACCCAAATAGCTCTGGCCGTGGTGGCCGGTGGAACACGCCAACGGCGGTTAAATAAGAGAAGATAGAAGAGAAGAAAGAAGAGAAGAAAGAAGAGAAGAAAGAAGAGAAGGAAGAAGAGAAGAAAGAAGAGAAGAAAGAAGAGAAGAAAGAAGAGAAGAAAGAAGAGAAGAAAGAAGAGAAGACAGAAGAGAAGACAGAAGAGAAGACAGAAGAGAAGACAGAAGAGAAGAAAGAAGAGAAGAAAGAAGAGAAGAAAGAAGAGAAGAAAGAAGAGAAGAAAGAAGAGAAGAAAGAAGAGAAGACAGAAGAGAAGATAGAAGAGAAGAAAGAAGAGAAGAAGGAAGAGAAGAAAGAAGACAAGACAGAAGAGAAGACAGAAGAGAAGACAGAAGAGAAGAAAGAAGAGAAAAAAGAAGAGAAGAGAAGATAGAAGAGAAGAGAAGAGAAGCGAAGAAAGAAGATGCAGGTGCGCGAAAAGGTAGAAACGTACCGAAACATTGTGTTTTTTGCAATGTTTTGGGGCTCCGGAAGGTCGAAAAGTGGGCTCGCTAAAGCGGCGGGTGCGGAGCCATCTGGCGAGATGAGAGATGAAAAATTGCACGCCGTTGTGGCGCGAAGCACGTTTCAAAGTAAAAACGTACAAAACACACCAACGTCGGAGCACTTTTGGAAGATGAGATGTTGAAAAAGTTCACGCTGTTGTGGCGCGAAACAAATTTCGAAGTCAAAATGCCAAAAGCACCTCATGCTCGGAGCACTTTTGGAAGTCGACATGTCGAAAAAGCGCACGCTGTTGTGGCGCGAAGCGCATTTCGAAGTCAAAATGCATAAAACACACCACGTTCGGGCCACTTTTGGAGGTTGAAACGTCCTTTTGTGTAGCAGGCGCAAGGGATTCTGCACCCTGCCAAAAGTGAGCGAACCGTGAAGGTTTTGTAGCAGTTTCAAACACGTTGGCAGGCGTGGGGCTCTTGAAGAGCATCTGCAAAGATGCAGTTCGCGTGGCAGGCGCAGTACAAGAGACACATGAGTCAGAGATGTTAGGAGGTCAGGGCGCTGATTTTCTGAGAGGGGTTGCGTTTTGGAGCACCAGATCTTCAGGTTTGCTAAGATGATTTTGCGAGACAGGTGCACCACTTCGTATGACCTGGCTTCACTTTTTCGTGGCAGGCACGGTACTTTAGATAGATGGAATGGACAAATCGCAAAACGCATTGGTACGAGGCCGTCAGCTCTGCACTCACCTTGCCATTTTTGAAGGAAATCTCGTAGAATTGCTTCGTTTTTGATGTTGTCAACTTCGGAAATTGAGGAAGTCTCGCAGAATTGCTTCATTTTTGACATTGCCAAGTTATGCCAAGTTCAAACATTGAGGAAATCTTGTAGAATGGCTGTGTTTTCAAAGTTGCAGGTAGACAGATAGAAAGATAGATCAGATAAGATAAGGCGGTAAGATTAGATTAGATTGGATAAGATAAGTTTAGATAGATTGATCGATAGATTGATAGATAGAACAGATAGATAAGATCGAATAGATAGAATAGATAGATAAGATAGATAAGAAAGTTAAGATAGATAAGAAAGAAAAGATATATAAGAAAGATAAGATAAGGTAAGATAAGATAAGATAGATAGAACATATAGATATGAAAGATAAGAAAGAAAGATAAAGAAAGAAAGAAAGATAGATAGATAGATAGATAGATAGATAGATACCTCCTCCACCTCCTCCACCTACAACGACAACGACACCTCCAACTACACGACAACTACAACTACAACTACAGCTACAACTACAGCTGCAACCACAACTACAACTACAACTACAACTGCACTACACCACACTACATCTTAGTTGTGGTTGAGGTGACCACTGCAACCACTCCAACGACCTTTCGGTCCATCAGTGGATTCGCTCTGCCATCCATGCATCACAACAACTCACCTCTCCTATAGTGTCCTATCTTTGAAACTTCCGCCACCACCTTGTGCGGTACTAGTGGTATATTTTACAGTATAATGCAGTATATATATATAATGTATATATGCAATATACTTGTTTGAACTATATATATATATCATATCACCTGCAGTCAGCCACATGTACTATAGAATATAATGAATATATAGATTGTGTAAAAACGGGTATAATATGGTATAATATGGTATTAGAATGTATTAGATGCAGCAATCTTCTGTGTAGCACAATGTTTTTAGCCAGTTTTAGCATGTTTTAGCAGACTCCCCTGGACATGCAGCTGAAGCACGGCAGCTCGAAGCGCACCGAGTGGCGTCCGGAGCCAGACGCACCGGACGCGCTGGACGCCACCCGGCGTTGGACGCGGCCGTCGCGGCCGTCGCGGCCGTGGCCGTCCAGGTAGAGCTCGTATTCCAAGGGCCTCGAAGGGATCCGAGTCAGGGATCTGAACAAATCTCGACATCGTCGATATCGTCTTACAAATTCTTACAATATCGAGATATCAAGATATATCGAGATACCATTGTGGTATGAGGTTCATGAACTGTTCAGGTTGTCGTATGTCGTAGGGCGTCTTGGTCTCAAATGTCTTGCTTAATCTTTTTCTTGCCTTGATTCTATCAATAATGTCTCAACAGTAGTCTTAATGTGTATATGCATCAGCTTTTGTATGATATATTGGCGGTTTGAAAAGTTTATTTAAAACATACAAAGCATGAATAAAGCACACAATTTGAATCACTTGAGGACCAGTCGCCACAGGACCTGGACTGGCTTTGAGGGGAAAGGATTGGAAAAGAACTTCATGTGATGGTCAGATTGATAACAGGTATACTTCCTGGATCTTCCTGGTTCTATATCTTCGTATTGCACAAAAAGTATAAAAATTGGCCAGGGCAGGATGGGACCGAAACGATGTGAAAACTGTGCCAAGAGAATCCTGCTTTCCTTTTCATGGCTTGGGCTCCAGCCCAGCGATACGCTTCAGCACGTCTAGATCCACATCAGCAGGCTCAGCTACCTCTGATTGCAGGGACTGCGCCAAAACAATGTTTCTCCAAGATGTTTGTTTCTCTTCCAATGAAAACCCATGAAGATCATATGTCATGTTCAATGTTCAATCGTGTTCGATCAAAAGCCCAAAGTCAAAGTGGATTTAACGTGATTTAACGATTTAAGGCGGATCCAATGTTATTTCATCGTGGCATTGGTTCGACACCAGAGCATTCGATCTGCGAAGCACCTCCGCTTCAAGGTACAAAAAGCTGCTTCCGCGGAAACGGCCACGAAGACGCACCGCGGCAGTCGCTGCCATTGCAGCCAGGCTGGCAGCATAGAGGCGCCTTGGCGAAAGTTTCACCCCTGGAACTTGGGTTTCCAAGGCTTCCGGGCCCTATGGAATCTATGGAACAGGTAGAAACAGAGGTGCCTTTTATGGGTTGGAGGTCTGGAGGTTGCATCTTCTTTGGTCGAGAAGTACTGTATCGACTGTATCTCTTTTTTCTAGCACATATTCCCCGTGACGGTTGCCTGCTGTGGAATAGAAATCTAGTTGTCTACTACGCCTTTACTATCCGTCAATATCCCTGTATCTCACTTCCTCAAAAGCTTCACAGAAGGAAACCATGAGCAGTCGCCAAAACTTTGAAGCACATCACTTCCGGACAAATTGCTTTTTCAGAGGCGTGGGCGGCCTGCTGAAATGCTCTGGTCTTTGGTCTTTGGGTTTGCGATGTGAAGAGCGAAGCGTCTTGCTTTGCTTTAAAATGTGACACCCCACTCACACTTCGCGCTGACTGCCACTGAAACATAGCGCAGCACTTCAGAGTTTTCTTAAAATGGTGCTGCACCAGTCTCATGCTGAGGCACAGTGACATGGTGTTGGTTGCCGGCCGTAGGCTGGCTGCATGCACTCTGGACATCTCGTGCCGAAAGCTCTGCACTCTTCGGTTTCTCCACACTCCCCCAAAAATTAGTCACAACTTGACAATGCCAAGGGATGGAACCAAGATGAAGCAACTACGGTCATTGAGTCATTTCTTTTGATTGTTTTGAGATGTGAATACTGTGACCGATGTGGAGATATCTGGCGCAGATTGCGAGCATTGCACGCTCAAATCTCAAGCTCCAGGGAACCAATGGCTGTGCGTGGCCTCGATCCCAAACGTTCCATCACCATGCGTTGAACGGTGGAAATCTCCACGGCTCTCACCAGCGGCTCACGGCGCACACCAACAAGACACAAATGATGCTATGGTGCATCGACTGAAAAGACAGGATTGACCCCTCCGAATAGAGGTGGATCCTGCTTAAACATTTTGATATATTTTGAGCTGAAATGAGCTGAACTCCAGGAAGCCTGGAGCGCAGCAAAAAGCCCGATGCAATTCGATGCGATTTGAATTTTTGATATCTTCCAGGCAATGCCTTTCTGAAACACCGTGACAGTTGCTATCACATGAAGAACCTAGCAGAACGTGTTTTGATACACGCAGTGTTGTTGAGCAGAACGCTGCATCCTTGCATGTCAGGGCCGAAGGGATGAAATGCTCAAAAGGCCTGGAACCTGCGGAGAGTTCCTCGAACGCAAGCACCAGGCGCCATAGTACAAATCGGTACGGATAGCAAGCAAAGTTTCTTCACGGGCCCTGCGCAATTGCAAGCCTGCCCCAGGACTCCCAGAACTGATCGAGTGATCAGGCAAATACCACTGACACTGAACCAATGATGAATGCCAAAGATCCATGAAAAATGCTAAAAGCGGGCACAAGAATCTATCTTGGATGGTACAACCGGAGTTGGGACAGACATCTCGCTTCAAACCCACGCGCAGCTATGTTGATGGCCCAGGTTAATTTGGCTGAATTCAAAAAATATGGCTCAAAGTTCGGGAGAGCTTTTAGTCACATCTTCACTCACTGTGTTTGCTGCCGCTCAAACTGCTGCTCCCACCATCTGTTCCGGCTCCCATAGTCGATCCCAACTTGCCCTTGCCCAACATCTTCTGCAGCGACTTCTGAATAGTTCGGTGGATGGTCTGTTCAATTGAATTGTCTTCCTCCATCTTTTCTGGCCAAGGCAGGGATGGATCTGTGTTCCCTCCGAAGCGAATAATTTGATCCTTTGCCACTGGATGGGCCAACGCGGGCTCGAAGTCCTTGATGCCTCACACGGTGAGCCCAAAAAATGGACCCAAATGGCATAGTAGGTATTGGGCCTTACATTTTGCTGCTTGATGCTTTTGGATATGTTATGATATGTTTGTGTCCTTCAAATGTCCGGAGAGGATGTTGAATCTTTGAGAGACAACTGATTCAATATCAAATATCATGATCCAACATGATCAATGATTTAGGTTATAAGTTATCAAAATATAAGTGCTCTTTATGGAAACACTCAATTAAAAAGTGTGTTCATGCTCTGCATGGCAGCGTTCCATGGCAGCGTTAGGCCTCCAGCAAGTCCAATGTCACCTTGCTCGAAATCCACGCGCTTTTCCAAGTTCAGTGAATCCATGAACTTCTGCCATTTCGAGGGCTTCCTGGGTCGAAAAGAAACACAATCGCCGAAAGCCTCATACTTCGAACTATGGTTCCTGGTACCGTAAGTACACTGTACATGCCTAGAACATTGAAGGCAAACACCACAATGGATATTTTCCTGGTTCTCATTCTCATGTTTGTGAAAATCGTAAAGCATTGCCTGCCCGTATCCATGGACGTTGATTTCAGGCTTCTGCAAACACAAAGTCACTTCTTTCAAATGCAAGTCTGGTCTCAAACGCACGAAGTTCAAACATGTTCAAACAATCCTCTCAAATTGTTCCAGCTTGAGGACGGAGTTCCGATCGTTCCGATCATTCTGTGTTCCGCTTCAAAGAACGGAAGAGTTCCGCCCATTGTCATGTCAGGAAGTTGACGTCATCGGCATAGGGACATCAAATAAAACATCAATAGAATATTGATGTCATGTTTTTCGAAAAAAAACATGATGATGTTGTGGTTCTTCCATGGCTCTTTGACAGCGCCTTTTGCTGAAAATGGGGTGTCACAGGGCTTTCATGTTGCAAACCTGACAAAGTCATCCAGCTTCGTCACAATTTCAAGGCTTTAGGGTGGCAATATAGATGGGATCTTTACAGCGCCTGTGGTTGATGCGGTGGCTGTTGATTAGGATGATCAAGTCTCCTTAGGTGGCCGTCTTGCTCTCTTCATCTTTCTCCTTGGGATTGTTGCTAATCTCTTTATATCTCTTTTATTTTTGGTTTTTCCTGTTCTTGTCAAATGCTCTTCGCCTTCTGCTGCCCACAAACAACTGTGATATTTTTTTCTTCTTTGCTGTTGCCGCTGCAAATACAGGAACCTAAAGGCTTGAACTTGAACAAAATCAAATCAATGGCAAGATTCACTGCCTGGAAGGTTTCAATAATGATCTCTCCGCGCGCAAGCCTCGCATGCCCCTTGATGTCTTCAGCAAGAGAGGTGTAGACACCGCAGAACCTGTCTTGACACATCTTGGAACCAGCAGGTGGCTTTGCTCTTCGCTTTAAATCTTCAAAATCTTCAAGTGTGTTGTTTGAACACCTTCTTTGAGCCACCCGAATCACTGTTCCCCGAAAAAGAGTACAAGGCTACGGCTGTGCAGCGAGTGACTGTGAGACCAAGAGGTTGAAGAAGAAGGTGGAGGACACCATCAAAAAGAGAATGATGACAATGACCAGCAAACTGCTTTCCTTGGTGTGACAGGAAGTGGTTTTCAAGGAAACCCACGCATTCAATCTTTAATGTTGTTTCACAATTCACAATATGAACATGAGTCAAGTAGCCACCCTTTCTGGAGAGCCTATAATTGAATTTTGATGCATAGCCACAACAGTTGGGATGGGCTCGGGCTCAGAATTCGAATACGGGGTCGCCAATTATTTGAGGCAAGTTTCTTCAGCAACATCTTGGATAGGTGCCATGTCCATGACCCCAAAAGCCAGCCGAAGCAATGTGGAAAGCGCTGCCCCCACGTCTCCCCACTCATTCCGAGAAACGCTGGACACCTGGTTCCATGCCAAGTTACTTTGACAAAGATGAGCTGTCTGCAAAATACATCCACAAATATGACAAAATGATGGAATATGAATAGGTTCATTGCAAACATGGACATGTCATGTATGGCAAAATATGCTCGGAATATGTCGCATATCATGGCCTCACGAGGCATTCCCGAGATTGCGAAGGCGAAGGCCAAGATCACTACTGTGATCACTGCAAAACACAGTAGGACCTGCTCCACTGCGTGCAGACACAAAACTCTGTACTCGGACAGCCTCACTGAAATGCTTCCGACTTCCACAATCAAAATGACATAGAGGAAGACACCGATGACAATGAAGATTTCCTGGAAGTTCAAAAAAACATCCAAAGGGTGAGTTGCTGTTGTGAAAATTTGCTCAAAAATAGTCAAAAAACGATCAAAAACGGCATTCAGCATGCCTGTCTCTCTCTCTCTCTCGAATTATTCACGTCAAGGCTCATACGCAAGACTCATTTCGTCTGTCCAGGCATCACAGTAGAACTGCACTGCGCCACCATATCCACTATCCTCGTCGGAAGAATCTGCCAAGCAATGAAACATGGGCTCCACGGTCATCATGGCCAGCAAGTTCAGCATGAGAATGAAACTCAGGAAATGAGACCTGACACAATGTCGATATGTGTTGAGATGCTGAAAGACTTGGAGAGCCAAATACCCAGAAAAACAAAAATGAACCGGGATCGTCTGGACCAATCTTTGGAAGTGTTCCATCTTTGCACAGCCGTGTCAAAAAGGATCCGAAGCAAATGAAGAGTGACCCTCTTGTGAGGTACCGTGGCACCCAGAAGCAAGAGAATGGAGCAAAATCCTTGTTCACGAAGGAAAGGATAATTTGACGCACGTGCCAGTAGAGCAAGCGGCAAAAACCCATGGCATACACCTACAGTTGGTCTCACAAAAATGCCATCAAAACAAATAATTGAAAATAAAACATCGGGCTGCCTGATTCAATTTGGGAATCTCTCGCTGCGCCGCAAATCTCCTCACCGCTTGCAAATAGTTATGGAAGGAAGCTTAGAAGTCAAACTTCCGACTTATGGACAGATGAAGCGGCAGAGGTGGGAAGAGTCAGAGAAGAGAAGAGAAGAGAAGAGAAAAGAAGAGAAGAGAAGAGAAGAGAAGAGAAAAAGAAAGAAGATCAGAGAAGAGAAAGAGTCAGAAGAAAGAATATCAAAGCGCGCGAAAAGGTAGAAAAGTCGCGAAACACTGTGTTTTTTCTATGTTTTGAGGCTCCGGAGGGTCGAACAGTAGGCTCGCCAAAGCGGCGGGCGCGGAGCCATCTAGTCGGATGATAGATCAAACATATTCAAAAATAGCACGCCGCTGCGGCGCGAAGCATATTTTCAAATCAAAATGCGCAAAACACCTCAGGTTCGGAGAACTTTTGGACGTTGAGACGTCGAAAAAGTGCATGCAGCTGTGGCGCGAAGCACATTTCGAAGTCAAAATGTTTGAAACGCCTCACGCCCGGAGAATGTTTGAGGGAGGGTTATGAATACGATGTCAACATTAAGAGAGTAAAAGAGAGAGAGAGAGAGAGAATAGGATAGAAAGAATGGGATAGAAAGAATGGGATAGAAAGAAAGATGAGTGAGTGAGTGAGTGAGTGAGTGAGTGAGTGAGTGAGTGAGTGAGAGAGAGAGAGAGAGAGAGACTCAGAGCCTCAACCACCTTTCGGTCCATCAGTGGGTTCGGTTCGCCCTGCCATCCATGCGTCACCGCAACTCACCTTTCCTATAGGTTTCCTATCTTTGAAACTTCCGCCACCGCCTTGTGCGGTACTACTGGTATGTTATATAATATTATACCAGTAGTACCGCACAAGGCGTTGGCGGAAGTTTCAAAAATAGGAAACCTATAGGAGAGCTTGGTTGTTGTGAATCACGAATGGCAGAGCGAATCCACCGATGGACCGAAAGGTGGTTGGAGTTGTGTTTTTTGAAGTGGCTGCAATGGTTGCAGTGGTTACCTCACCCACAACTGCTGGATGTAGTGTGGTGTAGCGCAGTTGTAGTTGTAGTTTGAATGTAGCGTAGCGGAGTTGTAGTTGTAGTGTAGTGTACACAGTGTAGTGTAGTTGCAGTTGTAGGTGTGGTGTGGTATAATTAGTGTAGTGTAGTGCATTCTAGTGTAGTGCAGTGTAGTGTAGTGTGAAGTAGTGTAGTTGTAGCTGTAGTAGTTGTTGTTGTAGTGTAACTAGTGTAGCGTAGTGTAGTGTAATGTAGTGTAGTTGTATCTTTAGTTGTAGTTGTAGCTGTAGAGTAATGTAGTGTAGTGTAGTTGTAGTTGTAGTTGTAGTTATCGTGTAGTGTAACGTAGTGTAGTTCTAGTTGTACGTGTAGCTGTAGTTAGTAGCAGTTGTAGTTGTAGTTTTTGTGTGGTGTCTCTCTATCTATCTATCGATCGATCTATCGATCTATCGATCTATCGATCTATCGATCTATCGATCTATCGGTCTATCGAACTATCGAACTATCGATCTATCGATCTATCTATCTATCTGTCTATCTATCTATCTGTCTGTCTGTCTGTCTGTTTGTCTGCCTGTCTATTTGTCTGTCTAACTGTAAGCTTCAAAACGCAGCAATTCTGCGAGACTTCCTCAATTTTTGAACTTGAAAACATCAAAAACGAAACAATTCTGCGAGACTTGCTCATGTTTCGAAGTTGACAACATCAAAAACGAAGCAATTCTGCCACTGCGAGAATTCCTTCGAAAATGGAACGTTGAGTGCAGAGCTGACAGCCTCGTACCATTGCGTTTTGCGATTTTCCACTTCACCTGTCTAAAGCATTGCGCCTGCCACGAAAAGTGAGGCCAGGTCATACGAAGTGCTGCACCTGTCACGCAAAATCATCTTCCCAAAACTGAAGATCTGATGCTCCAAAATGCAACCCCTCTCAGGAAATCAGCGCCCGGACCTCCTAGCATCTCTGGTAAACATGTCTCTTGTACTGCGCCTGCCACAGAAAATTCATCTTGGCAGATCCTCTTCAAATGTCCCACACCTGCCATCGTTTTTGGAAATGCTACAAAACCCTCACGTTTTGCTCGCTTTTGACAAGGTGCACAATCCCTTGCGCCTGCCACGCGAAACGACATCTGAAACAACAAGACTGGTCCGAACATGTGGTGTTTTTAACATTTTGACTTCGAAATATGCTTCGCGCCACAACAGCGTGCACTTTTTCGACATCTCAATTTCCAAAAGTGCTCTGAACCTGTCAGTTTTTGACACTTTTGACTTCGAAATGTGCATCGCGCCACAACGGCGTGCACTTTTTCGACATCTCAACTTCCAATAGTGGTCCGGACCTGGTGTGCTTTGTGCATTTTGACTTCGAAATGTGCTTCGCGCCACAACGGCGTGCAATTTTTCATCTCTCATCTGCCCAGCGGGCTCCGCACCCGCCGCTTTAGCGAGCCTACTTTTCGACCCTCCGGAGCCACAAATCATTGGAAAAACACAGTCTTTCCTACCTTTCGCGCACCTGGATCTTCTTTCTTCTGAGACTTTCTCTTTTTTTATCTTCTTTCTTCTTCTCTTCTCTTCGCTGACTCTTCCCATCTCTGCTTTTCATCTGTCCATATTGTCGGAAGTTTGACTTCTAAACTTCCTTCGATAATTATATATATATAGTTCCGACAACTTGTGGCAGTTCTGTGCTGACAGGAAGCCAAAGCTCGCCCCACTGCTAGAAACAATGAAGCCGTCGGGTCCTGAGCCACCTCGATTCCACTCATCAAGCATTGTGCAGTGACGAAGATGATACCTGTGCTGTGAACGTCGCAGGAAAACATCAGGAATCATCTGTCCAGACTGGCGGAAAAGCTAGTTTACCATAGCTTACCATGGGTTACCTAGATCCTAAGTCTCCGAAGTATCGATATGCAGTATGCCCAGGTGCTGTTGATCACGGTCAGAAGCCGGTCCTTCAGGAAGTACCACTTGGCCATCTTTTCCCAGAGCAAATCCAGTGTGAAAGTCAGGATCGGGTGCATGATCGTTTGTGGATGATTGAAACGCACGTAGCTGATCAGCCCTCTTGAGAGCATCTGCTCTTCGTCCATGTCTTGTAACAAGTGCTTCACATAGTAAATTACCGGTCGCAAGTTGTCCTCGAACATGTTCAAACTGGATGAACATATACAAACATCATCAAACATCGGATAAATACTCCCACTGAACACACAAACGCAAACAAATCCTTATCCTGAGCAGTCAACTCATGTCAACTGCTGATTGATAGGCAACTTTCCCTCCAAACACGTTTCCTGGCTTTTGTGCGATCGCCAGATCAGCCCTTCCTTGGAATTGCTGAAGGGCTTCCTAAAAAATAAAACATATTCCCCATTATTTCCCCATGTATTCCCCAAATAATGGTGGATTGTCCATTGGGAAAATAGAAAACACCTTAAACAAACCCAGGCTTCCAGCAACGACTCAGCCAAGAACGGGGCTTCGCGCAGGATGTTGTCCGCAATGTTGGGCTGGTACTTGAACAACTCATCGGCACCGTAGTAGTAGTTGTCTCCTTTCGGCGGAATATCAAGCCATATTTGACTCACTTGACCATGAGAATTGTACGTAAGTCGAGGTACAGAGTACTCTGCCCATACCACAGGAAAACAGAACAAAGAACACAAGAACTTTGGAAAAGGTTGGCATGTCGGCATGATGTTGTAGGTATTTGACTCCAAAGTCCGCTGTAATCACATACGCGCATAATAGATCATAATAGATGCATAATATACATAAGAGACATTGTATGCATGGATCAATGGATCATGGAATACATTGAGATAGACATGGATCTTCTGAGCCGCTGCCAGGTCACTGTCAGCTCGGATAGTCAGCACATCTTCAATCATGGCTTTGGCTGTGGTATGAGCACCACTCCTCCAGCTGAGTAAAAGTGGTGTGGATCTTCCCATCTTGAAAAAGTGGGTGTCCACATCCAAAAACTGCTCTGGTTGGGCAAGGCCTTTCCCAAACTGATAAGACATTTGGTCTGATTGGCAAAATCTGCAGGTCTCACATGAGTCTCAAATGCCTGTACAGAACTTTACATGTCATGTAAGAAATTGTAATAATGTATGTCCAGAATCCAGAAGCAGGGTTGACTTTAAAGCTCTTGTAATCAAATTGTAAGATGTAACCAGAACGTTCAAGAGCTCCTCAAGGCCCAAAACAGTGGTGAGATCGACTGGCTGCCAACTTGCACAGCCAGCTGCCAGATGCACCGTTGATCTCGTGGGGCATCCAACAAGGCCCGGCGCAGGCGTTTGGAATCGTCGAAGTGGATCGCTTGCATCACGGCAGTGGAGCCATCCATGATGGTACGCACCAAGACCCGAGCCGTCAGGGAAATGGACCAGCGGAAACCTTCGATCATCATGTGCTCAGGAACGTCTTTCTCCTGTAACCTGAAGCAATCTGACGCGCTACGATACAACATGACACAACTGACTTAAAAAGTCAAGGACGACGGAGCGTCCAGTATGAGAAAGAAACTGCAAGATATGGAAAGAATATGAAAAGAATATGAAAAAATGCGATCCAAGCGGATCCATGCTCCACGGATCTCCACGGGATCCAAATGTCGCCGAGAAGCTGATGTGCATTATCTTTTGGGCACCACACCATTTCGGTGCTGGTGGACTTATTGGGGAACTCCTGGACCAACGGCCTCACCGCCTCGACACAGACCTCTGAAAAGGGACCAAAGAGTTCAATGGGAATTCCGTAGCCCACATGTCGCAACCCGAGGGCTGACAGCTCATCCAAGGTTTCATCCTTGTTCTTGTTGAACATGTCGTAGGATGACTGGAGTACCCTGTCTGCAATGTAGCCTAAGCTCCCGAAACGCACCGACGGCACCAACAAAGTGTTCGCTTCATGCTACAAATTGACCAAGTATATCCAGCAAGACTCAATTAGTTACATTTGTTTTATCTGTGGCAACATTTGCAAACAAGAAGCGAAGCCTGGATTGCGACTGCTTGAACAGGTCTTGACTTGCAGCACTTCTGGCAAAAAAATCGGTGAAAATGTTGACTCCTTGGCGACTTCACTTCTGCACAGCGCTACTGATGCACGAAATTGCATGCATGGAGGTTCATTACTGGTTCTGTGGTCGATCCTGGAGCTTTTGAATTGTAGGCGCTTGCAGGACAAGCTCTTGCGATTGGCATCTGCTTCTTTGAGCATGCTTTGTACGTATACATGTTTGTGTATATTTTATAAAAGGATTGACAAAATCTCTAACATCTATAGGTGTGAGCAGCATGGGCAAAGCATAAATATGATAAATGCGCTCGTCTGCAAATCCTGGCGTCGGAATCGATTGAGTTGGTCCTCCGACAAGGAGGAGAAAAGCTTCGCATTGTACGGTTTGAATGCCCGAACCTTCATGGTCGATTCCTTGGTTCCAAATGTTCCAAGAGATGACTTCACTCCTGCAAATTGAATTACACAATAATTCATAAATATACATAAATTGGGAATGATTGTCTTCCTTTCTTGGAGTAGCTCACAATAGACGTACACTGCAGCAAAAGTTGTTCCCTTTTACCGTTTGCCAAGGATCGTTGAGGTTCCGAGCAACTGTCAACCAAAGCCACTCCCAAGCAGTCTCGTGCTTGGTGCTCCATTGCTTCGGCAACAAGGAGCGGAGTGCTGCCAACATGACCGGTTTGAACTTCTCGAAGTCAATGTTCTGCAACAGGTTGGCTGATGGGCAGCTTGAAACAGATTTCCTGCTATACATAATGCATGCAAGACATATCATATGTGTTTCATATTTCTGTATTGTACAATCGCATTTATATCAATTCTTCATATATATATATATGTGTAAATACGAATATACATAAGTAATTATACTTAAGTATAATATAATATATAATATATAATATATAATATATAATATAAAATATAAAATATATAATATATAATATATAATATATAATATATAATATAAAATATATAATATGTATGTATAATTAATTAATTAATTAATTATGTATAATATGTATCGTCTATAAACAGAACCAGCTCTGCCTGGCTGGAAAGGTTTTATGCTGAGACACCCCTGGAGGATTGCACCACAAATCTACAGCTGAAATCCTGCCAGCACTTCTTGGCATCAACTCTGCATCTGAAAATTGGCCGCAAATGCTGTGAGGGTGCCAACAAGGGAATGGAAAGTTCTAAGCTTATCGAAGCTACCAGAAGTTCCTCCAGAGTTACTCGTACATTTGGCATCATTTAGCGGTTTCCGTCCTGGGATTTGACGATCAAGTTGATGGCTAATAGGTCACATTCTTCTTGCAAGTGCACTGGACTCGAGATCATGTCCACGAGAATGTGAAACACCGACAGCAGTTCCACCTGGATAAGGCAAAGAACAACACCAACAAATCAATGCAAATCATAGGAATGCAATGGAATGCATTTGTTGTTTTGCAATATTTAAAAATGAATAAGACTTTAATCAGATATATATATATATAATAAGAAAAAAAAACGCAAAGCTTTGAATAGGGCAAATTGGAAATCTCCATCCATCCTTCCGTCTTTTGTCCCATGACTTCGTTGCTGAATGCGCACATTCGGCCAAAACTGAAAGTCTCTGTGCTGCCCTTCTTGGTCTCGTCTTTCTCGTCGTCGCCATCTCCATCCTCTCCATCCTCTCGCTCTTCTTCACTCTCAGAGTCTTTCTCTTTGCCCTCGGCTAATGGTGGGCGGAGAAGCTGCAAACATGTCCTGAAAGAATGTCCTGCAGCACCGCACAGCAACCCTTTTCAGCTTGCGACCAAGGTGCCGAGGCAGCCTGGACCACGCTCCAATCCTCCTTGATGATTTGAAGACGCTCACCATAGGTGTCCCCCACAAATCGATAGCCTTGTTTTAGTTTGTTTTTAGATTCGTTGCTACCATGGTAACCATGGCATTTTGTCAGGCAAGTCAAACTAAACACAGCTCGCCCACAAACAAACCGGGCTCTACAGGCTCTACAAATCTCTACAAACAACAGAAAGCAACTGACAAGGCTTGCAGGGCATTCTGAAGGGCATTCTGATGGGCATTCCTGCGCCACTTCAACTCTGAGGTGACGGATGTTTTTGCCATTTCTCCCCATTTCTGGACCCAAGGTACATCAAGCTATATAATGCTATATACATCTCTTGGATTCTCTTGGTACATCAAGATGCATCTCTTGGTGCCATGTGCCAAGCAGCAGGAACCTGCATAGCCCAACAGCTTCTGCCAAGCTTGGTAAGTTCCAGGTGGCAATTGCGGCACGTTCTGAGTCAGAAGTTCCTGAGCCAAGTTGCATCAAGTTGCTAAGCCTTTTTTGGGCTCAGGCTGTAGATGGATTCCTATGTACGTTATATACGGTATTGAAATGTATTGAATGTAAATTTATTGAATGAGATTGATGAGATGATCAAATATGGCGTTACTATGGCTTTACTCTCGGACGTGCTCAATTCTCACTGGGTGTTCAAGATCGACCACTTACAGGAACAAATAACGGACTATTCAAACATCAGTAACTCTCAGGCTTTAAAGGGCCGCTGGTCAACTTCGTCAAACAGCATCCTACATTGTCCAATGAGCACACGAACCACATTGCACCAACTTCGCGCACTGACTCATAAGAGCTGGGCGTGACCCAAACCTGTAAGGATACTAGGAACCGAGGAACCTATCAAGATCAAGCCAAGCAAAGAAGAAATGGAAATTGTGGACTGCCTCCACGTTACAACATACAACAACTCATAATCATGCTGCAACCTGCTGCAACATGCAACAACTTGCCATGCTTAGAATTTGGAATCTATTGAATTACATTGAATTATATTGAATTATTATATTATATTGATATCTATTGTTTCAGATTTGGTTCAGGCCATGCGCCCTGGATCTGTCTGCTGCCAAGAGGTCGGTGAAGGCAGAGATGACGGCATCCACTCTGCGCTCTATGATCTCAACACCCAAGTGTTTGAATGCCAACGTCTCGACGTAGATCTTCAACTCCTCAGTGATTTTATGGTAGATACTCTAGTTTCAAATGGTTTCAACAGGTATTAAAAGGTGTCAAGAGTTAAAGTGCGCCCCCAATTCCATTTGTCAAACTCCGTGTCCAAATACAATCTTAAGATCCTTACATATCTTGCAGCAATAATACAGTTAATCTTAGGCAGCAAAGATTCATCGGGATCCTCGGCTTTCTCTAGGAGCAGCCGGAAACAGTTGAAAAAACGCAAGGAGACGACGGCTCTGGGAGTGCTGAACTTGTCTTTGATGGCCACCAAGGCCCCAATCTTGCTCCCATAAATGGCATCTCCCACTGCTTCCCGGTCATTGCCTTGGCCACGAGTCAGGCGAGTCAGAATCAGTCAGACTGAACAACAGTGAAAAGATATGAAAAGATATGAATCGGATATGAACAAAGTGAAAAAATGTGAACGGAGTGAACTTTCCAATAACTTGTTCAAGGTTTTCTCATGTTTTCTCATGTTTTCTCTATTCATCCTGATATTGATCCATTTTGACCCATTGATCCATGCCACAGAAATCATCATGAAATATCTGCGAATATCTGAAATATCTAGCCACTGCAGCCACTGCCGTTGTACCCCTGCCCGCTTGCCTAGCGAAGCCAAGAGCAGGTCAAAGCTTTTGCGCAAGAGGGTGACTTCAACTGGAGAAAGTGCGAGCACGTTCATGGTTTCACCAAAATTGGATGTAGTCACCGACTGATTGTCGACAACCTCAGAAGCATTGGTAGCATTCTTGATGTCAGACTCCGGTACTGACTCCGTCTCCACCTCTTCAACATTCTCCGGCTGCATTTCAGCCAGCTCCCTCTGCTCCATTGCCACGTCGTTCGCCATCCTGTCCTGCGAGTCCCAAGAACATGGATGCTCAAAATCACAACCAAGGGCACAGCCGTGCAAGCAAACACCAGAACAGGCACAATGCCCCAGAACAAGCAGAACTGACTTGTGATCCGTTTTTCAGAATCCCGCTTTCCTGCGCAAAGATGCTGGCAGTCGAGAATTTGAGCCAACTTGAAACAGCTTCGGAGAGTTCCAGATTCAGCTAATCAAAACAAATCCTACTTTATGCAAGCCCTGCCAGACTACCAGGAGGAAGATCTGCTCCACAAAGGACTTCTGCGCAACCGCAAGTTTTTTTCGGTGTGGGCCCTACCACCCAACTCTTACCGTGTGCACCTCTCTCTGAGGATCTGCAGCAGCAGATTTTCAAGGGTTGGCACCAAATGGCTGCAATCTTGGCTGGTGTATTCCACACTCCCATTGGATCCATTGGAACATATTTCAGGATTCTGTTACAGTATGACTCAGTATGTTTTTGTGTTTCTGTGTCTCAGTGCAACCCAGGTATTTTGAACCTCTTTCTGAGGACCGGCAGCCCAGAGCAGAGCATGGCTGTCATGCTCGCATGCTGCAGGTTGGAACAGTAAAATTGAATCCACACAGCGGCCTCAAACACCAAAGTGAACTAAAGTGAACATAAATCAACCAATGCACCTGAAGCAAACTGAAATTCCAAGTTTGCAGTGGAAAGTGCCAGGAGTGTGTGAAATTCGACATCCTGCGACCACCTTCGCAAGTTCATATCTCCGTGGCCTTGGCTTGAGTCATCTTGAGTTCGTGCGACAGAACTGACACAAACACAAGAGATCACAAGTGTGTGTGTGGGGAACATCTGAATAGATGTAAAACTTCTACCTGACGTTATTTTTTTTCTCACTGTTTGATTTTCTCGAAGCTACCTGCCTTTTGACTTCATGTGTTTTTGTGGATGTTGTTTCACTTCTTTTCCGTATTTACAGCAGGGGGGCAGAGGGGACTTGCAAAGCTCTGCGCAACGAAGCTCTTTGCAAGCATCCCAGGAAGCACGGACCGATCATCCGTGTGTACCTGCAAGGTTGTGATCACCTGGTGTTCAGGGTTTGCTTCCATTTTCATTTAATTTCATTTCCTTTTGATACCGTCATGGCCACCGGCTAAGCCCAGAACCGGCAAGACGCTTCATTTCATGTCTTTTCATTACTGCACTGTGGTCGCAATTTGTCATGGTGGGAACGATTTGGCTTAGTTGAACGGAAGTGTCAGCTTCCAACTCTTTGCATCTAGCACTGGTTACGGCGATGGTACTTTTTGATACTTTCTCGGGTCTTTTCACCGACCCATTCCTGTCAGGTATAATTGGAGTGCTTTTTGCATGTAAGATGAATTCCACTTCAGAATTCGCAAAGATTGTTCTGAGCAAGTGTGTGACTCATGCTGGATTCGTCATGGTGGCATGAACCCTTCGGGGAATACCTTTCCAGGTAGGAATTTGAATCCTCGACCTGATCTCTGAATTTACATTTTTCAACCTCGTAGTTCGTCTAAGTAAAGTGCAACAGCTGGCCATTTTCCGATTTTCACCCTGTCGACTGTCGACGTGTTGAACAACTGCCCGCTGTTCCAGGGACTCACCTTTTTCTTTGGACATCCATTCTGCATAGTTGGAAGCCGCGACAACATCCTTTTTCACTGCTGCTCGAGAGTTTGATCGACACATATCAGCAAGCGCATCATGATGAAATGCCCAGGCAGGCACACGACTTTAGGTGTGGTTGTCTTTCTCTTGATGGTTTCTGGTGGGGTTCACATGTGCACGTAATTCGAGGGTTGACTACGTAAGCTGTCCATAGGGTTGATTTGACACTTTGGCCAGTGAGCCTGATGAGGGGACTCTGCATGACATTGTGGATGCATCATGGTTTGAACTGTTGTTTGCTGTTTTCTCCAATTTTATCCCTGATTCAATCGCTGTCGCCATGCTCCCTTTTCGCTGGATGAACAATTCTGAACCTATGTGGGCTCCTTCAGGGCATTCACCACCAGTGACACCACATCAGGCTTGTAATCCTCAAGGCCAGTTTTGCAGTGGAGATCACCACCAACGGTCCCAAGCTCAGACCCAGGCCCAAATCAATGCGCTTCAACAACAGAATGCGCTGTTAAATCAACAGCTGACCAATCAATCTTTGACTCACATCCAACACCTCCAACAGTTGGTTCCACACCAACATCCTCAGTCAACACCACCTTCAATTCCAAATCCACAATTTACTCACCCACACCAACACCCTCAGTCAACACCACCTCCAAGTCCAAATCCACAACCAGCACATCCACCATCGAATTTTCCATTACCGGTTCAGCCAGAACCGACTACATCCACGTTGACACCGCCAAGTCAACCTCCAAATCCCAATCCTGAGCAGATGTTGAATCAGATGAAGCAAACTCTGACACCCGACCTGGTTGCAGCCGTGGAAAAAGCCAATGAGCGCTCCTCACAACTTTTTCACCCTTCACCACCTTCCACAACCACTCCACCTACTTACAGTCAACATCGACCCACTACAAGCCAACTTCCACCCACGGCTCAAGCCTCACGACTTCGTCCACGGGAACCTCACAGGGATGACAAACGACCCATATTTCTGTTCCTAGAAGCCCACGGCATCGTCCCCGCTCTTATGATCCCAGCCGGCACCGCAAACCAGTATCGCCACCACATCGTGGTCGAGAGAGCTCAGTCACTCTCGTGTCGGTGCCCTCTGACCGTCGAAGTTATAGCTATGACTTCAACCAAGATGATCACACCCACCACAGCTCCGCAGGACGTTCATCTCGTCCTGCTGAACCTTCCAATCCTCCGCCATGGCTACAACCAGATGGGCCTTCGAACTACGACGACCACTGTGGTCATCAGGTCCATCACAGTGACCAATCCACTTGGCTAGACTGGGACGCCTGGCACTGGGGGCAGTGGGGAAGTCAGTCACCACCTGATTCCCACCAGACGTGGCAAGAACAACATCATACTGTACCTCCTCATATCCATCTTGGCGTGACAACAATATCCACCCAAACCTGCGGCACGTCTTTCCGCGGCACCACAGTCTCGGTCCAAGCCCCTAACGGCGTTCTCCTCGCCCTCACATGGCCCTCCAGGCAAACGTACAAAACAGGCCAAATCCTCGCGGCATCATTCTCAGCATGATGTGGAACATCTGAATAGATGTAAAACTTCTACCTGACATTATTTTTTCTCACTGTTTGATTTTCTCGAAGCTACCTGCCTTTTGACTTCATGTCTTTTGTGGATGTTGCTTCACTTCTTTTCCGTATTTACAGCAGGGGGGCAGAGGGGACTTGCAAAGCTCTGCCCAACGAAGCTCTTTGCAAGAATCCCAGGAAGCACGGACTGATCATCCGTGTGTACCTGCAAGGTTGTGATCACCTGTTGTTCAGGTTTGCTTCCATTTTCATTTAATTTCATTTCCTTTCGATGCCGTCATGGCCACCGGCTAAGCCCAGAACCGGCAAGACGCTTCATTTCATGTCTTTTCATTACTGCACTGTGGTCGCAATTTGTCATGGTGGGAACGATTTGGCTTAGTTGAACGGAAGTGTCAGCTTCCAACTCTTTGCATCTAGCACTGGTTACGGCGATGGTACTTTTTGATACTTTCTCGGGTCTTTTCACCGACCCATTCCTGTCGGGTATACTTGGAGTGTTTTTTGCACGTAAGATGCATTCCACTTCAGAATTCGCAAAAATTGTTCTGAGCAAGTGTGTGTGTGTGTGTGAGAGTATACGTCGAGACAAAATTGTATGTATGTTGTCTAAGACTGCTTAAATATTTAAAATTCATTTCAGATATTTCAGTATGTTTCTAGGTGCCTGGCTCAATTCGCATCCTGCATGGCCTCCTACATGGAACGAATAGCTCTGGTAGCTTTCCATTGCTTTCCTGAACACAGCCTGCCTTGCCTCTTTTTTCAGGACAGGCGTCTGCTTCTCATCCTCTCCTGGCTGGGTAGGAGCGAACAGCATCTTGGCAAATCGCTTGAGATCTGAGGGGATGTACAGCGTATAAGCACTGGGAGAGCAGGTTCTGGTAAATACTGTACCTTGTGCACTTGAAATGGGTGTTCCTTTGGTTGTACTGGGCCGCATGCACCCTCCTATGCAGCTTTGACACCCAGTAGATCTTGAATTGGCCGCTGTGATGACAAAGCATGACTAGTCTAACCAGTAATTGCTCTGTCAGGGAGAGCAATATAGAAGGCACGGTCGAGCCTTTGTTGTCCCAAACCATTTTGACGGTCTTATACCTCAAATGCTCCAGGAAAGCCAAACGGATGCGGACGGGTAAAATGTATGCTTGCTTCAACTAGGTCCGAAGCTGCAACTAACACGGGCAAGCCACACAGTCGCAGTGCCAAGGAAAACAATCAATAGCTGCAGGCATGCATATATATTTCCTTGGGCGGCAACATGAAAAGCCCCGTCTGCAGCTCACATTGATAGGGTCAGTTTTCTTTAGTAAAACTGTTTGAACCAACCATGAAATGAAATGAACTGCAATTATATAATTTAATACGTATGTCGTCCGTCCGTATGTCTTAATATAAACTGGTGGGGTTTTATTGAATCAAAGCATGGTGAATTTAAAACGTTCACTTACAAGACAGCCTCTTCAGCATACTTGAAACCAATCCAAGCCGTTCCAAGCCTGTTTTTGCAGAATTCCGAACCCGACCCCTGTATCATTTGTCTTCACGCAGCCTGCCACAAGATTCCATCACGGAAGCTATCCGCAGACAGAACTGCAATCTGAGCTTCGGCCGCCGAAATCCAGGACTGTTCTTGCCACAATGGGAGAGACAAAACGCGCACAGTTCACAGCGATGGTGTTCTGCCTGGGGCTCCATGGAGCTGGATCACTGGATCTCACTGGATCTCACTGGACAGCCATACAGCGACACCAAAAATGACTCGATGAGTCTCGATGAGGTGTAATACACTGTAAGGCCGCAGCAATCGATAGATCTCCTGGGCGGGATGCGGACAGAAAAAGGCTTTCGCATGGCTTTCGCATGTTTTAATCAGTCTAAGGGGGCTTGTTATGGCTCACTTCTGTCACAAGGCCATGGGTTTGCTCATCTAGCACAGGGGTGGAGAAGGGAACTGTGACACCAGTGCTCTGCATGCCTGGCAATTCCTGACTTTGCAAAAGGTGACCACAGACAGAAATATCTGCACTTTGTGGATCCAGAGCAAGGACATTTTCAATAGGCATGAAAACCAAAGCTGCCTCTGTTACAACGGTCATCTGATCTCATACAACAGCATGGCTCCTCGTCCCCTAGACACATCTAGACACATATACTGGACCCTTGTGTGATGCAAAGAACAAGAACTTCAGCATCGTTGGAAGGCAAATGCGGGTACTGTACTTGGTCCTAGATGTACAGAATCATTGTGCACATTGGAATCAAAAGAACAGATGCCAACGGCCAACCAATTGAGGTACGGTTGAGTCAAGGAACAAGGCTGAAGTTAGTGCCGGGCATGGCGGCCTTGCTCGCCCAACCTTCAGCAATGCCATTGGCCACCTCGGCAGACAAAGTATGACAAAGTGCTCAAACGACGCCGACCCCCGAGAGATCGTTGTGTCATGTGCAACTGAGGGGCCCTTCAGGCTGTAGCTGCTTGGCATGTGATGAGAATGGGCAGTTCTCGTCATGTGTCAGTGTTGTAGACACTTGAACCGATGCCCAAATGTGATCAAATGTGCTGGTTTCACCAGAATCTGTGCCAGCATCCCCCTGAACCTCCAGCTACGATTCTGAACTTGGTGACTTGCTCATTTGCGCCATTTCATACCAGGCACACTGGCCATACCATAAACCATGCCATCTGCAAGTAGAAGACCAGCAGCTCCTGCCACGTCGTAATACTGCTGATGCTGGCGATGATTCAGTGCTTCGTAACGTTTTTAACTTGCGTAACTTATATAGATCTTTTAAATGATTTTAACTGTCCTTGCTTGTCATTACAATCGTTGGGGACACTCAGCAGGACAAGACATGGTGGGCACGGCACGGCAGCAGTTGGGCACAAGCCTGTGCCAAAATCGAAGAGGAAGATCACCTCGAAGTGAAGCACATGAATGTCACATGAATCCATTGCATTTCAAGAATCGAAGCTCATGACATCATGTCATCGCATATCATGCAATGTGTGAATCTACTGCACGCATAACTTATATAAACTTATATATGTATATTATGCAATGCACTGATGCTTATTTGTACATGTCATCTGTACGCAAACCACCTGCTTATGCTCCATCATTCCATCACTGTGACTATCACCGATTTGTGTTATCACTGCAGGTATCACTCAGCTGTTTCTCAACTATTGATTGCTGGACGAACAATATCCTTTGCCGGACAAAGGATGATGGTCGTCCGTGCATCGTTTCTCGCTCGAGACCAACTGTTTGACCATTTTGGACCCAAATCCCTGAGCCGAGCCACGCCAAACAGTCCTGCGAGGTTCGCACCAAAGAACACGGAGGACTCTGTGAGAAATTTCCGCGACAGCAGAACACTGGAAATGGCCTAAGAGGCGTCTACGCAAAATGTCTCTGCACCATATTTTGCATTTTTGTTCGAATTTGTCAAAGCCAGAGATTATGGTAGTTGTTGTGCCGTGCTATCCGCCCTTTTCCAGCAACAAAATCAACAAAGATCACGCTGATCCATGATGATGGGGGTAGGTTTCACAGCCGAGAGATGGAGACTTCCGACCAAATTGTAAGTTTAGATTCGATTGATGGAAATGGCAACCTGAAAGTTTCTTTTCTTCGATCAAATGGGAGCTACCTTGGAGCTCTGCAACTGGTTTTCACCGTATTCATGCATCATGTGGGAACAAACCCAACCAACATCGACCCGATATCGACCAATGCTACGTACATCCAAGGCTCTGAGAAAATCAGACTTGCTCCAGCAACCTGGGTGCGGAACATAATGGAAATCACGAGCAAACTCAAATAAGGCCACCATGAACCAGGAATCATTTGCAATAATTAGTTTAATCATGCGTAGTAATATATTTATATTATATATATAATGCATATACTGTATACATATAACTACATATAATATATATATATATACTTGAGAAGGAGGGAACGAAACCTATTGTGATAATGAAAACGCCTGCACACAGCAAATTGCCTGCGTGCAAGGCCTTCAACGTTGAAATCCTCCAGTTGCAGCGTAACCCCAACTGCACAAAAAGGTTTGAGGCAGACATCCTGAAACTCTGTTGGTGGCTTACGTATCTTCAGTCTCTCGAGCAATATATGTTCCCCATCTATTTGCTTGACTGGCTAGAAGCCGGACTGAAGGGGAATCAATACCCTACTGCAGCAAACTTCCTGCGCACAACACCTTCAAAATTGGAGTTCTTCTTTTGGAGCAAACCCGTAAGCATGACAACTGAAAGCATTAAACTTCCTGCGCAGAACACCTTCAAAATTGGAGTTCTTCACAAACCCACAAGCATCACGACTGTGCGTAACACCTTCAAAATTGGACTTCTCCAGTGGTCGCCTTCCTAAAATTCTGTTGGTCAGCTACGTATCTCTAGTCTTAGCTCACCCAGGAAAACCCAGACCGAGGGGGAATCGATACCCTACCGCAGCAAATTTCCAGCGCGTAACACCTTCAAAATTGGAGTTCTTAAAAGGAACACGCCGCCCTGGCTTAACATAGCCTCCAAGAGCCTAACATGGATCAACATAGGCCCAACATAGGCTCCATATACGCCCAACATGGTCCCGACATGATCCAATAATGGCGTGTTCCTTTTGGGTCGGGTATATAAAGACTTAAAAAGAACACAACATGGCTCGAATATGGCCACAACATGGCGTCGAAAAGCCAACATAAGCCTAACATAGGCCTGACATAGGCGTAACACCGCTTAACATGACCGTGATCTAAACATGCAGACTCTAGATTTGGTTCTTGGTATCTGCTTCCATATCCATTGGTACGCAGCGCGATGATAGCGTTCTGTACTTCGCAAAAGTATGTGCCACAGCCCATTGATTTTTCCACGATCCTAGATGATCCCAGTTGTATCAAAGTGTATCGTCAGAAACAGATGACGTGAGGGTCCACTATGCAAGAGATATTGACACTATTCCACAGCGGAGCTGCCAAAGGCCAAAAGGAAGGGTCCTGCTCCGTTGCAGTTCTGTTAGACTGCAGCATCTGCTTGTCATTGCATCTGCAACCTTTTTCTTGACAAAATATGAAATTTGTTAAGCATGCGTTGTTCAAGGCCGGCTTTGATTCTGCCGTTTCTGCTTAGCATTACATCTGTCATGTTTGTTTTTCTCATCATATGCGGGCGCGGGCAAGCCCCTTTCCAGCGCCACTTCGAACGAGCAAACTGAAAGGTCGCGTAAGACACAACCAGCGAAGAGGATATCGTTTTGTAAGCGCATCTGCGGGAAGACCTTTCCTCGCAATGGCATGATGCAAGAAGTTCTCTATTTACCTCTCTCTCTATCTATCTATCTAGCTATCTATTGAGCTCTATCCATCTATCTATCCCTCAATCCATCTATCTATCCATCCATCAATCTATCTGTTCATCTACTTACGTATCTATCTATCTGCTTATCTATCTGTCTTTCTATTAACCTATTTGTCTACCTATTTAGCCCCATTATTTGTCTACCTATTTAGCCTCAATATCACGGACCAGGGGGGAATCGATACCCCACGGTCACCCATTTGCGACCTGGTACGTTACCCTGCAAAACAATCCCAAATCACACCCTGAACACCAACTAATTCTGGAGAAAGTGGCCCGTACGGCAACACCTCCCCCAGACCCCTATTCTCTCACTACCTTCGCAAAAAAAAACAGCTTGCCAGCTTGTCCGGCTGGCTTTCGTAATATATTACATTGCATTCATGTGTTTAGTTTACTTTTAAACTACGCACATTATATACATGTAAAAAGCAGATACATGTATTACTGTATAAAGCAGTTCCAGCCATTGTGTCAATGCTGCTTGTTTGCCTCGTTCGAGCGTCAAATATCAGTGGCAGTGGCTGCAAGAATATACAAACTGGATCAAACTGGCAGTAGGTATTGCAGACTTTCTGACTCTTTCTCGTCGCTGAATTGATTGCTCATGGAAGTGACATCCCTCTCAGGTCAATCATTTAGATCAACGACGGGCAAAACTTTGGGGTACACGCCCGCACCTAGCTCAGACTCGCCGACTCTCCAACTCTCAGTGTCTTGGGGCCGAAGCACCACGGTAAATGCAGTTCCGCACAGTTCTGTTGACCACCCGTACGAAACCTCTAGGAGCATAATCGTGCTCACCTGGCACAGCACAGCTAACATTCAAGGCCTGTTCAACATTTGTTGCATTTTTTTGCTCCCTAATCTTCAGCAACGAAATCTGGTCAAAAAAAACGTCACACTCTTCACATCTGTGACATCATCCTTCCTTCTGGATGTACAAAAAGGATCAATTTCTGTCCGTCGTGGCCATGATTCCACACAGTGCCTGCCTCAATGGCTGAAATAGAGAAGGGCCGCTCCAAAGCATACCAGACCATGTTTTTCACAACCCTGCAAGGCTGATGCATTGCAGCAGTGGAACACAGGGTAGCTGGTAGCTGATTAGCTCACCACTGCATGTCTTCTGATCATTTCACCACTGCTTCTCACACTGCCCCTCCTTTTTCTAAATCAAATATGGTCAAGTACTCACTTAAAGACTTTACGACTCAAATTGGTTCCACTTCCGAGACTTCAGATTGCTTCAATATTTTCAATATACGTCTCATGCTCAAATCAAATGAGGTCCGCAGTGCTTCCAGTGCGCTAACGGCCTTTCTCGTTGTGTACTTGGCAACATCATCACACAAACTTCTGTCTCGGGTGCACTGGGCTCTTCTGGCCTAGATGAAGCGTCGTCAATGCCAGGCAAGCTTAAACCAGGTCATTCCAAGCAAGAAAAAACAAGAGTTATTTGATCATCTCTGATCCATCTGATCACAGAGTTCACCAAATCTATCCAAATCTCACACTCTGCGTTGCCATGGATTGCTGGGACACAAAACCATTGGATCAGTTCCGAAATGCTTCAATTGTTCAAGAGTGGCAAACGTAGCCGCCTATTGTGCTGTTGAGTCGAGAGTCAGTGGCACAAGCACTTTTGGCAAGACCATGCTGGAATAGATTGCAAGACATTCTCCAAACAGCAGGAATCCTTGAAGAGGCATGGGGCAGCCATGGAGACAGCCAGCTGTTCCACTTACCTTCAATGTGTAACTTGTGTAACTGGGGTTGCTTCACAAATCTTCACACCCGCCAAGACGGAATGCATTCAGATCATCATGAAATTGAAGCGTGGACCCTCTCAATCGGGGCGATATCCTGCCCTATGCTGAAAGGACCCCCTTCCACCAGTCCATTCATGACAGTGGCTGAGTTTCCCAAAAGACTGACCCTTGTACGTTCTCAGGGTGATTCTTCAGGGGCCCATACAACAGTATCCCTCTGTTTGAACAACAGGCAGTAATTGAGTCATGGTCAAAACATTTCAAAACCTCGTCATACATCAATTTGCTTTACTCTTTTTTACTTGTTTTGCTCCGCTTTGGCCGTGTTTTCACTGTTCCAGGATTTGTTTTCGCTGCGAAGCTTTCCCTGGAAACATTTGGGGAAAACAGATTTCTGCTAAGTGATCTGATTCTTGTGCTTTCGCACAGCTCGGTGCATGCCTTAGCGACCCCTGGAGCCGCCATACCTTTCAAAACACAGTTATTCCCGCACTTCCATGGTTTCACCCGCAAATTCACACGCTCCCTGACTGGTACTGGCATCTACTGTTTCACTTCCCAACTACTTGATGATGCGGACGTGATTATGTGAAGACTAATGTTGTACCCTCATTAGTGTCTAGGTTCGCTATTGTGGCCAAAATTTTCCAAATTATTCAGAGCCCCAGCAATGTTTGGAAGGTTCACTATTGTGGCAAGAATTCTTGGGAGACCATTGTTTTGTCCAAAAAAATGTTTGTGTATAAAAAAAACTCTGAAAAAATATTGCTTGTCTCTCTGTCCCAAAAGAATCAGACCTGTTATAAAACCCTTTTTTAAGAACCCACAAATTTACAAGGCACTGGGCCATGAGAGGGTCCAGTTCACTTTAGGTTCGTTCTCAGGGTTCACAATTGCAGCAAACTTTTCCAGAGCCGATCCAGGAGCCAAGAGAAGAAAGAAAACCTTTTGCAAAAGCAATTGAGAAGTTCAAAGTCCAAGCCTTTCCCAAAAGAATCAGACCGCTTATAAAACCCTTATTAAAGAACAGTTTTTCCACAAATTTCCAAGGCACTGGGCCATGAGAGGGTCCAGTTTACTTTAGTAGCTTTGTTCTCAGGGTTCACAATTGCAGCAAACTTTTCCAGAGCTGATCTTGGAGCCAAGAGAAGAAAGAAATACATTTTACACATTTTTGTCTCTTTATCTTCCTCTTCCTCTTGCATGTGGGTTCTGGTGACTGTAGAAGTGTTCTGGTAACTGTTCCTCTCTCTCTCTCTGTTCCTCTTCCTCTTCCTCTTCCTGTTTCTCTTCTTCCTCTTCCTCTTCCTCTTCTTCTTCCTCTTCCTCTTCCTCTTCCTGTCTCTCTTCCTCTTCCTGTCTCTCTTCATCTTCATCTTCCTCTTCCCCTTCCTCTTCCTCTTCCTCTTCCTCTTCCTCCTCTTCTTCTTCCTCTTCTTCTCTCTCTCTCTCTTTCTCTCTTTCTCTCTTTCTCTCTTTCTCTCTTTCTCTCTTTCTCTCTTTCTCTCTTTCTCTCTTTCTCTCTTTCTCTCTTTCTCTCTTTCTCTCTTTCTCTCTTCTCTCTCTCTCTTTCTCTCTTTCCCTCTTTCTCTCTTTCTCTCTTTCTCTCTTTCTCTCTTTCTCTCTTTCTCTCTTTCTCTCTTTCTCTCTTTCTCTCTTTCTCTTTTCTCTCTTTCTCTCTTTCTCTCTTTCTCTCTTTCTCTCTTTCTCTCTTTCTCTCTTTCTCTCTTTCTCTCTTTCTTTTCTCCCTTTCTCTCTTTCTCTCTTTCTCTCTTTCTCTCTTTCTCTCTTTCTCTCTTTCTCTCTTTCTCTCTTTCTCTCTTTCTCTCTTTCTCTCTTTCTCTGTTTCCCTTTCTCTATCCCTTTCTCTATCTCTCAACACACTTTGAATAGAAAACGTAAGGTGGAAATGGTAATGCAATCAACATGCTGAACCCCACTCACTACAAGTAATTACTAAAAATACTACAAATATCACAAGTTCATCGGCAAACAAAAAATGTGTTAATTAGATTTCAATTGTTGCCAAACTTAAATGCGGGATCGTATTTTTTCTGGGGAGGAGTTTTTTGACACCCAACCTTAAAGAGGGCTATTGTTTGAGGGGGGGCCTACACCAATCAGGACGAAACATTAACCACTCTTCTGATTATCTACAGGAATTTTGAGGGGACCTTGAACGTGGCTCGATCTCGAAAGCGGACTGTTGGGCCACGGTCTGGCTTCATCAACAACGCTGGCTGGCGCGCGGGTTGTTCGGGCTGGAGCTCCTTGTATGGGATTCAAACTGAAAGTATTAAGACGCTCTAGGCGCCTCTGGGCGTTTGTCCTGCGATGTCCTGAGTCTTGAAAATTGTAACATGCCCGCACCCCTCAGCCTGTCCAGTCTTCCGCACTCATTTTTGTCATTTCCCACCGAGGTTCCAAGATAGCACCAAGCCATCAGCGAAGTCTCAGTCAAACAAATCAGCCGAGATGGAAATTCATGAGCCGTGACCGTCACAACTATCCTAAGAATCCTGACCATCCTGACCATCCTGACCATCCTTGTACAAAATGTCAATGGAGGGGGGGAGTGCCCAGCCATCCATGACTAAAAAACACATGACAACGATGGATCTTGTGAGCACAGCTAGGACTGGAAGAAGGCAGGTTCAGCAACATGAAAAGCACTGAGCCAACGCCGAGAGAACTTTCAGGAAGACAAGGTCTGCTGCTTCAAAGACCAACCGACTTCATGCAACTGATAAAACATGCTAAAACATCGCAATCACGCATATAATGCATATAAGTGATATGGACTCATATGACATGCAAATCTGTTTTGGAAAGGAGGTCAAGTCAATGCACCAATGATTTTCCCTGTGCTAACCTCCTAAGTACAGTAGACAATTTGGGGGATCTATTCATATAGTCGGCAGCGACTGATAGATTGTGTACAGTTGGACAAAGTCAGGATGGGTGCAGCTCTAGAACTGACTCTTCTCCACAGTAGCAGGATTCCAGATTTTGCTTCGAGCAAATCATTAGCCAAACTCGGGCCACATGTCAGAAACTCTGGGGAAAACCACAGTCTCAGGTCATGTGGTGCCAAAAAAGGAAATGATGTCCAAAGCTTTGAAGAATTTTGACCCAAGGTACTGGCGCAACTGGCTGTCCACGCTTTACCGCCCAAGCAGTAAGGGCAAAGAATCCCGGCCCCACCAACATCCCGGCGTTTCTGAAGCCTGACAGGACTGGACACAAATGAACGGACGTGAATGGACGTGAATCGCTGTTCTGGGCCATCACACATTGTGTGTGTGTGACTCTGGCCTCCGTTGAAAGATCAGCCAAGTTGGATCAAATAGTTAAGTGATGCAATATTGAAGCATGTTCCTCTTCATATCATCCAGTTGTATTCGGAGAGAAAGCCAATCAGTTGCCTTCATCCGTGTATCCTTGTCTTGTAGGTAAGCAACTATTACTCAAAATGTGTCAAAATAAGGTGTTGTACCGTGTTGTACCGACCCTCCTCTGGTCTGAGCTCCCCACACTGAGCCATGATCATCCAAAAGGTCTTCTCAGAGGTTGGCGTGACCTTGTTCTGCATCACCAACATGGGCACCGTTGGCATTGCAGAGACCTCAGCCCATCAACTGTCACAAAGGTCTCCTAAGCAAAAGCATTTGGCGAATGGATAATTATTTCTTTACAAAAAATGATATTCCAGTCCTAGAGTGAAAGACTCTCAATGACTGCAATGATCAATGTTCAACCGTGTTCAATGGTAGAAGAAAGAATTCGACTTCATTCTCTCTCATTGCCACATGTCCGTTTCTTTTCAGTCAGCAAAAACACGTGTGTCCATTAAGTCAGATGCAATGGCCTCTTTAGAAGTCAAGCCTTTTGACAGTCTTCTACTTGTTTGGTCATGAGGTGGCGTGCTGGCACTAGAGTGTCTGTCAATCCAGGGTTGAAAGGTATGGACAAGCCGAAAGAACACACATGGGACTCATGACAGCGAATTTTTGATCCGCATCGGCAGATTTAATATGTGTATGGATTGTTGGACGCGTGACTTCGTGCATACGTTCATTGGATACACACTTGCCAAAAGACAACATAGCAAGACCTCATTCACAAGCCTTTTGAGGGGTTGAGGTTGAGGTCGCAAAACAAAAATGATATCAATTATAATATATATATAATTATATTTTATGTATATATATATTATATATATATATAATACGTGTGTATTTCATTAGATATACAGACATATCTATACCCGGTGGGATTCGGTAGGTTGAGCAATCTTAGTTGTCTTGAACACATGAACGGAGCGCGGTTTTCCCTGCAACATTCTTGTGACTGTCGTGCTTCCATTAGTGTGGGGCGTACACAAATCCGTCAGAACCTTTAATGCAGGTCTACTTCAACCTGCGGTAACAACCTGCGGTAAACCGTTTGGGCCAAGGGAAACTTGACAAATTGTGTTTCACGCTGAGAACGAACTTGCGCTCATTTTCTCAGGATCCACTCCTGAGGAGCCGGCCAGTGTGCTTACCTGAGGTCAGAAAGTCAGAAACTCTACCGAAAGGTGTGCCTGTGCATCATTCATAGCCACCATGTGTCCATGTTTGGAGAACCCCAAGATGGAGACTGCTTCAAAGATACTCACACCACTTTTCCAGCTCAGCCTGTGGTGAATCACTAGCATGCTCTCACCTCCCTTACAACCAATCAATTCATGTCATGTTTAATGAAATCCTATCGAAACTGATGCTGCATGATCCTACTACTAGTCTATTAATTGTCTATTGTGAGAACTTGTTCTGCAGAGGCTTCATCTAGATTTTGCATGATTTTGCAACCTGCATCAACCTGCAGAAGCTGTTCGGCAGCTTTCAATTCCAAGTAGCTTGCAGCAGCAAAATGATGAACCAAAAAGTCGTTCGTCGCTGTGACAAGGAGAGATGGACGGAATGGTTGAGGAGAAAGGCCTTGGCGAACAATTTGGAGGGTCTTCTGTGCTGTTGACAGAATTCACAACATTGTGAATATGCTGGACTTCAGGAATGTAATTTGGTCATATTTGGTCAGTATATCTGAATGCAAACAGTCAACGCCTTGTGCAGTTTCACAAGCTTAAAGAATTTGGAAACACGCAGAGAAGTCACGCATGGAATGGGCTGCAGCCAAAGCTCAGTAACCAAGGTGCCTTGCGATCGTGTTCGATGACTTTTTGGCTTGGTTAGCATGGATGGCATGGTATGCATGGCAGGGTGAACCCACCATGGGTCTTCCTCCTCGCGGATATTTACACTCAAACCATCTCGAGAAGGATGGATTAGTTGAAGCTACCTACATCTCCAGGGAACTCACTGCTCTTGCGAGCACAAATTGTCACGCTGTTTGATTCGAAATGAGATGTGAAAGTAAGAAACTTCTGTGCAGCTTTCGAGTTGATGTACATTATATTTGCTGGCCCAAATTGGTCTCAAATTTCTCAATGCTCGTCTCGCCCTACTCACCTTTTTTGCTTCTGTTTCAGTCCAAATGCCTTCAACCTGCAGGTACCAACAGTGACTAACAACATCCAACACCCCGCAGCCCGCCCTTTGCCAAGCAACACAAGAATGAAAACTGCCCACACCAAACCATCATGCGCCGGGCGAAGAGTTGGTTCCAATCAGCTTCGCCGCATATAATTTTACCTTGAAACTCAACAGCAAATGACCTTCAACATCTTTCCATCATCCTGCAAAAGCTATCAATGATGATGCACGAAACATACACCTACATCATCTTGCACCATTCTACACCATCCTACAGCGTCCTGCACCATACCTTCATCCATTGGATGACTTTTTGGACATGTCCCTACAGTTGTGAGTCCAACATGAGTTAGTCATGGAGTACGCACGAAAGTTTCCAGCTTGCAAATGGAAACCATACTCTTGGCAGCCCAATCAGCCCAGGAACCCACGACGATGCCAACCTTGGATTCAAATTTTCTAGGAAACCTGCAACATCCTGCAAACCTGTCTAGAAATGCGATTTGGCATACCACACCTTGATTTGTTTGAATTACCCCTGCTGATTTTGTCCTTGGTCATGAAATAGGCGAAGGCAGCCAAAGCAACTTAAATTGGTCCGCTCACAATTTGCGCTGCAGACGAAACGAATAGGCAATTGGTTGAAGTGGAAAAATTTTGCGAAAACGCAGCTGAGGCCCCCAGCAATCGAACCAATGATGGGAGAGCTCAGGAAGAAGCCAGACATCGTTGCACTTTGGCCCATCTGCATGCAGAAATCCAGCGACACAGGAACCTGCAGCGTGTTGGAAGAAAACAAAAAAATGACAAAACGAATCTGGCGGAATTGTGAAGCGTAGGAATCTGATTGTGCGGCCAATCTCAGAATCTGACGGTCATGGCAATGACAAAGAACATATTGAACCATGAGGCCAAATACCTCAAGCTGAGTTCAAACTGACAGTCGGAAGTCGGAAGTCCGCATATACAGGTAAAAAATCATACCTGGATCTTCGTCGTGCAGATTGTTTTATTTGCAATAAGTTCGACCAATTTGTTTTTCCCCTGCCCGAGGTTCTTTTTCCGCAAGGTGATTTGGTCAATTCTTGACAAGTGATCATGATACCATCAAAATAGGTTTGAAAGTTCGGGTAGGTCCGCCCAAATAGCGCATATTTCCGCCTGATTAGCGGTTGCAGTTGTTTGATTTTTTGGTCGGTTGCACTGTCGCACCATGAATCAAAATTCCCTACAATGCCTCCTGTAACACACAAACAACAAAAATGCCTGCAATCTGAAGCCTAAACAGGCTGATGTTTTCAATGGGTCAGAAATCGAAGAGGAATAGGTATCCGCCGACCCCAGCCGACAGCAAGAGGGAACGCGCTAGGGAATAAGAGTTGCCTACGCCAACGCATGGCACAACAAGAACAAGAACAGCAACAAGAACAGCAGCAACAACAACAACAACAACTGCTGATGCTGCTGCTGCTACTAGTACTACTAGTACTACTAGTACTACTAGTACTAAGACTAGTACTAATCGAAGGAAGTTTAGAAGTCAAACTTCCGACAATATGGACAGATGAAAAGCAGATCAGGGCAGAGGCAGAGAGAAGAGAAAGATTAGAAGAGAGAAGATCAGAAGAGAAAGAGTCAGAAGAAAGAAGATGCAGATGCGCGAAAAGGTAGGAAAGTCGCGAAACACTGTGTTTTTCCGATGATTTGAGGCTCCGGAGGGTCGAAAAGTAGGCTCGCTAAAGCGGCGGGTGCGGAGCCAGCTGGCCAGATGAGAGATGAAAAATTGCACGCCGTTGTGGCGCGAAGCACATTTCGAAGTGAAAATGTACAAAACACACCATGGCCGGAGCACTTTTGGAAGTTGCGATGTCGAAAAAGTGCACGCCGTTGTGGCGCGAAGCACATTTCCAAGTGAAAATGTTAAAAACACTTGGGGTTCGGACCCCTTTTGGAAGTTGAGATGTCGAAAAAGTGCACGCCGTTGTGGCGCGAAGCACATTTCCAAGTCAAAATGTACAAAACACACCAGGTCCGGACCAGTTTTGGCAGTTGAGATGTCGAAAAAGTGCACGCCGTTGTGGCGCGAAGCACATTTCCAAGTCAAAATGTTAAAAACACTACATGTTCGTGCCACTTTTGGAAGTTCAGATCTCGAAAAAGTGCACGCCGTTGTGGCGCGAAGCACATTTTGAAGTCGAAATGTTAAAAACACTAGGGTTTCGGACCACTTTTGGAGGCTCAGATGTCGCTTCGCTTCGCTTCACTACACTACACTACACTACATTAGACTACACTACACTCCACTACACTACATTACACTACACCACACTCCACAACACTACAACTACAACTACACAACTACACTCCACTACACTCCACTACACTAAATTACACTACGCTACACTACATTACACTGCACTCCACTACGCTACACTACATTACACTACACTACCTTCCACTACACTTTACTACATTACACCACACTCCACTACACTACACTACAACTATAACTACAACTACACAACTACACTCCACTGACCTCCACTACACTAAATTACACTACACTACATTACACTACACTACACTCCACTACACTACAGTACATTACAATACACTACCTTCCACTACACTGCATTACACTGAATGACACTGCACCACAGATAGACAGGTAGATGGATAGACAGACAGACAGACAGATAGATAGATAGATAGACAGATAGACAGGTAGACAGCTAGACAGATAAACACATAAACAGATGAAAGAGAGAGAGAGAGATAGATAAGAAAGAAAGAAAGAAAGATAGATAGATAGATAGATAGATTAGATAGATTAGATAGATTAGATAGATTAGATAGATTAGATAGATTAGATAGATTAGATAGATTAGATAGATTGAGATAGATAGATTAAGGTAGATAGATTAAGGTAGATAGATTAAGATAGATTAAGATAGATTAAGATAGATTAAGATAGATTAAGATAGATTAAGATAGATTAAGATAGATTAAGATAGACTAAGATAGATTAAGATAGATTAAGATAGATTAAGATAGATTAGATAGATTAGATAGATTGGATAGATTGGAGAGATTAGATAGGTTAGATAGATTAGATAGATTAGATAGATAGATAGGTAGATAGATAGATAGGTAGGTAGATAGATAGATAGATAGACAGATAGACAGATAGATAGATTAGATAGATTAGATAGGTTAGATAGATTAGATAGATTAGATAGATTAGATAGATTAGATAGATTAGATAGATTAGATAGAATAGATTAGATAGATTAGATGGAATAGATTAGATAGATTAGATAGAATAGATTAGATAGATTAGATAGAATAGATTAGATAGATTAGATAGAATAGATTAGATAGATTAGATAGATTAGATAGATTAGATAGATTAGGTAGATTAGATAGATTAGAAAGATTAGATAGATTAGATAGACTAGGTAGATTAGATAGATTAGATAGATTAGATAGATTAGATAGAATAGATTAGATAGAATAGATTAGACAGAATATATCAGATAGATTAGATGAGATAGATGAGATAGATTAGATAGATTAGATAGAATAGA